TCCGTTTTAGCTTCTGTCCATTTAATAACTGTTTTGAGACGTTCACGTCTATTTTTACCGCCGCCAAGAGGGTCATGTTTTCGGTAGCGTTGGTTTGTTTGTTTGTTTGTTCCCGTTTCTTATGTCTTTGTGGCTGAATATCAGTCAGAAAGCTGTTAGATAATCAGGGTTTACACGGTTCAGGGACTGAGACGTCACATTAAGACATTATAACAAATATCTGAACACCCCACTCTGAGTTTAATGTCACTGCAAGGGTCCACATTGAGAATTTTTCAGCTTAGAAAACTGAAGAGGGTGTGAAGAGGTGCACAAGCAGATTTTGCTTTTGTATTTTTTTTTGTTTTACTAAAGAACCAGGACTCCTGTGTCGTCTTCAGTAGTTAGTGGGAAGGTAAGTCTGAGCTCTGTGTAATGAGGCGTTCACACCAAGCTCGAGTAAAATCATTTGCACGAATGAATTACATGTATAGTCAATGCAAAGACACTATAAGACACTCGTACTACGCGAATTGAGTGGACGCAAATTCACACAAGAGTTGAAAATATCTCAACTTGAGCAGATATTCACGCTGCAATAACCAATCAACATGAGGATTTGTATCTTCATGTATGAAAACGGACCGGAAAACGTTCGCTGGTGTTAAAATATAAACTCAAATCCTTTTACTCACAGGAGACAGACAGACGGGCGCTCTGCAGCTGGGAAACAACATCTATAATCGGTATCCTGGAGGGATATCCTGGCACCGACTCTCACCAACAGGTCGTCAAACTGGGTTTGAGTAACCTGAAAATTAGGGATGAGAATTGATAGGATTTTATTGATATCATTGCCATTAAAGATTCTGCTTATCAATTCAATTCTTTAATGATTCCCTAATCAATGCCTTTCCTTGATTTAAAAAAGTAGACTTTAGGTTTTCAGCACAAAATTTTGAGGGTTTTTCTGGTCGGGTCGAGTGTTTTTTACGCGCCTCTAACTCAGTTAGTCCACGCTACACAAACTCAAAACTCGTTGTCGTCTTTCTTAGTAAAATGACGCCACGCTTTAGATCATTTCTGCCTGCTTTTGATACCATCCGCCATGTTTTTTTCTCTTTTCTCCTTCACGTAGACCGCCTCTCACAAGACCATTTTCCAAAGTACCCAGAAGAAAGGAATCGTTAAGGGAATCATTAAAATGAAATGTAAACGCTGTCGATGGATTGAACCATTTGGATTTCGATTCACATCTCTACTGAAATTACCGCTGAAAACTGCCGTCATCTGGGCGCCGCTTTTGGAGGAGATGTACATGACGGTCCAGTCTTGCGGTAGAAAAGACCTAAATTGGCGCCGTTTTCCAAGTGAACTCTACATTCTTAGAACTATTTGTTTTTTAAGGTCCAACACTCAGTGAAATGTATTCACCGCGGTGTGTCCGCGCTGTGAAAACACGGCGCTGCGCTCGACTTCCTCTTCGGACATGACAGATGTGCGAACAGTCTTATTGTAAAGGATGATTCCTGTCAGTGTCCTTAAAAGTAAACAGTCCTGCACTCATCTGGAGGCAGTGAAGGAACCAGAACTGATCTCCCTCTCTCTCCGGTTAAGACATTCATTCCAGTCAAGAGAAGGCGCTGAAGCGACACCCGGCAGCTGAGAGTCATGTGAAGTCAGCGGTGAATACATGCCTCATTTCTCCCTTTTAGGTACAGAGTATATACACACAGAAGACTTGATGTCAGAGCGCTAATTTGATGATAAATTCATACATGTCTGACACTTATCTTACTTTGTGAAAACATAACTCAAGGCCATGACTGAAGGCGTCACCGCGCCTGTGTAACCCTGTCCCCAAAATGTCACAGCGCGCTCTCTCGCAAGGCTGTCGGTGGAAAAATGAAAGACCCCGGTGAAGGCGTGTGGTGGGGGTCCAAAGACTGCTGCAGTATCTGATGCAGAAACCGAGAGGAAATGAGTAAAAACAAACAGGGGAGAAGAAAACGTGACGGGAGTCTCTGCTCTCTGATTAAGATAAATCCATGCTATTTTCACGGCGGGGCTGTGATTTCATCCACATCCTAAACACTGAAGCAGATGCACCGTCGACAATAAAGCCTTTCTTCTTTTTCTCATGAGAGCGATAAAAAATGTAAATTTAGAGACAATTGAAGAAAACATAAAGCATTTTAAACTCTCCGCTCTAAGTCAGTGAATCTTTCTAAAACAACTGAATGCAAATCCCAAATCTGCTGATCGGCTGAAACAGCTGCACTCTCCCACAAAATGAAATGAAACGACAGACAAAAGACATTTGATCTGCGTTATTCTCCCTTGTTTACTTACATCTGACAATACAGCGTCTAATCTCGGAGAATTACAAGAGTGTTTTGAATAAAAAGGCGATGCACGGTCGCTTTTTCTCCGGTTAAACTGCAGCGATGAAAGTCTTTGTGTCGACAGTTTCTCTCATCACTCCGTATTGAATTTTTAGCACATTACTTTGGATACTTTAGACGACAGATTTGATTATAATTCAGGAAAAAATGAAAATTAATTAAAGCTGTAGGCACCACCCTGTAAGTTGGAGTGTGATGTATGCGGTGGAGAAGTCTCAGAGCTGGATGCTGCTGTAGAAAAAGGAGCAATCAAAGTCAGAGTGAAGAGTGATCTTAAACCTGGATGAGGAATTTGGATCCAGATTGGAACAACTGTTTCTCTAATTTGTCTAATTTATCTCCTGGACTAAAACACCTGCAAGAAATCAGGAATTCTCAGGTGTGATGAGAGCTCCAAAACTGCGATGAATTATGAAACAAAAGCAGGATTTCAGTAGAGCCTTATTGCACTATTTAGTACTGAGACCTCTAAAGGATCAATATGAAGTGAAAGAAATTAGCTGTGTCCAAATTTTTATGTGCATAATAGACATATAATCATCATTATTAACCTCAGCAGTCTGAACCAAGACTGCAGATTTTATTTGCAATATTTGGAAGTAACATAGAGCTGTAAAAGCAATATGCAACTTCCAATACCTCTGTAGTGAATCTATGAATCAATGCAACTTGTTTTTGGTGTTTTATAAACATATAACCGATGGGAGCCATCCGACAGTTCCTACTGGTAACTCTCCTACTCCACCTCTCCATCCAATCTCCTCACTGTATTCGACACACCCCACTCCCGTAGTTCCGACTCGTCCCCTCCCCCTCTCCCGGCCCTCCTTGGAGCTCTGAGCGGCTAAAAGTAGCGTAGCAGCTTAGCTACAGGAGCTGTGATGAAGAAGGACGCAAAAAAACTCCACTTCTGTTTGCCCCACCGCCAAAAGTGGGAAGGAAACACAAGAAGAAGGGGTGGCGACGAAGAGGAAAGGTGACCAAGAGAGGAATCTAACTGGAACAAACATCGGGTCATCCTTGGAGCGGTGGAGAAAACAGACGCCGAGACAGCAGAGTTTTTGTTGAACAGGTCATTTTTATCTCCTTTTATCGTGGCTCATGTTACATAAATAACTCTGATTAGTCTCTGACATGTCAACACAGTAGCTGTCCAGGCAGCTGCAGACGGCGCTCGCTAACAAAGCTGGCGTTTACTGCTGCTAGTCACTAACAATCCGACATGGTGAATCCTATTTGAAGCTAGCGTAGGATCTTCTATCGGCTGGCTTCTTGCTCTGCTAGAGGGGGTGTGTCGTGGGGAGGGTGATACAAATCTGCCTCGACGGCTCAGATTTTTCAAGATGGTCAACCAGGACTTTAATAAATATAAACAATCATCACTACAGTGCAGTACTACCAGGATGTAAACAAGCACAGATGTCAGACGGTTTCCTTTGAGATTGAACTGTGTTGACTGTGTCAGAGCTAGACGGGTGGTGCTAGCTCTGCTAAGGTTAGCTTCCCTCACTGCTCAGACCCAGCAGTGGTCCTCACAGACCTTGACTATGCGGATGACATAAGTCCACTCTCCGATATCGTGGAACAAGCACAAGAACTACTGAACAGGGTAGAGCTAGAGTGCGCCAAGGTTGGTCTTAGGCTAAATGCCAAGAAAACTATAACGTTCCACCAGAACATCAACCTCTGACTACAGCAGGAGGCGCTGTTCTAACAGAAATCGAGGACTTCAAATACCTGGGCTCATGGGTCAACTCAACTGAACAAGATCTAAAAGTGACGAAGGCACTTACATGGAGAGCCCTGAACGGCATGACCAGCATATAGAACTCCAACCTCCCCCGCCAAATTGTTCTCCTCTATGGCAGTGAATGCTGGACCCTGAAGCCAACCCTGGAGAAATCCCTAGATGGGTGCTACACCAGGATGTTGCGTGCACATGTAACCAGCAGAACACTGTACGAGGGAATACCAAGGGTGAGCGAGAAGATTGCTGTAAGGACAATGGGACGAGCAGAACACTGCCAAAGGCATCGGGAACTGCCAGCTGGCAAATTGGTGCTGTGGGAACCAACACATGGGCATCTGTCAAGAGGACGTCCTACACTAACATACGTAGACATACTCAAGAAGGATGCATGAGCTCAGAGTACCAATGAACTGGAGAGATGTTTGGAGAATCGGGATGACTGGAAGCGACGATGGAAGACGTAGAGAGATTAGTGCTATATTAATGGTGCCAACTTCAACTGTCCCAGCTCGTTAAAATTTACTGAACTGCGCTCATTTTTGAGCATGGACTCACCTTTACTCTTCTCAGTTAGTCAGAATAGAAGTTCTCACACGTCTGCCAGTACAATCTGTCTGCACATGACCTGCCTTACTTACACCCGGGTGACATTTAAAGCCCGAGGCCCGTTCTGATGCATTCAGCATACGCAAATGTCATTGGAGTTTTGTAATATAACCCAATTTAAAGTCTTGGTGCTACTCCATTAGAGAAGGTCACCTGACCACTGGTCCAGTTTCCATCCAAGACTGTCTCCATTTACTTCACTCAGTCCTTTAGTTTTAACCCTTTAGTGTCTAAAGAAGAACAGTAGAAGGACAGTAACAGCAGAACCACGAAGATGACGGATCAGTTCTTTCTCAGGATGTTTTTACTCTGTGGGAGGATTTTTGGATTTGAATAAAACATCATAACCTGTTCAGTTGAAGCTGAAGGATTTTATTGAAGAAGAGCGGGTGATGTTTGAAGCAGCAGGAGGAGCCAGGTGGTGGATGTGGAGGAGAAAATCACACAGACAGGAGTCACCGAGTCTCCTGAGGACTGGAGGGTTTGAACAGTTTGTTTCCGCAGCGCGTGTTCTGCCTGCTGGGTTTTATTAATGAACTGTATGTTTGCTGGCATATTGATCTCTTCGCAGATTGACATATTTGCTTGTTAGTTTCTTTCCTCCTCGCCGGGATGTTCGCTCATGTTTGTTGCTATGGCAGTCGACCTACAGCTGCTCGGATATCGATTTCTGCATCAGCTCCGGTAAGTTGGGGGTCTGTGTCGGTCTTTGTAGCAGAGCAGTTTCAGTTGTTCTGTGAGTTTTAACATCTTTTTATAGCTTTGAATCATCTTCGCAGGATTTTCCTCTTTGGATTCAACTTCTGCAGAATCATCTCCACCGTCGGCGCTCTGACACACCTCCACATTTCTCACTCACATCAGAGCTGCGAACGAAAGAGCGACTGAGCTGGAATATTGTAAAGGAGACATAACAAAGTCGACGTACACGATCTGAGAGTGAAATGTTAAACTAACTTTGACAGTAAGAGTTTGATTGTTACCTGTTCAAGAAATCTCCTGATCTCAGACAGCTAATCAATACTCAAGCTTCAAGGTGCAGCTTCACAGCGAGAGAGGGAGAGAGTGAGAGAGACAGAGTGCAGTGAAGCAGCGGTGTGCCGCCGCTGAACAGAGACTCCTGATACTCTCACTGATGTCTATTTACACCGAACTAAAACTTCACTAAACTCCAATAAACAAAATAAAATCCAACATCAGCGACTGTTATAAGATTCTTCAACTTACACTTAACATTAAATCACATGACCACAGTTAAAACAAACGCCATTAAGCATGGAGAAATAAAAGAAAACACACAAACTAGCAGGTAACAACACCGCTAGAGGTGCTTGTTGCTACCTAATCGGTCCGCATGTGTCAAACGTACGTCACTTTCTCTCTTCATATTTTAATGCACTTTGCGGAGGTTAGTCGTTACTTTTGCTACCTACCCGATCCGTACTGCGCAAGAGCAGATTTACGTCACCTCAAGAACTTTATTTAAACTACCGATCGATTTCAGAAACCAGCCGGCGATGTGACAGGCCGGCTAACAGGAGGCTCCAGGGCTAATGCCGAGGCATTTATGACTACGTTGCAGTTTTACAATTAAGCTGTAGTAAGTACCTTTACTCGTGAAACTGGGCGCCATTCTCTTGACTTTCCGGCGCTCTGCTTCACGTCTGGTTCACACTGGAAGCGCCGCGCGCGGAACGGAAGCGCCGCGCACAGAGTTTCGGATCGGCGCCCATGTTAACCTATGAGACTGTTCACACAGCACGCGCGCGGAAGCGCCGCGCGCGGAACGGCTCGCGCTCTGGAGCGCGGGTGCTCCGCTTCTCTCTATTTTCGGCGCGAGCCGCGAGCGCCGATGTAAAGCTCAACAGAGCAGATCGGACCAGACAGGAAGTCAGGAAGGAGATGCGAGAGAATCCGGTCAATTTTCAAAATAAAGTAAATTTCAATAAATTAGAAAAGGATTTACGGTGTTGCTTGTCAGTCTATTTTTTTTACCGATGAACACACACACACACACACACACACACACACACACACACACACACACACACACGCACACACGGAGGGAGAGCTGCAGAGATTCAGTGATGTTATTGAGACAAAGAGGGGGGACTTTATTACGATACAGTCAATAGCCTCGAGCTAACAAGGCTATACATACAACGGAGTCAACAGACTCCCCAATTTATTCGTCGTTTACCCCTATATCATTATTTAAAAGCATCGTACTTGAAGATGCTGTCAATATTTAATTCATGTATGACGAAATAAAAACGTAAATAAATAGTGATTTACCCATTTTTAAAGCGCTCGTAAGTGTGGAAAACTGAGGGCAGACGGAAACGGCCGAGCACTATCGGGCTCAGTCGATGTCTGACCGGCATGTCAGAGCGCAGCAGAAAGCGCTTCCTGTGTGACGTCTGGTTCACACAGGAAGCGCCGCGCGCGGAACGGAAGCGCCGCGCGCGCGCGCGCAGCGCCGGCTCGCGCTTGGCTGTTCACACAGGAAGCGCTTTCTGCTGCGCTCTGACATGCCGGTCAGACATCGACTGAGCCCGGTAGTGCTCGGCCGTTTCCGTCTGCCCTCAGTTTTCCACACTTACGAGCGCTTTAAAAATGGGTAAATCACTATTTATTTACGTTTTTATTTCGTCATACATGAATTAAATATTGACAGCATCTTCAAGTAATGTTTTAAATTATTATATAGGGGTAAACGACGAATAAATTGGGGAGTCTGTTGACTCCGTTGTATGTATAGCCTTGTTAGCTCGAGGCTATTGACTGTATCGTAATAAAGTCCCCCCCCTCTTTGTCTCAATAACATCACTGAATCTCTGCAGCTCTCCCTCCGTGTGTGCGTGTGTGTGTGTGTGTGTGTGTGTGTGTGTGTGTGTGTGTGTGTGTGTGTGTGTGTGTTCATCGGTAAAAAAAATAGACTGACAAGCAACACCGTAAATCCTTTTCTAATTTATTGAAATTTACTTTATTTTGAAAATTGACCGGATTCTCTCGCATCTCCTTCCTGACTTCCTGTCTGGTCCGATCTGCTCTGTTGAGCTTTACATCGGCGCTCGCGGCTCGCGCCGAAAATAGAGAGAAGCGGAGCACCCGCGCTCCAGAGCGCGAGCCGTTCCGCGCGCGGCGCTTCCGTGCGCGTGCTGTGTGAACAGTCTCATAGGTTAACATGGGCGCCGATCCGAAACTCTGTGCGCGGCGCTTCCGTTCCCGCGCGCGGCGCTTCCAGTGTGAACCAGGCGTGAACAGCCAAGCGCGAGCCGGCGCTGCGCGCGCGCGCGGCGCTTCCGTTCCGCGCGCGGCGCTTCCTGTGTGAACCAGGCGTCAGTCGGGGGAAGAACTCCGCTCAAGAGAAAAGAAAAGCGTGTGGCTGGTGATGAACTGAAGCATCCTCTATAACTGTAGCGAGCTCGCTGATGCCGAAGCGGTCGAACTAGTGTCCAAGCTGTCGCAAACCGCGAGGAGTGAAGAATTGCCGAGCTGTTCCAAAGACGGCTAGTAGCGGCAGTGCTCCTCGGTCTCTGTGAAGCAGACAGATCCTGCATACGCTACTTCTTCTTTTCTCATTTCAAAATAAAAGCATGTGTTTCAAAATAAGGCCAAAATATAATTTTTTAACTACAAATGAGTATCAGTTTTAAATATTGGTTATCTGTTTCCTTGATTACTAATAATTGGTATCTGCCCAAAATTAAAAACACATCGGTCAATCTTTATTTCAGTCGCCTGGTAAAAAAGGGTTTTATGAAAATAATATGCGACTAACCAAATCGATGCACCGTTGCAGTCAAATATTTAGGAGCATCGTTTTCAGTGTGAGTGATTTTTGTGTTGAAACTGTTTCCCCAGTTTCTGTGAGAAATGACTGGTGTTTGATTAGTAATGTCTGCTAAGAGGCCCAGGCTTTAAAATAACACGTTTGTTGGCAGGCGTTAAGAATCAGCCCTCCAGTCGAACCTTTAAATAGCCGACAACACTTCAGTTTGGCAATCTTCATTTTCAATTCAGTTCTCAGGTTCATTCAAACACAAACAGACGGGCTGATCATCTTCACCTTCATCATCACAGCTTATTTTCACTCAGTCTGATTTATACCGGTTATTTTCTCTGACTTCTTTAACATCGCCCTTTATAAATTTGTCAGATTTCTGTTTATTTAATAGAAAATCTTTTTAAAAAGTATATTTACAGTTTTGCTGTTTCGTCTTTGGAGAAATCTGCAGACTTTTGAATCAGCTTTTTGACCCCACCTGACACACCAGCTACATTTTTATGACAAAATCATCAAATTCAATCCTGAAAAAACATAAATTCAAGGTGAAACAGCTTCTCTTTTGAAGGCCATGATAACTCCTCTGGACTCACTTTCATTTATTCATCTGAAGTTTCCTGATTTCCACAAACTCATTAACGGAGTTTGTGTCGTATGTGTGTGTGTTTACACACAATCCTTGTGTTGATAATGAGGAGAGTATCAGTGAGCTGTTTGGATGCATAGCGGTAGGAGCTAATATTTCACTCAATCATGCACACTGTGGTTTCTAATTCAATAGATTTGTCTTATTATTTCTGCTCTATAGCGCTCTAACCAAATCAATCATTCCCCTTAGTAATATTTCAACAATATTTCCCTCTCTGCAACGTTTCCTGATATTCAGAGCTGAGGCTCGAGGCAGGAAGGATGCAGGAGAGTTGGACTAAACAGAGGAAGATTTCAGGGGCTGGTTCTGCATGTAGTAAATGTGGTTCTCTTTGATTTTACAAACACAAACTCTGAGATTTTTGCAACAGACTGAACATCAGAGGAGTGGGCTTGACAACTCGACTCGAGACTCGACTTGGACTTGAACCTGTTTTTGACTTGCTTGATGAAATCAAGAAATGACTTGGACTTGCTTGGGACTTGATTGCTAAAGACTTGAGACTTGACTTGACTGGAGCCCAGTAACTTGAAAAATCAAGTCAAATCTTTTTAAGTCACTTAATACCTTATAGTGAGCCCAAACCGTTTAAAAAGTGTCGCATTAACTAATAGTCAGGAGTTACAGCTGTTGGTAACACCGTGTCGTGTTGCTAAGTCTGCTTATTTCCTGCAAAAGAAATTAGCTTGTTTTTGTCGTTTCTGGAGGTCTGTTTCCTTATTTCTCTCACCAAACTTGGCAACACTGTCTCAAACTCTAGCCTCCCTCATAACAACAACACCGGGAGGACTGAACATAAATCGCTCGCTGGTATTGCCCGCCTGTTTCCACGTGTTTCCACGTGTCTCTCTTTTGTTTTGTTTTGGAACAGTGAATTAGAGTATCAGTTTAATGTTTAATTGTATTTGAGTCTTCCTTATTTTTGTGTACATTGTCTAAGTTTCCAATGATTGAAGTTTATCTGATTATTTTTTATATGACATGTAAAATAGTTTGGTTAAAGCTGCACTATGTAACTTTACACAAACAAGAACCCTTGTTTAATAATAAATGCAAATAGTGAAAAATGCTCATGATTGAGGACTTGGTTGGAACTAGAAACAAAAAGTTCAGGACTTGGACTTGACTTGAGACTTGAGAGCAAAGACTTGAGACTCGACTTGGACTTGCAACATAAAGACTTTCCCCCACCTCTGCTTAACATGCTGCATTTTCTCTGCGTATTCAGGAAGGCATCTGCAGTTTTTCAGTATAAGACAAACTTCTAAATGAGTCACCCGCTCAAAACTCCTCCGGTTAGTATTATTAATGATGTTGCCGAGAGTCTGAGAACCCAGGTGTGTGGGATGATCGGAGAAATCTATCACAACACTGTACTTTCTCTTAATTAGCAGAGAGGATTTGGCATTTCAGTGACATTTAGCCTATGTTATAAAGTCATGTCGTCTTCAGGTGAAAAGACTTATTGATTCTCAAAGTGCATTTCTTTGAGTTCACAGTCAAATCAGCTCATTTTCAGATGTTACATTTAATTTGTCTACAATCAGATTTAAAGGAGGAGGAGAAGGAGGAGGAGGAGGAGGAGGAGGTTTCTCCGCTTTCAACAACTTCATTTGGAGAAAATCTCCGTCTGGCCTTGGGAGAAAAAGTATTCAGAATTAGAGGAAGATAAAAAAACGAGTGAATTTATCTCATTATTGAACCGCACTTGTATGATGATTAAGATGTAATGATGATAGTTTCATATCTTGGGGGATCAACTTAGTTAATGAAATTGTTAACATCAAAATAATGAGTTTTAAAACATCATCGGAGGCGAATGTGGCGCGGTGTTTTTACAAAGCTCTTTAGGGTTGAATCATCTGCGTTTACTTCTGAAGAGTATTTAGTTATGGAGAGAGGTGTTAACGTGTTAATGGGCTCGCTCACAGCATAGCGCTATCACTAAACAGCATGATAGCAGTTATGATTGTGAGTCTGTGTGAAAAGCTGATCATTTTTATCTGCTTTCTGGACTCGTCTTGCAGATTTCAGACTCCCATTGTCCCCTTGAAGCCTTATATTAGTAATTGCGTACAGATTTGCACGACATCAGCACGTCTCTTCCTCTGCAATAATCTCCTGTATGCATGCTGTGATGTGCAGGGCTGTGACAGCTGCAGCAAACCCTTCATTATTCACGTACACCTTCATATTTATCTTTGCACAACATTGGGACAGCCCGATTGACAGCTCATGAAAGCGACACACAAGTTCTGCGCGTGTTTGAGGGTGTGAGCGATTCCCATCCTGACAGAAATGTGATGTGACGTTTACCGAAGCTTATGACGAACGGGGTTTTCTATCAGCGTGAGGAATGAGGACGCAGAAGTTTTGGACAAAATCAAATAAAAACAATCACATCTCTATCTCTGCAGTCACAAAAATGCATGATGGGAATTAGATCGGTAAAACACTTCACTGGATGATATGACATTTTGTTATGTATGTGAAGACACAAAGGGAACATATGCAGGCTGACAAACAGCAGATTCCCATTATGCCGTGAAAGCTGCACGTGAACGAGACGCCTTCATTAAAAGATAAAAACCCACGTATGTTAGCTGACATGCTGCACCGACACACACACACACACACACACACACACACACACACACACACACACACACACACACACACACACACACACGTGTCCACATACTGAATGTAATGACTGTGAGAGATCATTGAGATTAAAATGTGAAGTGGAGAAATGGTTCACTAATGAGACGGCTGCTGTGTACTGACACTGAAGTACCTCGAGTTTAACATGAAGTGTCATTACGTGTCCATCCAGAGTTATGTTCACATACAGCAGCGCACTTTACATGTAGATCCAAATAATGTTAGTTTTAGTCTGTTAAAGTAAATCCCTCTTCCTCTTTAGGGAGAGTCCTGCTCGATTTTAAAACTAACACTGAGAGAATTTAAGAGACAAAACTGATGAGAGTGAGAAGAATCAGATCTCAAACATATGAGACACAAATGAGAAGAGTCGATTCAGACCTACAAGAATCGTCTACGATCAAAAATCATCTCATCCACGCTTCTCAGAGATCAAGTTTACTGTGTTTTCATCACCCTTTGGACGAGTTTCAACGGTGACTTTTCTACAAAACTGAGTAAATGTCTGTTTGTTAGTTTGTTAATTATCAGCAGAAGATATTTATCATGATAACAGACCGTACAGTATGATACAAAATGACATGATATTGTATCATATAGTAACATATCTTAATGTATTGTATCATATCCTGGTGTCATATTGTATTGTATCGTATTGTGTCATATTGTGTCATATCATGTTGTATCGTGATGATTGTGACATGTCGTGACATGTTTTGATGTCAATATGACAATATGATACGACACAATACAATACGATACAATATGATAAGATGCAACTGCAACATGAGGATTCAAAACTGTATGACATCACACATCAAAACATGTCACGACATGTCACAATCACCACAATACATCACGACATGACACAATACAACACAATATGACACTAGGATATGATACATTATGTTAAGATATGTTACATATGATACAATATGGCATGACACAATGTGATACAATACAATACGACACAATATAACGATATGACATGACACATCAAAACACGTCACGACATGTCACAATCATCACGATATGTCATGACATGATAGGGTACAAAATAAGATATGATAATACAGGATTAGTCACAACACACAATTATATGTAATACGACACGACAAGATATGATAAAGTATGTCACGACACAACACAACGACACGCCGTGATAGAATATGATACAATACTTAATGGTGCGATACGATTGGACACAACAGTGCTGACACAATATGATACGATACAATACAATACAATACAACACAGTGCTATACGGTACACTATGATACAGTAAGATAAGACACGATATGACCTGACACGTTATTGTCCTCTTTGGGAAATTTGTCTCAAACTCAAGTGCTGTACATGCCTGCATCCACAAATGCATCAATCAATGACACAAATCAATTAATCAATGTTATAAACGAGGCAATCACCCCAACGCAAACAGAAAACACAAACCAAGGCCACCACAGCAAACTAGCAACACATACTGCACACTAACCAGAGTACATAAGAGGACGGCGCTGTAAGAGAAAATTACTAACTAACAAGTTAAAAGCCTCATGACAGCATGAAGTTTTTATACATGGACCCCCTGGTTAACGCATGCGTAAAGTAAATCCACTCAGTCAGTCATCATCTATGTTTGGTTGTAAAACCTCAAACTCTCGGACCTCGGCGAACTTCACAGATTTGGTCGATTTTCACTCGTTTAGATGAAAACAGACAGTTCAGTAGATCATCCCCCCGGTTCGACCTTTCACTCTTATTATGTTATTCACAATAATTACTGCTAACATCCAGGCCGGAGCAGTTTCAAGCACTTTTCACGACCCCATAATTCTGTCTCTAGTTTCTACAACACCCAGGCGCCGCCGGTAATCTGCAGCCAAAGCCCATTTCAACAAAACAGGAGGAACATAAGTGAGCGGGCATTAATCATTTTGCTGCAGCAGGCTCTGTATATCTCTGTAATCTCATTTACAGCAGTCAGGCACTCGAGAAGACAAGAAGTGTCGCGTTTGGTTGCTTACCGAACATACAAGAAGAAGCTCAAAGTTACAACTAAACAGCTGAGCAATTCCTAACCTAATCAACAAAGCAAATTTATCTTAGTCCGATCTAAGTCCATTATCAGCATGAAGCTAACAACAGCTGCTCCGTTGTAATGGAAATCTTAATTACACACATTAATTATGCCGCTATGAATGCAAGAGAAATGATATATAAGCCATTATCTTCAAAATCAATTGAACCATGCAAGACATAATGGACTCTTGCACTACATGCAGAAGTGTGCGAGATTTTAAACTGAAGGTGATTTACATAGACCCCCGCAGAGAGCACTAGAGGGGCTCTGAAAACTCCCTTTGCTTTGTTTCTATCAGCTCCCACCTCTGTCCATGATGGGATTTTTATCTGCAGGCCTGAGGGAGGGATCTGTTTGAATAGAAGCCGGACAGGCCCTGAGATAGCCTGCTATTACCAGCAGCCTGCACCGCAGCACCCATCAATCTCGGCAAGTTTCTCTGTTTACACACAGGACGGCACAACAGTCATGAGTCATTGCCGCTTAGGATGCAGTTAGAGTGAAATGATGTTTCCCCACCTCCTCTGCCCATCGCCCAGACACTCCTAATCAAAGCTCAGGGGGTGAGCGAACCGTCACTGACATGTGAGGAACAGCCGATATCCAACCAGTTATTACAGCCAATATTGTTCTCTCTGATTGCAATCACATGTCTCGGCTTTTGTCTCTCTCCCAGATCTTTGATTCGCCGCTTCTTTACAAACTGTCAGCTGCACAGAGACCTGTCTGACTCCCCGCTCCGGCTGCACCGCCATCCCAATTCATTTTCTATAACAGCACAAGATTGCCGGGTCTCCACAATGTAACCCTGATGAGAAAGGTTAGTGGGAGTGCACCTTCAGGAAGTAGTCTTTGTCTCTTTTTGGACCTAAACTGCAGCTGCACTCTTCAGTCGAGAGAACAGACAGGACTGAAGGAAAAGCAGACGTCTTCCTGCTGCTGCTGCTGCTGCTGCATCCCACTGAGCAACAAATTAGCATTACTTCAGGAGGAAGGAAGGAAGGAAGGAAGGAAGGAACATGGTACCAGGGTCGCAATTAAATTCCTGATCCACGCTCCTCCACCATGCAGTAATCATGTCAGAAATCGAACGGATCGAGCAGAGCTCCCGTGATGATTTGAACATCCATGAACTCAGATGTTTATAAGTCCAGAGAAAACTCTGATCTCATTAGGAGGTTCCTTTAAAACTGAGTGAGTGTGAATGAGAAAGTATCACATTACAAACTCAGTAAAGTCCAGATTAGGATCATTATTGAAGGAACAACAAGCAGAAAACACGAACAAAGTTACTTGAACTGAGAAAAATTATTTGACAAACTTTACAATGAAAGATGAAAAACTCATAACAACATTTCTATTTAGTCATAATTTAATAGAATAGGATGTAAAATGAGCTTCTGTCCAAGGAATAAGACATCTTGACCTCGAGTACTCATTCATAAACTCAAACCGTCACTGTTTCACACGGATTATTTTCAAGGTGACACAACGTACTTATGTCACCACGGTATATGATGGAGTAAGCGCAGTTTTGGTTTTGCGGAGCGGGAAAAATGATTGATGAGAGGGGCTTTTCTTCTGCAGAGCTCCAGTAGCTCATTAGTAATTCACCTCTGAGTCGTGGGCGGAGACAGCGCTGCTCTGCACTCTCCTCTTCACGCTAGCCTGCAGCCTAACAGGCAAAACCCACAGGATCCGGATCCGGGCACGGCAGGCGGATCAAATACGCAAGAATTATAATCAATGTGAGTCATTCCACAGAATTCATCTGCCGTCCGGCTCCGGATCAGATACACAAGGCTTTTATTTTTGCCGGATGCCGCAGCACGGCGCATCAATTCAGTGCAGCAGCGGAAGTTGTAAACGCTACAGAGTAAAATATCTGGTAAATTTTCAAAATTAAAGAAAATCAAAACATTTAACTGTTCTTAGCTTGGTAATTGGAGAGGCCAGGGTTGTGGGATGTGGGTGTTTATAAACACCCCCGTTTATATACACCGATTGGCGGATCTCATTCAATGTCTCACGGGGAAACACGCGAGAACTTGTGAGATCATGTCTAGTCTTGCGAGAGCTATCGGTAATTTCGCGTGAACTACGATGGTGGCGGCAGACCAGATCCGGTGGGCGCTGTATTCTTGCGTATTTGATCCGCCTGCCGGTCCAGAGCGGAGCCGTTCTGGATCCAGTGGGATTCCGAGTAACATTGTTGGTGTAGCAGAAATAGCAGGTAACATAGAAGCTCCTGGACACTAATGTCTTTGGGGACATGATGAAAGTTAATATCATAATTAGCTTTCTTACAAGCATTACAATCTGCTAACGTACACGCTTGTTCCATGAAAACTGCAGTTTAACCAAAAAAATTATGTTTTATCCAATTACTCAATTAATCGATGGAACATTACGTAGGATACTTGATTACTAAAATACTTGATAGCACCAGCTCTAATTTAGAAATCTTGATCATCTGATTTCTGCAGAAAAATCCCTCTGGACTCCCGCTGATGGAAAGCAATAATGAAGTCGACAATGAGAAGTAAAGTTAACGGCCTCTTACTTTAACTATGTCCGTGCTTGGATGTAAATGGAAACACTCCTCTGAAGCAGACTGTCCTTTACAAGGACAATAATGCCGCTGTATAGACTGTGTGAGTTTGAAAAGAAGACTGTGAGCTGGAGTAAAGAGAGAATTTCAGACACAACAAACAGACTCACACTAACCCCTGAAGAGACGATTCATGTCAGTCTGAGGAGGTTGAAACAAGCTTCTGTACAAAGTTCTCGCACTGTCCTCATGACTGTTTCTCTGCACATATTAAGACATGAACCGTTAATGATCATGTGAACGTGATGACTCATGGAGGAGAAGCTGGTTTTCCGGTGTAAAGTGGTGCAAAAAGTAGATGTTTAACACCGACAAACACTTTCAAAGTTTCCATCTCTCTGAAGGTTGCCATAGTGATTTAATGACTTCGATTGAGCAGAGAGGCTATATTTGACACCCTCGAGGCTGCTGCTTGGGTGCAAACAGAGAAGACATGTCACATAATTTACCAAACGAGGCGAGCGTCTCAGTTTACACGGTTTTAGATTATAGTACCCAAAAGAAGACCTCTGAATTTTACACTAAATTTGGTTATTTATCAGGCAACAACCGTACAACCATCTGTCAGTTCAGCGGTACAGTCCTCTGAAATACTGACTCATTCTTGGTTCTTCTCACGTCGTCAGCAGCTCTCTCTCTCTCTCTCTCTGCCTGTAACAGCAGATGTGATGCCAATCCTTTTACACCTGCAGCGCCCGTACAGTCCAGGATTATATGTGACAAACACGACTGGATTCAGGGTTTTTCCCTGCAGAACTTTCTCCAGAGAGTTTGTGTCGTATGTAAAAATGTAAAAACTAAAGTAGGCTACACTCTGTGAAGAAACCGATGACGGGTTATACTGGAGAAATAAACGAGGCTCATAACAGACGCTCTGAAAAACAAACTTTCAATGTGTAAGTCACATAAATCTGAGTATAGACACTTTCTGACCCATTTATTGTTTTAAAAGAGGACACACACACACACACACACCTCACACAGACGGTAAATAGAAGACTGGCCTATTTTAACGTCGGTGGATATTTTATTCAGTGTTCTGAGATTTTGAAGCAGGAGTGTGAAGACTGTAGTGTTTTTGCTTTCAGACATGGAGGAGGTTCAGCAGTGATAAAGTGTAACAGCACAGATTGACGGAGCCTGGAGGCGAGAGCAGAGGTGCGCCGTGGGAGGTTGAAATTTAAATACTGTAAAATCGACTGAGTACAAGTTAGAAATGAAGTATCCGAAAAGTTACTGAATCAAAATGTCAATACTACGTCTGCACACTTACCTCATTTCAAACAAGGTTATAATAGTTTTGGATTTACGATAATCAGCCTGTTTCCAACAAAAGCTATTTCAGTTTTCATCTTGTAAATAAATGTCTCTATTTTACACACTGGAAACATAAACTTAACGGAGAACTTAGAGGGTGTTTTCTCTGTGCAGCCGGTTTCTTTACTATGACTGATGTTTTGACTTCATGCATCATGTTTTGTCCTGATCACTGCAGTTTGTAAGTTTGTTCACAGCATGGCGAGAGCTACAGAGGAGGATTAGAGCCACTGGAAAAAAACAAAGAAAGGTCCAATATAATTCTTTGAATAATTATTCTGAGATTAAACTTAGAATTCTGAGATAAAAATCAGATTTCTGAGAAAAAAGGTTTCAAATCTGAGAAAGAAAAGTCAGAATTCTGAGAAAAAAATTAAAAATTATTAGATTAAAGTCGGAATTCTAAGATTTGAGTCAGCATTCTAAGAAAAAAGTAGTCGCAATTCTGAGAAAAAAGTCAAAATTCGGAGAAAAAAAGTCAGAATGCTGAGATTTAAGTTAGAATTCTGAGAAAAAATAGTCGGAATTTTCAGAAATAGTCAAAGTTCTGTGAGGAAGTCAGAATTCTATGAATAAAATCAGAATTTTGAGAAAAAGTTCAGAATTCTCAAAAAAAAAAACTGGAATTCTGAGATTAAGGTCAGAGTTCTGATTAAATCTCATCATTCTGATATTTTCTTACAGAGGTTAAATTAGCAGACATAATCATGATTCTCTTTGTCCATCCACACGTCCACAATGGAGCGTCAGTGTCTCACCTGTTTCACAACACAGGAGTGGATGACAATCTGGATCACTTGAATCAAGAATAATAATAAAAATATATATATATATCTGACCTTTTTCCTTTTTTCCCCAGTGGTCCTAATCCTCCTCCATAGCGAGCAGTGAAAGGCAGCGTGGGTTAAAACTGCGGCTCATGATCCTCCAAACAAACCCGACTCTGTGGTTTTTATTTTCAGACATTTAGCCGAATCTTCTTCTCTCAGCTGTAATAAATAAACTCTGCTAAACACCTTCCCTCTCCACTCCCCCCTCTCTTTTCATTTCTGTCTAAATGTGACTTTCAAGTTTCCCGAGTCGAATTCATTTTCATCATCTCGCCCTGCCTCGTGCGTGTCTCTCTGCACAATAATTCACCCATTTGTAACCATCAGGCCTTTATTACATTTTAACCAATCATGTTTGTTATCTCTCAGGTTTTAAGCTTTAAATGAAACCCACATTTACAGTAACTGCCACACACGCTACATCTATTTTTCCTATTATGAGCTCAGTCAAGCAATTTCAGAGCAAAATTGTCTTTTAAAGGATGAAATAAACATGAGCCGAGCCATTATCAGGGAAATGTGAGCTCCACGAGTGACACTGGAGTACTTGCTCTTTGATTTGTTGCTGAATGGCTTTACATTAACACAATACTTCTGCTGATGTGTACTGTGAAGAGAGATGTAATGAAGCGCCGCTGTGAATAATACCTCCAATTAAGCCCAATAAAGTTCGTTAAAGCGCGGGAGATAATCTTCAACTCTGTCGACGCTTTTCTATTTTTTCAATTAAAGTAGATTCTGAAAAACAGGAGAATAATTTTAACTTTTAATGTGTCTGTTTTCACAAATCAAGGTTAAAGAAAGGTTAATTTAACAAACTCATTATGGATCCACCAGAGAGACGCTTCGTTTTACGATGTCCTGTGAATGCGTCGCACAGGGACGCACTAATTCCCCCCCGCTGAGTCTCTCTCCCTCCCCTGTTACTATTTTTGAAATCTGTCCCATCTGGCCGCTCTTCACAACAATATTGACCAATGAACTTTCATTTCCTCTGTTGTTAAATAGAAATGAATCTGCTCTCCATCACAGGTGGGAGGCACACTTAATTGACTCGTGTTAACATCTTTCCATGGCGTGTACACCTGCTCTCTTTCTATATGCACATTTTATCATTTCAATTCATTCCCGTCCAGCGGTTTGACAGTCAACCCTCTGATGGACAATCAAATCAAATCACTGAACCTCTGGGGCCTCAGATTTGCATGAAAGCTTGAGTGTAATGGTTTATAACAGCCTGTGAACCCGTAAATGTGACGCCTACAGGTCCGAAAATCTTACAACTTTGTGTTAAATGTTGATAAAAAAGAAGCTGATGGTTTACAATTAATTCAAAGATGATTTTTAACTGAAATAGAGAAAAGACAAAATATAAAATATTAAGGCTGAAACATTTTACATTTACTGCAGACTTCAAATCGGGGCTACAAGATTAATGGGTTTTAAATCGTAATCAGATTAATTAATTATGATGACGTTAAAAAGACCTAAATTGTTAAATCGATTTTCCTCTCTATCATGTCTCGCGGCTCCAGTCCACGGTAGATACAAACACCAATGAAGAAGAAGCAGCTGAACACCAACGAAGACTTAGTGTATGAGACAAAGCCACAGAGACAGAGAGAGAGAGCATAGCACTCGGCGGTCAAAAGTTTGTCTAACCTTATTAGGAAGAATGAACTCTTATCTCAGAGCAACATTAACAACAGTTATATCCTGTAAAGGAGGATGAACGACCAACATGATTGAACACCTCAGGATTCATGGAGGAGAAACACCTGAGTGCCCGTCTTTGACACACTTCACCGGTCTTCCACCAACCAGCCAGAATCAGAAAAGTGAAACAATAACTTAAATGGAGGGTAAACTTAAATATCCAACTAACGTTAGCCCTCGAATTTTTATATAGACAAACGACCTGACAACAAAAACTGGTATTTATAAACTGGTTGAAAATAATCCTGAGAGAAATTCACAGTAAAGTTCTTAAAAAGTTAAAGTTAAAAAGAATTGAAATCGGAATCAGAACGGGACTCCTTCAAAATCAAACGATATCCAACCCTAGCTACAGCACCACATACTGGCTTGGCATATGAACTACATCCTTTTCAGTGGTTTAGTTTTGAGAGACGATAGAAAACCTCTAAACTTATCAGGTTATTTTATGACAGGATATAAAACATGAACACTTCAGAGTTTCTCAAGGATAGTGAGAGACTGCGTGAGTGAAGAGTTCATTATTTCAGATTTATAGACAAAAAAACGCCAAATTGACATCATTTTAAAAAAAGTCAGGGACTCCATAAAAACCCCAAGACCAAAAACCAATCCTGGATCAGTCCTAATCTTCAGACTGTATTAAAACCAGACATGTCTCTGCAGCTGAAATCACTGTGTGTGCTTTAAACCAAACCTGAGACCAGATAAACATGATGAAAACATGCTGGAAACTTCTCAGGCCCATTTAAGATGAACTGTGAGGAAGAAGAAACTGATCTCCTGACAAATCAGAATCTGACTCTCCAAACTCAGCATCCCTGATGGTTTAGGGATCATCAGAGTCCACGTCAGCGGTAACTTCCACCTCTGTGAAGGCTCCATAATGCTGAACAAGAGTTTCAAGTTAAAACTTTTGATATGTTTCTGTTGAGAGTTTCAGTGATTTGCAGACCATCAAACGTCATATTTTGGCTGTAAAAGATGAAGAAGAATAAAATCAAACCTGCAGACTTACTCTGATGAGATTGAAAGTTTGTGTGGAGTGAAAGTGAAGTGCAAAAAGGACACCTGTGCACAGCAGAAAAAAAAGAAATGACTGTGAGTCTAATTTGTCTTCAGAGCTGTGAAAGGCTGAAAGCTGCAACATTCATTTTTGATTGGCTATCTGAATATCACGCGTCTCCAAAACGAACGTCAATTCCATCTCATCTACTGCCTGACAGAACTTAAATTGGATCCCAAAAAGAATAACATGATGGAAATGAAATCAACATTTCCATTTTCTTCTTCCTCTGCCACCCCTCCTGGTTGTTGATTCATTGACGAACGTCGTGTTTTTATTTAAGATTGTGGGAACAGAGTTGGAAAACCTTCCCAGCTGAGATTCAGACGTCTCTCCGCCGTGTGGTTTTTCACGCCTGTTATCACAAACGACTGACAGAGTCTGAACAGGCTCATCACTTTCTTGATGTTGGCTGCATTCACAATGTTTCCTCTCTTTACTTTACTTTCCCCGCCGCAGGAACGTTTCCTCCCTTGCAGACCTTATGCAGATTACAGGTAATTTTAATGAATCTTAGCGCAGAGCCATGACAATTATAGCACAATGCAAGAGCAGCTGATTTATATAGAAGTATCCCCTTATTTCCTACACAATTAACCTTGAGCTAATGCTAATTTACGCCTTCAGTGCACACAAGATACTTCCTGGAAATGATGTGTAAACAGAGGAGGGCCAGGAGCGTAAAACTGTATCCACTCAAACTAAAGAAATATGCATGAGTGCTTTCTTCTCCCGCCCCGGAGTATCCTCCTCACTCTGCTGTGTTTTATGTGTCAGGCGTGGTGAATTAATGAGCGTACACATGAGCTCAGCGCCCACCCCCACAGTGAACTATAGCAGGATGTGAACACACCTCCTGTACATCATTATGAAGGAAACAGATCTGTTCAGGCCTTGTTAAGATACCCGGGTGTGGACGAGGAGCGGTATAACGCCGCCGTCTGCCTGACATGGTTTATGTTCGGCTTAATAAAGGATTATTCCGTCTACTTTTTAAATTATTTCAGCACTTTTTTCTGAGTTTGAAGCCTGATTTATGTCCAAATGAAACTCTAACTTCACTAACTACTTTCACATCCACCCTGTCCACAGTCCTTCTCATTAAACTGAGGCGCTCCTCATGACCTTTAAGAGCGCCGCAGCTGACCGCTGCCTCACGAGAAGATGAGACCGCTGTCCTGAAGTTTATCAAGGTGATGGAGAAACTTTCCTCAGTCACAGGAGAGGTAACTAGAGCCGAAAACTCACAGGATCCATGTTGGGCGCGTTCACGGTCTGGTGTAGGTACCAGATGTGTTCAGGCTGCCAGATCAACTCGAGCCCGGTGCTTATTGACGACTGATTTACAACAAACTGCAATAAAACTGGACTCACACCACCACTTTTTTCCTTTTTTTCCTGGTACTTAAATTGTGTATATTGTATATAGTTTTATTTTTTCTTCTTCCTTTTTCTTTTTCTAATTTTTTTCTTAATTTGAACATTTATTTAAGTTCTTAATATACCATCTTTATTTTTATAACTGCATTTTTGCATGTCCATGTAGATTCTCTGTCTGTGATGCTGCTGTGACAGAAAAATTTCAATAAAGGAATATTCTATTCTATTCGATTCGATAACACTATATGATTGGCTGTAAGATTTTAGTATGGACATTACAGAAGCGGTTTTCACCAGATTAGGTTTCATGGGATTGTAGTTCTTCTGAGAAAAATGTAGAATTTTACGAAGAAATCTATCGCTACCTATCGAAGGGGAATTACGACAGTCTGACTGAAGTCACCAAGGAAATGTGGAATAAAAGCAAAACCAACTATTGATAAACGGAGATCCTGAGGGTCTTCAACAGGCACTGGGCTCCAAGTTGATCTGACAGCCCAAAGACATCTAGTACCTCTACCGGCTCCATCGGAAAGCACACGGGAGAGCGTGTTCGGATCATAGTAGCAGCGTCGCAGCAGCTTGACTCAGTGTACAGAAAACTACAGACTCACAGCAGGCTGCTTTTTCTTTCTAAAGGTCCATTTCCTGCTAATTTTGGATTTTATTCTGTGACTATTGAGCTTCTACTGAACGTGAACGAGCAGAGGCACAGAGTAACCTACGTCCCTCTTTGCTGTTTCCTTCAGACAGAGTTAGCAGCTAGAAGTCCTGCTGTGGTCCACATGGATCAGGGATAGACCATGAGGCTGTTCTGTGTTAATAACAAATCTATAACCAGGAAGTGTTTCTTATCTTACAGTCAGGAGTCCACAGATGGTGGTTTATTTCAGAATTTACCAGATGACATGTTCCTCTCCCGTCTAAAACCATCTTCTCTGCGCAGACTGACGCATGCTGGGTGCATGAAAATAGACTTGGCGTGAAGCGGCGTGCAAAGACGCTTCTGCAACGCTTCCTGTGTGCGATGCTGCGTTGATGAGAGTGGGAACACGGCAGCGTAGAACCCGACACTGACAGGACGCACCAAACACGACTCCCATCAAAGTCAGCCACGGTGTCACAGATTATCTCTCTGTTGTGTTCGTCGTGATCAGAGCGATTTTCTCTCCTCAGATCTGAGCTGAAGACGATCACAGCCTCGAACTCATCAATGTTTAACATATTTAGCACGTATGTGGATCTCTGAGGTCATGGTGACGTTATACCTGTGCGAAGATCACAAGTTAAGCTTCCTTAACTCATGATTCTTCGTTTGTGTTGTTAACAGCAGGTGGAGCATTCACAGGCCGTGGAGAATCAGCCTGCTTCTTCATGATAAACTCATTAAAAGTCAGACTAAAGATAAGCTTTATCCTTTTGTAAACTCATATTTGAGTTTAAAGCACATCAGTGAACCTAACATGGTGCATGTGGACCGTCTCCTTCACCACCACGAACCACAGCCACACTTTATTCTGAGTTAATCCCACAAACACCCACAGACACAATTGTTTCATTAATCCACCGCCGAAAATAGCGCTCAACAAATCCACTGTTAACCGCCGACTTCAGTAACGTTTGTCGTAATCTTTACCGCCCAGCTGTTTGAGAAATTAACCTTTATTTTAAATAATAAAACCGGTTTGTTCCGGTTTTCAGGCAAAGTTACAAAGACGTGTTAAAACAGAAAGGCAGAGTTCCCCCTGGGGCAGAATAACACGTTGTTGGTTTAGGTTTTCTCACGTCGAGTGTCAAAGAAAAGCTGAAAAAGAGTGAATCATACCTGCTACCTGTTAACGAGGAAGAAGCACCTGTTCAGACACAGAGATTAAAAATTAACTAAAAAGAGTTCTTTACTTTTGTCTTTAAACGGGAAATGTTTACACGCCGCGCTCTCTCTTTTACAGCACACATGACGCTCACGCTTTCACATCTCGTTCACACGCTGAAGGCAGAAGCTGCTATAAAAGCTCCATCAGTTTTGACTAAATCCACTCACACACAGATTCTGGTGGAGTTAGGTTCCTGGCCCAAAGACAGCCGGACCTGAGATCGAACCCCTGACTTTGGGTCGCAGCGCCGCCCACGCCGACTTCAAACTGGAGTTTTTTAAAAGTTAAGAAATGAACTTCAAACGCAGCTTCATTAAGTTTTTAAGCTTAGATGAAGAAACAATTAACCGAGTGTGACGAGGAGACCTCAGAGACGCGCTGATAAAACCGAGCCGCAGTATCTCTAATTATCTTTATATTATTTCATCTGAGGGATTGAAGACCAAGTCTGAAGACCCTGAAACTCCCCGCCATGTTTACACAAACTTTAACGCCATAAACCGCTTCGTTCTGAGGCGTTTTCATACGTTTTATTCTCACATTAAGATGGCGAACTCTCAATATTTTCAGGGGGCGAGCTAAAAGAAGTGATATTGACTTCCCGCTGAGCTAATATACGCTGCCTCGTGTCAAGTTGTGTAAATCACAGGGGTAATCATTAAGGCACTTTAAATAGCTCCCTGTTTGCTCTGTGATTAAGCTCCAAAAACAAACCGGGGGTTTGACATGGGGGGTATTAATACGATCCGGTGGTGTTTTTAGATCGTGAGGAGGCGAGAGGGAGAGAGAGGGAGAGGGAGAGGGAGAGAGAGGGAGAGAAAGCAGCTCGAGCCTTTGATCGTGTGCGATGCTGAGTGTGGTGATTTGCTGCTCCCACAAACCCTTTGAAGCCCCCTTCCTCCTCATCCTCCTCCTCCTCCTCCTCGCTGAATGGGCCGGTCAGTCCTCCGAGCTTTACTTATTTATGAATTCATCCCTCTGAACCCCGGAGATGATCCTGGTGATTCATTAGATTAAAATAAACACATTAAAGAGTCTTTTAGGGCAGGAACCATCACTCCAAACACTGACCCTCTGCTGTTATCTACTATAGAAATAAAGTTTTTGTCAGGTTCTCTTCCTCCAGATCATTTAAACTCATTTCTTACTGCTAAATTAAACACATCAGAGTGACCATATTCTGAATCCACAAAAAGAGGACACGATTACGCGGGGGCGGAGTCACAGAGTCGCACGTACCCTGAAAAAGAGGACAAAAACAGAGGGTAAAAGAGGATGTATGGTCACCCTACACACAATGTACCTTTAAATAGGGCCGGGCGATAAACCCAAAATTCGCTGATATCGAAATTTACAACAATAACCAACGTCATTTTGCCATGTCAAAAAATTCAGAGTATGGCTGCACGATTTATCGTTTGAGCATCGTCTTCGCGATGTACGTGTGCGTGATAGTCACACTGCAGAGTCTGCGATGTCGGAGGTGAATGAACTCAGTTAATTTCAAGGGTAGCTGACTGAGATAAACTGCATGCGACTCTGCATGTGCTGTGCAGTGATCCACCAATCACATTCGTTCTTTACTCAGTTGCCAATCAGACTACCCTGCCAGCCATCAATCAAAATCAGAGAGGAGGAAACCACGCCCCTGCATATGGAGTGAGTCGCTGGCGCTGCTGGTGTTGTGCCAACAACGATTGAAAAATGAGCAACAAACAGAGAAAACCACCGAAAATGAAGATTTGTTGCCAAAAAGAAAAGGAAAGTCAGTTATCTGGAATTATTTCGGTTAAAAGAAGGATGAAGTCGACCAAACAAACACGTCTTCTGTGTTCATCTGTTTTCCAGAACAATAAAAACTAAAAATATCTCTGAATCAGACAGAAGCCATTCTACAAACATTCACAAAAAGAGGTAAGATCAGAGCAGGTTAACTGTCCTCAAGATTTCAGCAGAAAGTTTTATTCAGGTCATCTGGTGAAAATGTCTGTATTTTTTAATATCGTAATATATATCACAGGGTTTAAAAAAATTGCAATGTTCGTTTTTTCCAATATCGTGCAGCCTTTATTCAGAGCCAAAGAAATAAATAAATCAAAGTTGTTTTCGGATGTGTGTAGGTAGGCTATGGTCTCATGTCCCTTTAAGACGCTGTCCTACATCAGAGACGTGACTCCACCCCATCCAGTCTGTAACAAAGAGGGAAAGACAGGTGAGGAGATGGAGGACGGAGAGAAAGTTGGAGCGGCTGAAGTAGACGAAGTTAATGTGGGAGGGGGTGAGCAGCTTGCGGATTAGTTATTGTCTGTTTATCGTTATCGAGGTGAACTGATCAATATATCCTGATATTGATTTAAGACCATATCACCCAGCCCTATACTCCACTCAGTCTGAGCTCATTCAAACTCACTTCTTACACACAAAACAAAAGTCTGTTAGGAAGAAAGTTTGGTTTGTGAAAGTGAAACTGGATCCTCGGCTGACTCCAGAGATAACAGCCAACAAAATGTAATCTTGTCCGTGTCAGTGCAGGCTGTCAAACAGAGCAAATTAACATTTACTGAAGATCCAGCCTGTCGTCTTCTTACAGCTGAGTGATATAAAAGGGTGACGGTATCCTGCTGATCTCCCATTGTCACATTATCCAACAGTGGAAGCAGAGCTGCTTGATAATAAATGGGCTGGTTCTGGTGCTCAGACAAGTTTGATGTTTCTTTAAAATGTTGGATTGAGCCTCTCTCAGCCTCACAGTAAATGATTTGGGAGATGAGTCACTCTTGAAAGTCTGTTTCACTGAAGACTGTCTGTCTTCTCTCCTCGGTGGCATGTTATACAACATCTATCAGCCGGAGCCTTTTCCACAAAAATATGAGACGTCTGTGGATGAATCTGTGACTTGACCGGCTGTGAGATTGCAGGAAGACGTCAACGAAATTCTGTATTCTCCTGATATTACTCAGAGACAATGGCTGAAGTTTCTCTGCTTTTACTTTCTGTACAATTCTGAACAGAACTTCAGTGAAAACCAGCCTCTGCACCCTCAGACTTCAGAATAATAATATTAATCATAACCTCACCCACAAGAATCCAATCTTCCTGGAAACACGACGCCCACCTCTGCTGCTTCACTGAGAGCTCTCATGTAAAGGTTAGACATGTGGAGTTATAATAACAAATGGATGATCTGCAGCCTCTCAGTTTCTTTCCTCACTATCTGTGAAGTGACCTGAGTGGAGGAGGTGCTGTCTGAATGAGGTCCTGCTCTGATTGGCTGTTTAAATATTGATTGACAGGTGCAGAAAAACACTGAGACAAAAATGACGAGTGCTCCAGGAGAACCTGTTCTGTTCTCCTCTCTCCTCCTCCTCTCATCCCTGTCACTACCTGATCCGTCCTAGAAACCTGATTTGTACTGTGCATGTGCGAAATTTATGTCACTTCCTCTACTAGCCATCTTTGTGACAGCTCAGCAATTCTTCAACTAAAGCAGAGCGCCGAAAAGTCAAGAGAATGGCGCCCAGTTTCACGATTAAAAGTTCTTACTACGGCTGGTTCATTAAATAATGAAATAAATCCTCCCTTGATACTTTGAAAAGTCAGAGAACCATAGCTTTGACAGGGGCTATTGCCGAGGCATTCGCTGGATCTCCTGCCCAGCACAGTGAGACGTTTTGGGCCACAGGGAGCGCCAGCACCCGTCCATAATTTTGACCAAGTGCTGGCGCCCAAAATGTCTCATTGTGCTGGGCAGGAGCTCTGGCGAATGCCTCGGCATTAGCTCTGGAGCGTCCTGATAGCTAGCCTGTCACAACACCGACTTGTTTCAGAATTGATCGGTAATTTAAATGAAGTTTTTATTACGGATCGGGAAAGTAGCAATAAGTGACTATCTGCCGTAAAATGCATTGAAACACGAAAAGAGTAAGTTACATTCCAATTTATTGGCGAGCCAATTAATACGGCCAATTTTAGCCCGTTTGAGATGAATTGGTAATCGGCCAAAACTCGCCAATTGTCGCCGATATTTTCAAAAATAAAATGCGGAGAATAAGATTCAGTTTCACTTCGAAAATGTTCGGCCATTTGAAAAGTTCCCCGACCTATCCTGTAGATGGCGCAGCGACCTCATGACAATCTTCAGTTGAAAACGCTTCTCTGGTCAGAGTTTGATTCATGATGAAGTCATGAGAAATACAGGGAATATTACTGAGATTAATATTAAGTGTTTGAAAGGCTCAAAAGCAGCCATTTGTTTAAAAAACAATATGTATTTATGTTACTTAAATCAACAAAATTTTTAAAACTTCCTAAAAGATTTAAAAAATCAGCCGATTAGTCAGCTATTGTTTTTTTTTCTTCCCTTATAATCAGTATCGGCATCAACCCCAAAAAATCCATATCAGTCGGGCCCTAATCGGTAGTTTAAATAAAGTTTTTACTTTCACTCGCTCAGTACGGATCAGGTCAGTAGCAATAAAAACGACTAACTGCAGTAAAATGCATTGAAACACTAAAAGAGGAAGTGACGTTTGTTTCACACATGCGCAGTACAAATCAGGTTTCCGGGACTTATCTGGTGGTGATAATACCTCCTCCCCCTCTCTCTTCTCTCCCTGCTCTCCTCTCTCTCCTCCTCCTTCTCTCCTCCTCCTCTCTCCACCTGTTGCTCCCTGATCGTTCGACCTCCAAACCGACCACTTCCTTATAAGGTTAATTGATTCCATAGAAGATCACCGTTTTTCTGTTTCTGGATGAGTCTGACGTGGTCAGGGTTCAAAGCTGTTGCCCCTCCAGCTCGGCTTGCATCATTAGACCTCCCATAATGCTTTGCGCAGATAGAGAAATGTATATGTGAACGAAGTGCAGCAGGTCCACGTAGTTAAACAGAGGGATCCATCAGGGCCTAGTTAAACGAATGTAATCACTGTTTAAGTAGGATGAGGAGCTGTGAGGGTTCTGCAGGGAGAACACTTTCATACACTGTCGTCCTTTTACTTGATTAGATCTGATTTATTAAAAGTATTGACTTAATGACAGCCGAGAGCGCAGAAGAGGAAATCCATGCTTGTGTTGGAAAGCTTTTAAGCTGTACTTTAAACATCCATCCAGGTAAGAAATGTGCCTCTTTATCCGGCATCATTATTCCCTTCACACACACACACACACACACACACACACACACACACACACACACACACACACAGGCTTAGATCAACATGTTGAATCTGTAATGCTTCCCTCAAGTCTCTCACTATTGTTTATTTAACGCTCTCTCCATTGTGAATACTCGCGGTGATTGTGCGTTTTACTTCCAGCGAACACAGAGCGCAGCAGGCAAACAAACGAAGCCGCTAATAAAGAAACCCGAGAAGAGCGAGCGTGACACCGTACCAGAACGCTCCTCCGACAAATCATATTTGTGCTTTTCACGCCTTAAGCCTCTTGTCTCTAATCTATCCCTCTCTTCCTGTGTAGGTGTGTGTGTGTGTGTGCGTGTGTGTTTGTGTGAAATATGCTTTCTGTCCATGGCGAGGATCCTCCATTGTTCTGTCCAACAGGCAGGAGAGAAAACGTAAGCGCGATTTGGCAGCGTTTTCTGAAACCACAAGCACCTGCAAAGCAGATTAAAAGGAGGAGAATAAAGACGGCGTCGCTCTGAGCGTTCAGAGGCTTTGTTTGTGCACGCCGTGACATCATCATTTCCTGCTCATGAGCGATTATGTCAGATGCAATAAAGACACGAGGGGATATCATGACCCTTAGATGTTTATGATCTCTGCAGAGAGAAGTCCCGATAATGCATCAAACACGCTTCAGGTATTAATTATTGTGGTTTACAGGAGCCGAAGATAATGACGCTCTTCTCTTCTCTTTGTTTTGGAGTCGCTCTGTTAAAGCGAGAAGATTAAACTACATGAAAAAAACTTTCTCAGGTTGAAATTCGACGCCCCACAGAGCAGAATTATCTGTCTCAGCAGGCGACTGTGTCAGGTTTCTAATCCACATTCTCCACTGTCCTTTTCTGCAGATTAATTTGGGTTTTTTATTTGAGAGGAAAACTAAAGACAGAGGAAGGAGGATAAAGAAGGAGGTGACAACAAGCACCGAGTCAGGCTGGAACTGGACGGACTACAGTCTCTACAACATGAGGTGTCTGCAGAGACAGAAGTCATTATGGACGAATAACTAACTAGACTGTGTTCAAGGATTAAAGGTTTGCATGGATGAAGTCTGCTCTGTCCATAAAGGGTTAAAATTCCTGCTCCACTCTGACTGATGCTCCTCTCTGTCCATCTAAATTCAGAGTTAAAGAGATTTTGCAGTTCACGTTGGAGTGAACGCTGCATAGTGATGCTTCATTTAGACCAGATTTAGCAGCTGAGATGATCCAAATGGATCAATTACAACGTGAAAATGTTAAAAATCTGAAGTTTTCTCTGTGCGGTTATATATTTTTCACCTCTTTCATTGTTTTAATGATAGTATTTATGATCTGAGTTTATTTTATGCACCTTTTTGTCCCTTATAGATCATTTTGCACACTTCTAATGAATGTTTCTGTTTTTATTCTTGCTCATTTATTTTTCTTGCATTTCTTCCATCAGATTTAAGTTTTTTGTTGTTATTGAGACATCAATCGTCATGTTTTTGCATCACTTTTTGGCTGTTTAGAGTTTTTTTTTTTCTGCATCTTTTCTGGTTGTTTTGATTCACTTTAGAGTAGGGTTAGGTGATATAGCCAAAAATCAATATCACGATATATTGATCAGTTCACCTTGGTAACTTTTTGACACTGAATATACAGAAATGGGCAAAACGACGTCGGTTATTGTTGTAAATTTCAGTATCTGTAATTTTTCGGTTTATCGCCCAGCCCTACATTGGAGTATCTGAAGATCTCAGGTAGGCGTGTGTCGGTCAGAACATCCTTCACTCCATTAAACATCATAAACAACTACTCTACCTTTCCTCCATAACCCAACTATCAGGCCTTTACAATCATCCATCCTTAACAAAAACATATTTGAAGTTTCATCGTCCTCCTCCTTCTCGTTCGTGTTTTTTTACTCGATCTGTGCCCTCAAAACTTGACAAAGGAAAATTAAAATCCAGGCAGAGGAGCGCTCACTAAAGGAGCTTTCCATGACGGTCTGCAGAACCATTTCCAGTGTCTTTCACAGTAATAAGCTTCAGTGTTCTGGGCCTGAACAAATGAGCTTCACCGCGCTATATTAGATAACGTTAAATGAAATCCATAGATCAAGTTAAGTTGCTGCTTCTGCCAGGCTCCTGAGAAGAGAAATCTAATATTGTTTGTGGTGTGAACGCTCCTTTGTGGGTGAATCTTTAGAGCGTTATTGAATGTTTGTTTGCCGCCTGTATCATTTTTTTCTCTGTAATATAACAATACAAGAGAGTGTAAGGACATGAGGAGATGTAGATTAACCTGCAGAACCAGCCGAGCTGAGAGGAGAGCAGGGAGTGAATGGATTCATGTGCAGGACTGATGAATGGAGGCGACAGGAGGGGGGTTGAGATACTCTGACTAGAGGGGGCCTCGGATGAAAAGTTTATCGGTTAATTCAAAGTCAGTAAAATTTACTTTAATACAAGTCCGACAGTCTTCTGCCCTCCTTTTAGGAAAGTGTCTCTATGATCAAATAGATCCAGTAGAAAGATTTAGATTTTATCCATAGAAGATCCAGATAGATAGATAGATAGATAGATCGATCTGCTCTTGCTCAAGTTGTTTATGATCCATCTTATCATAAGAGGCCAAAGAAAATGACATGTGCATGAAGCCAGAGTAGGACTAAGCGATAAAATGATAACATATATATATACAAATTAATTTCTATATTGTATTCTATAAAAATTAATTAATATACTGATATGAAACATGGTCAATATGCGATAGTCGGCATTCTGCCATGTTTTGGTAGACTATACGAATAGCCAATGACAAGGGGAGTTACTCCGGGTCTGAACCAATCATGAGCTAAATTAGAACCAAGTATCAAACGACTTCGTCATATCACACAGCAGCTACACCCAACCACAGCACTTTAACAGGTGAAGCCGACAGAAAACAAAATGAGTGCTACCCCGACAGAAATGACGATGAAGGCTCAACAGATGACCACATCAATGTCAACCACAACACTGGCGTTAGGAAAACGTCGGTGGTGTGGAGGTATTTTGTTTTTGGAGGTCGGACATGAAGCAGAGTAATGTGGACTGTAAATTATGTCGAGTACATGTTCTCACAAAGTCGGGGAATACCTCAAATCTTTTTCACCACCGGAAGCAGCGCCATGCCGCAGAGCACGCGCAACGCAAAAGGTTACAAACCCCGAGAGGAGCGAGGAGCCGAAACAGACGACCATTCAGTCAACTTTACGACAAAATGTCAAAGAGACACAAAGACTTCACAGATGCAGGAGATTATTGCATTGGAAAAGACATGAGACCAATAAACACTGTCGGAAAAAAAAAGAGATTTAAGTCGATGGTTAAAGTAATGGACCCTCGTTAACAGCTCCATGGACGTAAAACAATTCTCCATTTTGATTTCAATTTTATTTATTATCTAACATTAAAATAATGTCAATTTTGTTTTATGTTGTTTCCTTACCTAATTTAAGATTTTAGTTTTTTAATTCATATTTTTTAAATTTATTTGTAGTTAGGTTTTTCTGTTTGAAACAGTTTTATGTTACATAATGTTCAACTTTGACATTTAAATAAAAATGAACCTTCTGATATCTTTAAACTTCATTTAAGAGTAACACGGACCATTTAAGGATGACAAGTGCTAAATATCAATATCCACTGATATGATAAAGATTTATTGTGATAAACTTTTTCCCATATCGCCCAGCCCTAACCCAGAGACTCACGTCTGCAGACTCTGAGAACACCAGGGTCCCAGACGCACTGCAGGAACTGAGGTCCTTAAACTGCATCCTCCGGCTCTGCAGATATTAAATCGCGGTGTGCACTCAATCATAAAGAAGTTTTAACATCTTAATCAAACTTCTCTGATCTCCAATAAAAAATAACACTGATGCATCAGCTGAATCAGATGAGCTGCACTTTGAGCGTGATCTTTCATTTAATGTAAGTCAAATCCCCGGCGGATGCTCAAGTTTGAAGTGTAAACAGGGTTCAGGAGTTGGAGTGAGACAGAGTCATTACAGTTATATAATTTAAAGCAAATATCACCTCTCATAAATGCATTAGCACTTTCTACGGGTGCAAAGTCGTTCCACTTATTTTTCTTGTCTATTCCCACAGCAGCCAACTTGTCCATTAACAAGCATGAATACTTCTATAATGCCCTAGAGCAACGCAGCGAAGGCCTGCCTACTCATCTAATGTAGGTTTTTACGTAAATGGATGATACTGAATGTAAATGTGGGAGAAACGGGAGGGAGGAGGTGCTCCCTGCTGCGGCATCATAATAATAAAGGTCCCTGGTGTGTGGGTGAAAGACAACACAAAGGTGTGAAGATTCCAGGCGCGCAGACACACACACACACACACACACACACACACACACACACACACACACACACACACACACACACACACACACACACACACGGAGGTTTAATGATGATGGAGACACTTTCTCTGCTGCAGTGAGAAATAGAAATGACGGGTTTGAGCGCGGGAGTGTTCAATGAGGGTTTAAAGACAGATGCTCCGCTTTACGGCTTCATGAAGTGGAGAGGATGATGGTGTCTGGCCAGAAATCAGCGTAGTCTGAAACATTTTTATCACCACACAAAATCAAAGCGCTGAACTCTTATTTTTCTAATGTCTCCCTCTCTGACTGACTCGGTATTGATAATGCATTTAATGACTGCGCTGCCCTTTTCACCTCCTGATAATTACAAAGGTGTGTATGAAGGTATGTGGAGAATGTTTCCTGCTGCAGATGCTTGTTTTCACTTGTGTGTCATTAAAGGAAGTATTCGTATAATGAGTCTGAATTGTTGTTGCTGGATCTCTGAACTCAGAGCTTCTCTGAGGCGTTTTTCCCCAGACAATGAAACAGACCGAAACAAACCGGTGCTTCTTTATGAAATCAACCAAGAAGGCGAACCTGCTGACTTTGAAAGCGACGAGGCCTCACCCCCAATTTCCACCGCATCAGGAACGTCTACAAAAAGGCCGTATCTGCCGATCATAGCTGATCGTCACCATTTGAGTTATTGTGTCTTTACGTTCTGCTGCTGATCGCAAGAGTTTTATTTTTTCCAGACGTCCGAGCATGCCGGATAAATTCAGCAGATTAACCCGTGCTGGAAAGGAAGTCGGGCAAAGACACAAAATAAAACATCCGGTGGGTTATGGACAGCAGGAATCGCAAGAACTCACAGGAACCTGCGGATTCACGTTCAATCGCGCGATAACAAGTTGTCTTTAGCCACAGAGGCTAACCATAAAAACAGTAGATTGTGTCCTTCCAGAGGAGGAAATCTACTTCTAGACTTCTAGAATCAGCATCTCCTCATCCATGGTGTCATCGGGGTGAAATGACGTCTAAAAACCTTTTACTTGTCCGTCTCCGGTCATTTGCATGGTATGAAATACGATCCACCTAAAACACAGATTATTTTATTTTGAAAAGAAGCCAGATGGTTTTATTTTGTGTCTGTGCCTGACTTCCTTTCCAGCACGGGTTAATCTGTGCTGAATTTATCCACCATGATCCGGCGTCCGGAAAAAATAGAACTCTTGCGATCGGCTGCGGAGTCCGGCGATCCGCAGAGGAACGGAAAGAAGTCGGTGGAAATTGACACGTTAACTTGGATGGTTACGATCAGCTACGATCGGAGGATACAACCTTTTAGTAGACGTTCAGGATGAAGGTGGAGATTGGGGGTAAACCTTGAGATGTTGTTTAAAACTGAGGATGAAGCATCTATGATTTACAGTTCTTTGTTGAAAGGACAACTGGACTTACTTGGACTACAAGTAAGTCCAGTTGTCCTTTCCAGCTACGATCGGAGGATACGACCTTTTCATAGCCGTTCTGGATGCGGTGGAAACTGGGGGTCACTCTTTCAACGATATCTTCTGTTTAATTACATGTTGGGTTCATGATGCTGGTCAGGTTGGGACCACTCAAAGATCGCCTTCAGGCCTGAATTGGTTGAAGGTCTCTTAATTGATTAGCCGGGGATTAGGGTATCTATAGGTTATACATCTTTTTAAAGATTTCCCGTCTTCAGCTGCCTCAAAGGTTTCTCTAAACAGAGTCCACTTAGCATGTTTTCAGCCTGTTCAGCGTCCCTGCGATGCTGCCGTTTGTGTCTCCTGCAGGAGCTGGTATGGATTCCTACAATGATATTCGGCTCTGTTTATGCAGCACTGAAGAATCTCCCTGTCTGTTTTCATCAGCGATGCTGACGTGACAGGCAAAAGCAAATTTGGCAGGCTGACTCACGCAGGGGCTGAGAGGGAGCCGGTTGCAAGGTTAATTGGCGGTGGGAATAATTGGCCACCGGGCTCAATTTGTCTGATGGGAGGAATTGGAAACCAATCTTACTGTCTGTTTGGAAACGTTCCATGCGGTTCCTCAATGGAGGCGTCTTTATCTGATGCTCTTCGCTCGATCTGCGTCCTCCTCTCTGATCACAGGCACTCTGGGCCGGCTCTTTTTATCTGCTGCAGATCTCTTCAGAGGGAAATTCTCACAGCAGCTCATTTGGTAAGTCAGATTTAACATAAATGCACTTTAAAATGCTCCACCGCTCTTTCTCCAGCACTGCAAAAATGTGGATTTCCTCTTTTAGATCCTCGTGGCCTTTTAGATGTTCAAAAATCGGACAGACTGTGATTTTATTTTCCAAGCAGGCATTCATTCCCACAATCCAGATCTGAAAAAATACGACTTACGAGGCGAATCCGGACAAATAAAACATCCTTGAGTTTCTTTATAGTTGTTGGTGTTTTTGTTGGGGGAGGTTATGTCAGAGAAGCTCCTGCAGTGCTTCTTAAATTGGTGCTTCATTCAAATGCAGGAACACTCAGACTGAAAAGAGTGTGTGTGTGTGTGTGTGTGTGTGTGTGTGTGTGTGTGTGTGTGTGTGTGTGTGTGTGTGTGTGTTTGTGTGTGCGTGTGTGTGACACGGTGTTCTTTCTGAGGACTGTGTGGGTTTCTCTCTGCAGACCCTCTCACTCTTTTAGCTGCTTGCTAAGCACAGCCGTGTCTCGAGGGCATGATTTGCCTGCCTCTCTGTTGATGGATATTTGTATCCACAAAAGGAGGATCAACAGAATCAGCATGTGAAATTGATTTTCCCTCCGACTACATGTAAATGAACTTTTCAATGATTTCCAAACCCAAAGCCGATGATGCAAATTTAATGTCGTTTTGGCCTCGTTTATACACTCAGATTCTGCTCAGACGGCCTCATGTTCCAGACTGTGTTTATTTTTACCTTAAGGCGAAGATGGAATTTGTCATTTACACTTCAGATAAAATTGAAAACCTGAGATTGTGTCCACTTTTCTCAATCTAAACTGATGTAAAATAAAAACTCAAATGTTCGTCACTTTAACCAAATGACCCGATGTTTCGATGTCTGTTTGACACAAAGTCCCTGCAGCAAAAAAATACATGAATTAACTGTTTTATAGAGAAGAGGATTAGTAAGGAAGCGTAATGCATTCACTTACAAAAAAAAAGTAAACTATTTTTTTGAGTAACTTTTTTCTTCGATGTTTTTCTAACAGATTTTTTTCTTCTATTTCTCTGACTATTTTGTTTCTTCAGTTTTTGTACTAATATATTTTTCCCCCTCTTTCTGTTTTTCAGACAAATTTTTATTCTGTTTTTTGTACTATTTTTTTGTCTTTCTGTTTTTTGGACTATTATTTTTCCCCTGACTAAGCGAGATCATCAAAATCCTGAGAGAATCTCATAAAGAAAAAGAAAGATGTATCTCTCAGTGTCTCAAACCCAAAATAAAGTAAAACTTGATTAAACTAAAAAAGTGGGCCGTGTTTGTTTCTAATAAATCGAGCAGAAGGGGATAAAAGCGTCTGTTTTTAAATGAAAATAGGAAAAATAATTTGTCTGAAAAACAAAACAAACCCCCCGCAGTCGGAAACACAGAAAAGATCAAAAATTCTCTGAAAAGCAGAAAAAATTAGTACCAAGAAAAGAACAGAAAGAAATTACCCTGAAAAACAAAGCTTTTTTTCTTTTTTTTGGTAAATGCAATACACATCCATAGATTAGAGCTGCTGGGGGAAATAAAAGGCCTGATATAATTTTTTTAAATTATTATTCTGAGAAAAAAAAAGCCAGAATTCTGACTTTAATCTCAGAATGATAATTTAAAAATTATATCTGACCTCTTTTTTTTTATTTTCCAGTGGCCCTAATTGTCTTCCGTAATTTCAGAACCTCTTTAGGATCTTTGGGAACTTTCAGCTAAAGTTAAATAATTTAACGATTTTTCCCTCATCATCAGAAGCCAACATTAAGATAATCATAAATACAACTATCACTCATTCATGCAAAAACAATGCCTCACAATTACTCAATATTAATTACACTGTTAATGTCTGGTACTGGTGCTGTTAATGAGTTAATAATGGTGGAGCTACACCGAGCAAAGTCAAATGATGATTGTATCTTTGTTAATTATCAGAAGTCAGATGCACCAACAGTAAAACAGATACAGTCAGTGTTAATGAGGAGGTTAACGATTATTTAAAGAAACAGTAAGTCATTCTTTTTATGTTATTTTCACGGATTTCAAACATGCGCTTGGAACAAAAGAGAAAAAAAACGTGAAATAAGAAAACAGAGAAAGATTGATTCATCAGTCAGCCAATCGATTGACGTCGTTTTGGTGTAATCTGTAACATTGTACCATCATGTAACATCAAATATAAAACTGTTACTGTTTAGTGATTAATTGAAAAGAGAGCCATTGATAGTCATGGGTTACAAAATTGGTAAAGAATTCCACGAAAGAATTATAAATAATGTGTAAAAAGAAATTAACTTTGTTTATTCAGCTTGTTTTGGAGATTTTAAAAACCAAACAAAGTGAAAATATTACAAAGATTCAAAGGCAGATATTTTGCTTCTTGGTACCATTATTAGAGTCTAGTTTTTAGAGCATTTTACTATCAAAAATCCTTTTACTCATTCAAATAAAAAGAATATATGTTCGTATCTAAAAAAGACGAGGGGACCCAACACGCTTCCCTGTGGCATCCCCTCAGTATTTAGAGAGAAGCTGAAGTCGCTCATTTCTCTGTGATTCACTCAGACAAAGACAGACAAATAAAGCTTTTTCTATTCAGATTTTCCTTTGTGCACATTTCTTCTGTACACTGTAATAAAGATGTCACTCTGGAGATAAATATTCAAAAGTTTTTCAGAGACAGAAGATTACTTTCTCGGCTAAATGACACGCTGGGTCCTCTGGTGGGAAGATTGGAGAAAGCTTTCCTGAGCGTAGGAATAAAAAATTGGTGAAAAAGAAGAATTAAACATCACGCTCGTGCTCTGAGGCTTCATCTTTGAAAATGTCGTGGGATGCAAAATTCAGAGTGACTCGACAAAGGAGGAAAAGAATAAAAAATAAACGAATGGAGAAAAAAAACATCAAATTTTACATCCAGGATACAAAGTGATCATAAACTTCTGCAAAGTGTTTCAGTGCCTGAAGTCTTGGACCCGGAGCCGTCGCTCTAAACATCTGAGACCCGACAGATGGAGTGTGTTTGTTAAATATGAGCATTTTGTTTTAGGGGAATGATGTAGATATCGTTAAATCTGCCTCAACAATCCCAAAATGACCTTTCAAGGCCTTTTAAAGCTCCACACGTGCACAAACTCGACATTTTTATATTAAAATATCAGTAAAAGTTTCATTTTCTGCAGCAGCAGCAATAAGACTCATGAGATTTGGTTTAATTCATTATCTTCGCAGATTATCTCGTGACCAAGCAGGGGGAACCCTTCGGTGCGCAAACCTCAATATAAATTAGGGATTAACAGTCCGGGTTGGGACGTATGGATCTGACTATTAATCTAATCCCTCATCAAGCAGAGAAACGGGATAAAACTGTCTGAATACAGGAGCCCAGAGCCGCTTATCTGTGAGGTATTTTATTCAATTTCTCTCTCTCTCATGTTCATCCCAACCATCTCACTCCTACGTCTCAGATTTCTTATCACTTTTCTTCTCTTCGGAGGAACATCAGACGCTCATATTGGTCGTATTCTCAGCGCTTTCATTTATTAGCCCGATTATTGATTGTTTAACGTGACCCGGGCCTCCCTCCCTGTGATAACAGCCCTTTTGTAAATGGCTCATGTAATGGCTTGCAGAGTTTTTTGTTTATTAGGTTCACCTTAAATCTCTCTCATAAACCTTGCTTTTGTAGGCCTTTCGATTTGTCTGTTAAATGGTGCGCCCGAGGTAACACTCGGCACATTAATGTGAAATTCAAACGTCATTCGCCTCCATTATCTCCTCCGATACAAAAAGAAAACCATTTTCTGCTTTATTATTTTCTGGAAATCCAAAATGAAGATCATTACGCTCTGCATTATCCGTCAAATCCCCCAGAAAGGTCAGTAATTCTGCTCTTTTTCCACGCCAACACTCAAGACATACCAAACAATATCCCATCATGCACTCTGGTGTAAATTAAAACAGCAGATAGAAACTTAACTGAGCGCCAACGAACCAAAGAGTCGAGAGAACCTGGAAACACTCAGCTGACAGGTGAGCTGATTCACTGTGACAGAAATCACAAACACTCCATGTCAGAGATATTTAACTTTGATAGATTTGGATGTTTGGACGGATTATTTGGAAAACAAAGAAATGAGAAATCAGATTTGACTCTTACTCAACTTTTCAGAGGCTTAAAACAAACTAAACTGTAAGATCAGGATGTGAAATCGACTTTCTGACTGTATTTTATAAACTAATGGTCACCACGAGCTCCAACACTAACCCTATTTGAATTATAGCAACATAAACCAGTCATCTCAACGTAAATCTAACCTTAATTTTGTAGGGTTCTTGTATTGCCTGGGTTTCTTACGAAAAGTGAAACAGGCCTACAATTCAGATGCCTGTTTTTTAACTGAGCTTTTGTTTTTATGTGTTTTTATTTTCAATGTGCTGATGCTCTGTGCTTACAACTGTTGTCTAAGCACTTTGTAAACTTCTGTTTTTAAAGGTGCTATATAAATAAAATTATTATTATTATTATTATTATTAATGTTTCTTTTCCTCACCAAACTCTAATCTGCTCGTATACTTTAGTTTCTCAGATGACGGTCTAACATCAGTCTGGTCCTCCTCCAGGTTTCTGCCTGTTAAAGGAAGTTCTTCCTCTCCTCTGTGACTTATAAACGCTGTTAAGAGTTTCAGGAAGTGGGTCTCAATCTTATGAAAGAGGATTAGGGCCACAAGAAGAAAACAAAATAATTACAGGAGGGAGATTTTTTTAATTTTCATTTTGAAATTAAAATCAAAATTTCGAGATTAAAGTCAAAATTTTGAGTTAAAAAAAAGTCGTTATAAAGTAATTACAAGAATAAAGTCGTATTAAAATCATTACCTTTGAGAGTAAAGTCATAATAAAGTTATTACAAGAATAATGTTGCATTAAAATTATTACTTACAAGAAAAAAGTCCTCATATTCGGACCTGTTGTTTAAGATGACAGTTGTCAAAATTAGAGCCATAGAGTATTTTGTGAAAATGAACTTCAATATAAATTTCTCAAACAAGGAGAAACTTGATCTTTTGGCACATCAGCATCACATTATCAGAAGAATCATAATGATTTTATTACGACTTTATTCTCGTTAGTAATGACTTTATTCCCATAAATGAACGACTTGAATCTCTTAGTCTTCATTTTTTTTTCTTCATGTGGCCCTAATACTCCGTCATACAATCTTGACCCTTCTTTATAGTGGGTCTTTATAAAAAGAGTCTAGACCTTTTTACCTTTTTCGTGAAAACACTTGAACCGTGACTTGACGTTGTATAAATAAAGATTGATCAATCAGATTAAACGGTAAACAGTCATCTGCTGCACAACGGGTCAAACAAAGAGAGAGAGCTGCAGAGTATGAGGACTGAAGATCTGCATGAACACTAAAGTTAAAAAACAGTTTATCATTTTTCACAGGTAACCTCACGTCACCTGTGCAGCGAGAATCAAAGCCGAAAACCAGCTCAATCAAATATTAACAGCAGCTAAGTCTCTCCAGGCGGCGTGGAGCCCATGCATACATATCTTTTGATGAAAACGGGAAAGCTAATTTGCATTTATCACTGCATTGCAAAGTTCCTCACTAATGATAATTCATGCCAGATATTTATAGCGTCTTTTCATACGCACTCAGAGTCCTCAGGCGCCTGCACTTAAGTGTGTCCCGGGATTTATTTACTCTCTTTCTTTAATTCAGCTGACATATGAAATCAAATTTCAAGAAATTAATTGAAGATGAAGCTGAAGATGAAAGTCAAGGATGTGTGTGTGTGTTTTAGTCATTACAGGGCGGCATTTATCGGGCAGGATTCACTCACCTGTTCAGCTGAGGAAGTCTGTTTGAGAAGATAGAGATGTCCGGAAAACTGTTAACGCTCAGAACTCTGCTGGATCGCCAATTCCACGTGACGCCATTATTATTGTTTACAGTTTCTCAGGAACTTTACCGTCTATCCCTGTGGGATAAAAAGAGTTCACAAGTTTACCCTTTTGTCGATCTATCGAGGGTTTCCAGATATTTCTAGACCTGCTACAAAGTTTACAGTCCAGCCACAAAAACAGGTGTTTGATGAGAGACGTCTGATGGTAAATCTGCAGTGATATACCGGTGAAAACAAGATTATTTATCAGATTGTTATGATAAAAAAAAGATCACTATCACTGAATACTGATAATATCTTCTGAGTTTGACTGTAGACATTATACACGTAGACGCCTCATTACATTCTGGAACGTTATCCAGCATCGCCGCCATATTGGATTGGTCTCCCAACTCCAGGTTCGCTCAAGAGCCAAACGGGGTCAACGGAGAACTACGGCCGTTTTTTTGGCACTCTGTGGTTGAAAAATCCAACGCAGTATTGAAACCAGATCATGTAGAATTATAATTCACAAATAGGTTTGAAAATAATTTGTTGTATTTTTAATGAGTGACATTGTCCTGTATTATTGCTACATCCCTGCCGTTGTAAAAAAAAAAAACAAACAATGTGAAAATCAGGCAGAGACTCTGAGAGTTATTATCAATATGGTTGGATATTCCTACCTACCTTAATGCACTGGAGGCGCATGGGGGACCCATCCAAGATGGCGGCCGTGCTGATATGAGAGCTCCAATAGGCAGCGTCAGGCTTTGAGGCGTCTACGTATATTATGTCTGTGGGTTTGACGAGCTGTTTTAATGACGTCTTTTACTGTCAAAGTTTCGACCGATTAAATGGTCTCATATTCTTCTTCTATTGTTCCCTTGATGCTTCAAGGAGTGGCAAAAACAGCTGTAAATAGTCAAAAACATCTGGAAGAATGAGTGTAAATATGTCAATAGTCTCTGTTGTGTGTTTGTTCCAATCCCAATATTTCTTCTCCTGAAGACTTGAGAGAATGATGGTCAGGTGAGAAAAGGTTTGGTCACTGTAGATTTATGTGTTTTTTGAGCAAATTACTGTTGGTCTGTCACATTTATTTTACATCATTTTTGCTCCATAAACTGACAGCTTGAGAGAACAGAGCTGCTACATAGATTTTTATAATAAAAAAACACCAAGGCGGACCAAAAATATCAAAATAAAGCTGAGAGTTCTGAGGGTTAACACCTCTGAATCATCCCTTTTCCTGAACTTAAATGTGGTATTGATAACCCTCTGATTAAACTCCTGAATAAACTGAATAATCGGTGTTATAGGAAGTAGCTTTAACACAAGTTAACACAAGTTTACAATGTCGGGGAATTGGACTTAAAATGTGTTCAATGTCATCCTCCTTGTAGAACAATTTGGCTCATTAGGATGCAGCGGTGGGACGCTCACCTCGCTCTGACTTTCCGCTCAGACGGCAGCAGCAGCGAGTCCACCTTTCATCTGAAGGCTCGGCTAAACAATGCTTCCCTAATCATTAGACTGGCTAAGCCTGCAGATGAGCTCATCGGCTCTAACGCACCCGTCACAGTAATCATTACTGACAGGACATGCAGCTGCTAATGATCTTCTCTTAATCACACTTAATCAGGTAATAATGATTTTGAGGTGAGAGATGAAGTGCTCGCTCTCTGCTCTCACCGCGCACAGGCCTTGTTTCACTTCACTGGTTCTGATGTCAGCAGGGGGCGGGGCTTCAATATGCTGCAGATCTCTCCACACCCACAGGGTCAGAGGGAGGAGGAGTGGGGGGGTAAATTAGGTCTTCTCTCTGACTATTTGTCCACGGACTCGGTTAATTAAGGATGACGGAGAGATGGAGCAGCAAACAAAACACACGCCGAGGTCCCGAATATCAATATTAGACGTCTGAAAACACGGAGGCTTGTTTGAACTTCAGCGAAATTAATCTGCAGGAGGACCAACAACCAGAATCCGACCTGAAGATATCACTTCTCAGCCGGCGCTGTGAGGGACAGAGCAAAGACGGATAAGAAGAGCAAAGAAGAGCAAAGAAGAGCGCGTCTTAGCCGCTCCTCGGTGTAACGATCATGTTTACGTGCTGACAAACCTCACCGCCAATCAGCTGTTTGTTTGTTTACATCATTTAAAGTGGTACAACCTCAACTAGGGTGACCACATTCTGACTTCCCAAAAAGAGGACACGACTACGTGGGGGCAGAGTCACAGAGTCACACTAAGGTAATTTTGACAGTTTTTCGGGTTGGATCAAGTGTCTTTTATGAGATTCTAACTCAGTAAATCCACGTAACACGAAGTCGAAACTCTCATACAAAACTACGGACATTTAGAGCCCGGACAGCCCCCCAAAAAAGAGGACATGTCCGGGTAAAAGAGGACGTACGGTCACCTTCGCCTTAACCCTCATTTTTGGGCCTCCAGAGATAAAAAAACAACCAGCTTGAACTCTGGTCCAAGTTCTTAAACTGGGACTAGGACAGACTGGAGGAGGACTCAGTGAACCAAAACTTGACGGCCGGCTCGGCTGGTCCACATCGAGCTCTATCAGAGCTGCTGTGGGTCATTATGATACAGGATAGACTTTCACACACTGCCTGATACATGATCGCTCTGTTACACTCATTATTTCAGACCACAAACTGTCTCGTCACTGCAAAGGTACCTAGCTACCCTCCCTGAGTTTGTGTTTGCTAACCTGGTCCCTCACTGGATAACATACAGTTTATTTTTATGCATTTTTTCTGCATCTGCATCAAGGAGTTAGGGCTGCACTATAAACCAATTTTAAACCGTTATTGAATTATTTGATTATGACGATGTTAAAAAAAATTTCGTCAAACGATTTTCCTTTCTATCGAGTCCAAGTTCCCACACACACCAGTGTAAACAAACATGGCGTTTGCAAAAGAAGGCGATAATTTTGTGGTTAAATAGGACAAGAGCGAGTCAGTTGTGTTGAATTGGTACGACTTCACAGTTTCAGATGAAGAGTAAACCACTCCCCGCTGCAAAGTCTGTCTGAAGGCGGGATAAACCCGTCACCATGGAAACGAATTTAGGAGTAAACGCAAAAGTTTTTTGTCTTATCGGCGTTTCAGGTGACTGTAAACGGTACTTTTTGAAAACGGGTCAGAGAGTGAATAAATCTGTAAACGACGACCATTTCATCTCCGTGTGGATGTCTATCTGCATCTCTGGAAACGATCATGTGACACACAGAGTAACTCTTTTATGGCGCCAAAAACAACCTTTATACTCATGCTCTGTACTCTTCTTCTGTCTTACACCGTTACAGCGCCACTTACTGTCATGGCATATGCACTACATCGTTTTCAGTGGTTTTATTTAAAGAGATGATAGAAAACTTTTCATTATTAAAGTGAAGTTTGGTGAAGTTGTCACTGAATAAAAAAATCAAAATCGAAAAACAAGTTTTCAGAGAAAAAAATCTGGATTATAATTCTGGTCAAAATCGTGCAGCTCTACAAGAAGCTTAATCTCTTTCGAGTTCTGACTGGACGGCCGTTATCTTTATGTGGGACAGTGGGACCCCCGAGTCACCACATCCCTGCTGATCAGAAGTGTTTTGGACTTGGTCTGGACCAGGCTTTGGGATTAGATCATAATTTGGACCACTTGTTTCTGTCTCTGATCTGTGTTTGGTGATCAGTGGAAAAGCTGCGGATCTTCTGACTGTGTTTGGTTTGTTTTTCTGAATGTTTGAAAAGGTTTGATTTGTGCTGCTTTGTCTCGTTCGTGTTTTCATTTTGTGTTTGCTTCACTTCTAAAAATCCATTTCGTCTTTTCGTTTAGTGTTTTCTGGAGAGAAGCAGCTCTGTTTTGAAAAGAATAAGAGAAACAGAGACTTTCAAAGCACATTAATTATTGATCAAAGTTTTAATATCCTATTGTTAGGTGTTTATTTTTGCTCCTTTTTCTGCCTGTCATTAACTCAGACAAAGAGGAAGTGCTGATCAGCCGTGCTCTCTCCCTCTTATCCTCTTGTACATTTTTAAACATCCTTCGTCACTCTGAGTTTCTTTAACTCTCAAGGCTCGCTCCTATTGTCAGGCCCGTCAAAAGCACTAATCTGTGTGAGCGCCGTTCGCAGAGATGAGATAAAAAGACACTTTGAAATAATTAATACAAGAAGATCAGATAAATGAACAACCGCAGAAGCTCCTCGCTCACTTCCTCTTAACTCTACGGTTTATAAAACACAGATTTTAGTGCGTTTAAAAAAACGACTCAAAGATGGACAAGCTGTCATTTCAATTAAAACACAACAGTCTCCCACCTCCACTCTTGGACTTCACAGTGAGTAAACTCAATGTCAGTGTCCGTCCATCCATCCAGCTCCAAATCCATCATGTCCACACAGGGTCACAGGGATCTGACCCCCCTTCCCAGCATGCTTTGCTTGGGGATCATAAAGGCGATCATCTCGGACACATATGGGGCCAAATTGGACGAGTCTGTCATGGATGAAAATCTCTGCTCATGTTCCTCATGTTTACTCCGTCAGCCCGAACAACAAAACTCCAGAGAAACCAGAGTCCAATATCAGTATGTTATATAAAAAAATATATATATTAACCAGGCCTTTTTTACACTGAAATGATTATTATTGTGGTAAATTCAAGCTCAGGTTAAATCCTTTGTAAAACACAAATAAGCACTGCAAATTTAAGCCATTTATTTTTAAATAGATAGTATAAAAATCAGCAAATATAATTTAACTAAATAAATTTAGGAATAATTATTTAAAAAAAAAAACATTAAAGTGCAGCCGCAATATTTTTAAATAAAAAGTGGATTTAAACAGAACAGAATAAAATAGTGGTAAATAAATCTATGAATATATGTTGTTGTTTTATTTAAATTAAAGTGGGTCTGAGCCTCGTCAACTGTGTCGGTCATGTGATCCATGCAGTTTTAGATCGGCAAAGAAGAACTGTGTCAGAGCTAACGGAGCTAAATAACTAATTTAATAATGTATGTGGTATCGCATCGGTGCCTGGACTCTAGTACTCGCCGATACTGATACCAGCATTTTAGGGTTGTCAACGAATATTCTAAATTTGAATATATACTCGAATATTTAAAGAAAAAAACAGAGAAAAATGAGAAAATTAATATTCCAGTATTTAATAAAATGAGAGAAAAACTGAGAAAAAAAGAAAAAAACAGTGGGTGAGTGCACTGTAACGACGGGTCAGGGACAGATCACAGGAGCCGTCTGTGTCACATGCAGAGAGAGATGGCGTGATGTTTGAAGCCAAACTCAGAGAGAGTGGTCTGGACGCCAACGAACTTTAGAAGATCCGTTTGGAAATTCTTCGGATTTTGGGCAAACACGGCAGACAGAAAAATGCTGAGAGATGAAGTTATGTGCAAGCTGTGTAAACTAGATATGTAAATACTTTTGAACCTTTGTGTTAATTTTGACAGCCCTACAGCATTTTCCGCTACTGGTATCGGAATCGAAACGACTCTAAATCCAGCGTATCTCCATATCAACACTTCACATCAAGCCAGTTTGTTTGTTCCTCCGACAGATCGACCTGTGTGGGTCTCCTCTCCGTCCTTCGGTCATCATTAAAGAGCAGACGAATCATTATATGTTTTTCACACTTTAATTTGCTGCTAACAGAATAAAAGCCGAACTCTTCCTCCCCCTCCGAGTAAACCCGTGAGCCTTTATCAGAGTTATCACCCTCTGAGTGGTCACACAGCCCGTCAGTGAACCGTGGCCCTCACTAATTGTAAACTCAATGAAGCATTCTTAACAGATGCTGGTGGAACGGCCCCATTAGGCCTTACAGGCGCCTGTCGTCCAGATATCAAAGCCATGAAAAGTCAAACTGTCACTATCACACGGCTCAAACCACATCCATCCACCCGCCAATTTAATTCTTATTAAATGCACATTATGAGTGGAGATGGATGGTCTTGGTCGAGTGGAGCTGCTGCTTTGGAAAGACTTTTGGGAGGACACACACGAACATCACTCAGGAGTGCTGCTGCACTTTTTAATGTGCTGACTTCGGAGAGTGCAAAAACAGAAAAATAAATCCCACATGATGCCAGGGAGAGAAATATGGAATATTTACCAGCGCGGGGTTGGCTGTGAGTGGATTGAACAGATAAAAGGTGGTCCAGCGTGCACATTTGGAGGGTTTACAGCGAGCGCCCTGTGTTTCTCTGCCAGCTTGAACGAGGACAGTCGCTCGTGACACGACAAATAGGCTTTGGGCCGTGTGATGCATTCTCAGACCCCAGTCCCTTATCTCCACCCAGCATTATTATTATTTTTTATGAAACAAGGATTAATTAAAAAAAAAACAGAGGATGCTGCATCCTGGAGATAAATCTAATGTGGCGGTTAACCCCCAGAGGGTGTCGTGTGGCGGGAAAAAACGGGTCGTACGCCGGTTCAGTAAAGCAGTACAGAAACAAGCAAAACCCAATTTTACTGATATTTTATTCTTTAATTAGCAAAACCAAATAGAAAGCAATTACTCCTGCTAATTTCTCAACTGGAGAGAGATGAATGTTTTTGCTGTTGTTGTTTCTGTTTAAATGATTAATTGATACTCTTTAGAAAGTAATTAGCATGCAATTATCATTTTCTTTCAGTCATCCAGAGCAAATCAAACTGATGATAAACTGTTATCTTTATAACATCCGTGAGATTCTCCACAATGACAGTCCATGTCTCTCTCTCTCTCTCTCCCCCGACCTGTTCGCTCGCCCTCGCTCTCTGTGTGTGACCTAGAGTAACCTTTTTAAGGCCTCTTCCCGATCCACAATCAGGAGATCGTGACAAGTTGCGTGGCGGGCCTCCCGTGTGTTTCACAACAAGCCAGCTGCTCCTCAGGGATATTATGGCAGACAATCTTCTTTGAATATTCATCAGGCCCTGTTGCTGGCACACACACACACGCACACGTCTTTACACACACACACACGCAGAAAGACGATCATCATATACAACAATTCTCCTCTGATCAAAGAGAGCTCATTATCTCGTCGCCGAGCTGCAGAGTTTCGCTGAAATAACCAATCAGTGGGAGCTTTCAGCGCCCGCTCCTCTTTCTGCCTTCTCAGCACACGTTCTCTTAAACCACGACACATCTGATTCCCTTCCTCTTAACTTCACATGTTGATTCGAGTGTCTGCTCGGAGAGAGAGGGCCCTTTGATTGCATTAACAATAAATGAGAAAGTGTGTCTGATGTATCTCTAGTGTAGGGTTTGATTCTGCTGCCGTGAAGATTTCTGTCTGATAATCAGCCTCTTGAATGGAGTGGACCAATCGTGCCTCAAGATGTCCCGTTTGATATGCGTGGGCCGTCTTGAATGCATATGTGATGACAGACAATTTCCAAGAAGTGAGGGGGAGATCTGACCCAGATTATCCTCTTTTTACTCCGCTCAAATTACAGCGATAATCACGGAACAGATTTGGCAGATGACCCCCCGACTCCGCTCCGACCTGCAGCAGCAGATCTGCTAATGACGACACCCACAAAGAAAGAGACTCTGAAAACCAACAGACAGAGAGAGACAGAGAGAGAGAGAGAGAGAGAGAGAGCGCTCTGGTTTAGTCTGGTCTGATCGGTCCTCAAATCAGAAATTCGCCTGTTAAGATTTTGTGATAAATCGTATCAGGAGGATTTTATTGGTTATGATGGAATTTCTTGTCTGGTGAGATTTACCAAAACCGTTGACCTCCCCTGATCTGGGTAAGTAGATATAATGCAGAACAATAGACACTGTAATAAATAATTGCTGTACAGCTACAGTTGGGTAATTCATTCCACCATTTAGGGGCAACAGAAGAAGAGAGTTTGGTGAGTGACTTGAGGTCTGCCAGTAGGGTTGGGTACCTAGAATCAGTTCCTAATGTCCTGTTACGGAACCATTGAGGAGATTTTTGAATTTCGATTCTTTGTTTTGGTTCCGAGTGCTTGCACTAGTTTGTTCTCTGCTTTTCCACTAGCAAGAACATCGCTCGTCTGAACATGTACCACAAAAAACGCTCTAAAATCTTGCTTCATTTGAATTCAAAAGAGGAGGACAGAGTAGCACAGAGCACCAACTGCGAAAAAACTATTTCTGCCAAAGGAAGATACACGACCAACATGATTAGATAAACACCTCCTGATTCATGGAGTAGAAATAACTGAGTGCCCCGTCTTTGACATGCTTCACCGGTCGTCCTCTAACTGGTCAGAATCAGATAGTAAAACAACAAATGATGTCTGTCTTCTGCTAACACTGAAGCGGTAAACAAATGAAAAAAGAACTCTGGTTAGAGCCCTCATTTACACTATCAACAATCAAACCATCATCAACCAAAACAATCAGAAGAGACAATTGTTAGGAACAGGAATCAGGAATTGCCCAGCCTAACCTGGCGGTGAGGAGTTGCAGTAGTAAGTACCTGAGATTACCAGAGCCAACACAGATTCTGGATCTGTGTTGCATGCTCAGTCAGGAAGGGTCTGATCTTCTTGATGGTATAAAGAGCAAAACGGCAGGACCAGCAAACCGCGGCCACATGGGCCTTGAAGGTTCACTGGTCATCAATCATGACGCTCAGATATCGGGCAGACTTATGCTGCGTTCAAGGTACCTCGGACAGCAGATGTTGGAGCTGGGAATGAGTTACCAAATGGAAAAAAAGAAAAATCAGAGGTAGAAACAAGATGGCTACATCTATGAAAGTGATTTTAGCACTTGCCTTGTCAGAATATAAGCAATTTTTGGACAAATACACAGTCCTTCTGCAACATCTTGTTTCCGCCTCCAATTTTGCTTTTTTCTGACTTGGTAATTGAAAAGCTGGGAACTTGTGTGACGTCATTCCCAGCTCCAACATCTGACTTCTGAGGTAACTTGAACTCAGCATTAGTAGGCGTGACTTGATTTGATCCGAATTGGATATTGATCAGTGCCGATTTCCTCTCTGGGTGGTCCTAGGATAGATATGATTCCAGATGACCAGAGGTTTATCGGTACACAAAAATCACTGTTTGGAGTCATCTTTGCTGAATAGATCGAAATAAAGTTTCAAGAAGTGAAATGAGGTCAACATATTTTAATTATCGGACAGACTGTGAGCTGCTCACTTCATCACTTCTTCTTCTGGAGGTGCGTGCGCCAGGTCAACGTGGAGCGGTCTCTTCCAGCATAAACATTGATCCAGTGTTTAACATTACTGCGGGCCTTGTCGGCCACTCTTGACTGATCCTCCTCGCCTTGCAACAGCAGCCTTTTTATTATTGTTTATTTGCCTTAATTTAGTTTTATTTTCCCAGTGCAGTCAGCTAATAGTTCTCAGCCTTCTGCGAGGAGCACAGGCCTCCCGGGGTGTTTCAGAGTAATTCGGTTCCACCTGAGGAGACACACATGCTTGCTCAAATGCAGAATCAATAATAATTGACTTTGCAGAGGGGGAGGGGGAGCGTGTCTTCAAGTAGATGTTGGAGTAGTGCAGATAATATTTCAGGAGTGGAGAAGTGTTCGGACAGTGCCGCCGCAGCGTCCATCGGGGTTATTGACGACTCAGAGAAGCTCTTTGTCTTAATGTTTCTGCCTTCCTCGTTTTCTCGCCGCCCTCCAACAGCTCGCCCTCGCCACGGTTCCATCACCCGGGGAGTTTCCTCTCACTTTCTTTCTCTTCGGGCTCGTATCAATAACCAGAGATGGATTGAGCGAAAGTGAGACGCAACACTTTCACAGCTCATGTTGGGATCTCGCAGATGGAGTATTGATCACAAATGATGGCTTGATTAAAAGTTAACAGACGCTCTGATGACTTCTGTTAATCCGTCTTCGAAGACTTAGCCGCCTGTTGATCTCCACTCACTGTCACAGAACATTTTTCTAAAAAACTGCCCTGGTGCACAAAAATGAAGCTGTTTTAGCCGTTTAACGTGCCGATTTAAACACTTTTGAATCAAGGTAAACTTAAGGTGACCATATTCGTACTTCCTAAAAAGAGGACACGACTACAACAGGGTGGAGTCATGGAGTTACATGGACTTCATTATGAGAGTTTTTTGGGTCGGATCGAGTGTCTTTCACGCACTTCTAACTCAGTAAGTCCACGTGACACAAACTCGAAACTTTTGTACAAAACCGCAGACATTTGAAGCTGGGAAAGGTGGCAAAAAAATATAGGATATCACCACATGGGCTCAGGAACACTTCAGAAAACCACTGTCAGTAAATACAGTTTGTCGCTACATCTGTAAGTGCAAGTTAAAACTCTACAATGCAAAGCCAAAGCCATTTATCAACAACATCCAGAAACGCTGCCGGCTTCTCTGGGCCCGAGCTCATCTAAGATGGACTGATGCAAGGTGGAAAGTGGATTGTTTTTGGAAATAGTGGACGTAGTGTCCTCCGGGCGAAGAGGAAAAGAACCATCCGGACTGTTATCGATGCAAAGTTCAAAAGCCAGCATCTGTGATGGTATGGGGGTGCATTAGTGCCCAAGGCATGGGTAACTTACACATCTGTGAAGGCAACATTAATGCCGAAAGGTACATACAAAATGAAAATGCGTGGCGCATTATGAAGCATAAAATACGACAACGGAGACCCCGGACTGTTGAACAACTGAAGCTGTACATCAAGCAAGAATAGGAAAGAATTCCACCTTCAAAGCTTCAACAACTAGTTCTCCTCAGTTCCCAAACGTTTATAAAGTTTTGTTAAAAGGAAAGGTGATGTAACACAGTGATAAACATGCTCCTGTCCTAACTACTTTGGCACGTGTTGCAGCCATGAAATTCTGAGTTAATTATAATTTGCAAAAAAAAAAAAAAAGGTTATGAGTTTGAACATTAAATATCTTGTCTTTGTAGTGTGTTCAATTGAATATGGGTTGAAAAGGATTTGCAAATCATTGTATTCTGTGTTTATTTACGTTTATCGCAATTTCCCATCTTTAATGGAATTGGGTTTTGTATTAATGTCCCCGGACAAATACGGACAAACCCAGACAGACCCCAATAAAGAGGGCATGTCCAGGTTAAAGAGGACGTATGGTCACCCTAGATAACCGGCAGCCACAGATTTGAATATTTCTTGTGTGGTTAAACTCTCCGACAGCAAGTAAAAACAGGATACTTTTAATTTTGCATAAATTTGCCAAAAACGATCAATGTTCAGAAGAAGACAAATCAATAATCTGACTGCTGAGTCTACAGTTCAGGATGTCACAGATATAAAAGTTGTCTGTTCTTCTTCTTCTTCTGCTCCTCAAATAGATTCGCTTTAAACTTTTTATTGACTTTCTTTCATGGCCACCTTTGAGCCGTTTCTCCTCAGAGCTGCTGGCAGCGATTCTTGGACTTGACTGAGAACGCAGCTGGTGTTTCCAAAATATCCACGCCGACTAAAAAAATCTTAACGAAGCGTATACCTGTCAGAATTTAGTTTTGCATTTCACTGAGTCAACCCCTCAGCCTGCTGCGGTGCTTGTGAAATCAGGATCTCCTGGTTACAAACCCACATTTCTAACCTTTAGACCTGAGATTTTGAGGATTTCGAAACCGGCAGGATTCCTCTGCTTGGCATGACACACAGCCGCCGGCAACACTGCCAGCTTTCACAGCAACAAACCACAAAGAGACTCAGAGATTCAAGAGAAATTTAAGCTTTGAAAAGCCTTCTGGAAAAATGCCACTGAGTCACAGAGGGTACTTTAGAAGAAATTATCAAGGTTTACCACCATTTTTGAAATTCGTTTTGTAAGCTTCCCACACTGGCTTCAATCTTTCTCTTTTAATCTCGGCATAACTAATGTGATGCACTTAACAAGATTATTGACTGATGTATTTGATTTTTAAGGTGAGTCAACCGTCAGGATATCGGAGAGGGCGAAAAATTCAATTAGAACATCTTTTAAACTCAAACATTTTGTTATCCGATCCAAGAAAAAACACTTCACTCCTCAAACACCTTCACCTTTTACAGCGTGGGCTGAAATCCTGGCAGGCCATTCAAGCTCATGAGCAATCTTCGAACCGCTAACAACTTAATCTCATCATTCACACTGTTATCATTTATGACCTGCGCTCAAAGAAAACATTTCACTTCCCATTCATGAGGTTTTCTCTTGTTCTCAGAGATACTCGGCCTCCAGATTCTTGTTGCTAAATACTCTTAAAAAAGCCGACGGTACAAACAACTTTTGGTTTATTCGACGGACACTTTAGAGATCTTTCAACAGAAGAGATTTTTCTTAAAGTCTAACGACACGATATAAACCATGTTTGGAGCGTTTTAAGAACTTAAAACAGCAAATAGATTATTGTTTGTACAGATGGATTACAACTTATAATGTTTGACATTTATAGAAGACGTGCGTTAATGCAAGTGTTGAGATGAAGCACACAGGGACATACACTGTGGGCACAACTAATTAGTTAGGGCAATATGAAATCTGTTTTAATTTTTCCAAATTCTCTTCCATTTTTTACCTTTTACACTTCTTTACTACCTTAGGGTGTATGCTTTTAGTGTCAGTAAATAAAATGTTGATTAATAAAATGCAAATATTCCTACATTTACAGCTGTAAAAGTCATTTGGAGATTGCTTGGATCTAGTACTTTGGAGACAGAGAAGAGTTTTGACGTTTTTTTTATAGATGTAGCCCAGCCGTCTCTGGTCGCCACTTCGACATGCTGTTATATCAGGAGGGAGTGCTTGTGAAGATGTATGGGTATTGCCATTAATGAGTGGTCCCTGAGAACATTTCCCTGGACAAACGTTCCTTCTCCTTGCAATAACAGTATTTCAGTCACATTATGCCAATTTCCACGTGATTCAACATTAACAGTAGATTCCATTGTTATTGGCCTATTCCGCGATTCCGTTAATGTGGAAATCAAAGGGCCCTAAATAAGCAAGTGAACATTTTGATCATATCATTAAGATAAGATCATGAATTTGCCAAGATTTTTGGACAAGACCACAAAACTATCAATTGGTCTGTTTTAACTATCCAAAAAGATTGCAAGAAATTGTTGAGAGAAAAAGACACAAATAAACAGCCAAAGATCTGAGAAGAACTGAAGTGGATCTACCAGGAACCCATTATCCCCCAGAGCTGCAACCTACCTGGAGAGTCCAGAAGTCCACGGTGTTCAGAGACATTTTCAGGGTAAGAAAGGCTGAAACCCGACCACCAATGAACAAGACAGAGAAGCTGAAAAAACACGACTGGGCTGAGAAATATCTGAAGACGGATTTTTCAAAGGTTTTATGGACTGAAGAGACGAGAGTGAGTCTTGATGGACAGACAGACAGGCCTATGATTGGATCAGCAATGAGCGTAGAACTCCACTCTGACTCAGACTCTAGTAAGGTGGAGGTGGGATACAAGGATGGGCTGGAAAGATCCAAGATGATCAAAGACTCGACTCCCAGACCTACTTCATGTTTCAAGAGGAAAAAAGCATCTACTCTAATAATCGTGCACAGAGAGTACTGTTGCTTCCTTTTTTCTTTGGACACACCCCTCTAGTGAATCCACGGCGTGGACAGGTGGGGTTGTAATCCTGTCACTCAGCGGTACAACTCCCATCAGTTACTTGGAGCTCCTGCATTCAGCTGCAGCGACACACAGAGGGATAAACAGGATTAATGAAGCCATCTTTCCAGGATTAAGCGGTGCGGCACACACAGCTCTGTACATTAAGAAGGAATCCTGCAGTAAAATACTCCGGCATCCTCCAAACTCTGCTCCTGTTATCTGAGAGGAGGAATGCCTGCAGGATAAACACTCTCCTCCTGCCCTCCAGGCGAGGCTTGTTTTTCTGCATTTGTTTCAAGTTGATTCAGTCAGCAAGTTAACGTGGAGTCGCTGCAGGGCGGTCAGGATTGGTGGGGCAGAAACTCGCAGATATTGCAACGATCACAGAAACGTATGAGATGGGTGAGATGTAGCCTCGTGTTCATGCTGCTGCAGCGAGATAAGACAAGGCCCATTTCAATTTTTTACCTTGTTGACAGCAGCTGGCAAGTCGTATTCCAGCTGCACGCTTCGGCTAACGCTCATGTGTCAGAGTCGAGGTGGAAGTTTGTGAATCCTGCCAAATGGAATCTCTTCTTCTTCTGCACAAAACTCGCGTTGATAAAAATGAGAAACTACTTATTTCTATACCTGAAACTTCTCGGCAAATGCATATAAAAAGAAAGATAATAAAAAGTTGGTCTCAAGATTATACAAGGGTATGCAAGCCTCTAAAAATCATTCTACGTTATCCATTAAACAAAAATGGGAAAAGGAGTCAGGAATACAAACATCAGAAGAGACCTGGATAGAAATGTGTGAGACACAAGCGACAACTGCAAATTCAAGATCTTTAAGAGAGTTTGGCTGGAAGAATGTGGTGAGATTTTTCATAACCCCTAAATTAACAGCACTGCAAACAGGCACACAGAACCGAGGCTACTGCTGGAGACAACGTGGAACCCCTATGGCTAATCACTTTCATATTTTTTGGGCCTGTCCGAAAATCCAGTCATTTTGGAGGGAGGTGTCAACCGAGATAAATAAATATTGGGGGTGGATTTAGACTTTTCTTTCGTTGTTTTATATCTCGGTAAAATCCCAGAAACAGACCTACATAAGGACAGGTACCTGTTGAAGATTCCTTTGGCAAGTGGTAGGAAAGCCATAACAAGAAGGTGGTTACAACCAGATTCCCCAGCACTGAACCAGCGGCACGGGATTCTCCAAGAAATTCATTGTATGGAGAGACTTACTTTTCTTTTGAGACTTTAGTTGGAGAAATGTTTGAAATGCTGAAACGAAAATAGTATGCACCTTGAATAGTGAGACATTTGCTATGATTAATGTGTGCTTGTATATATGTATCTATGTGTAAAAGAATATTCACATTATTAATATTATATAATATTCGAATATTCAGCTGTATCACCCATGATGACCTCATGTTCTGTAAATAAATAAAAAGTTTAAAAAAAAAGAAACTTCTCGGCAAACAAATACGAAACACAGACGAGTCTGTCGCAATGTGCCGGGTCACAGATATTGAATATTCATCTAAACATCCATCCTGCTTTATTTGCATCGTCTCTTCTGTGTATCGATCTGTTAAACCAACAGTCACAAGGAGGGTCAAAGGTCACCGTTAGAGGTTAAATGAGCCACATTTAAGATGATGTCGGCTCCTGTTTCACTGAAAATCAATAAGATTTGAGAGGCGGCGGTTTCTCTCTATGAAGCTCTTCCAACAAACTCAGACGTACAGACTAGAGCACGACACGGGAGCGGATTTTCACTCCTGTCCCGTCCCACTCCCGTAGAATGACTCCCACTCCCATCCCGCTCCCACTCAAAATTACTCCCTCTCCTGTCCCGCTCCCGCTTGAATAAAACCAAACATGTTGAAAGAACGTTGCATTTTTTTATTTTAGGTAAAAGTGCAGTGCGTTATCTTTTCATAGTCTTTGAAAACTTGTCACTGAGATCAGCAGCTTCACTCACCGACAGGAAAATAAGATTTCCTCTTTATGAGCAGATCCTGTATTTATCTATTTATTCAGATGAATGTGATTCACAGAGGGGGAAGGTACTCAATTCACATTTGCAGTAGATGTTAAAGACCTGCAGCTCCAGCGAGCTCTCAGGAATCCACAAAGGGATCACTCACGCGATACAAATGTAAAGCAAGATTTTTATCGCTTCCCCTCGTCACACGCGGCGTCTGCTTATTGTCATATTTATCAAAGCTGGAGACGAAACCCTCGATGAGGTTAATGAGATGGAAATGAGGAGTCACTGAGAACACAAAGACCTCCATTTGGACCTAAAGTGTGTGTTTTTAAGCAGACAGCTGTCATTACACCTATAGGGGGCCGTGTACAAGACCTGAATCAGGACGAAACCACTTCCTGCTAAAGGGAAAACAACACAACACGACATGTCGAGAAAAACAGACTTTATCACAACATGAGGCGGCTGCACTTTCTCTTGTTTCATACATCGATCGACTGAAGCACAAAGACAGACTGACATGCATGCAGAGGTTGTGGTTTTAAAATAGTCCCTTTTCGGGATGGACCGTTCAGATATTTGGATCTGATATCGGCTCTGATATTGACAAATTAACTGGATCAGATATCTGATGAATGACGCCGATCCACTTTTTTTTTTTTTTATTAGTATCAAACACAGCGATTCTGTTCGCTCCATATTTTATGTCTGTCTGTCCTTTTGCACTAAATGTTCACATGGAAGTCTGACTTCTTTTTGCTGTGTGCTAATGTGTAATTTGTTATTTGTCAATAAATAATATTAACTAAATTTATATCTGTGTTAAAGGTGGAGTAGGCAGGAATCCGTTAAAGAAGCATCTTTTTTGTGGTGTATTTACAAAAAACCTTTTAATATCAGTCAATAGTTATTAGTTATTGATGACATTTGGTAATATATCGATATCTCTGTGTTCTCTTATGTCTGTGTTGTCAACATTTGAAATTCTGAGCGGTCCGCTCTTTCTGACTGTAAACAAAGCCGTTCTCCACCTCCTCTAACCTGATTGGTTGTGAGGCAGACGCTGCTCCCCCGTGTCGTTCAGGAGCCCAAACAAAGTTAGCGTGCTACAATATCGGACAGTAGAAACCAACCAGAAAGTTCGGAAAATTGTCTGAATCCTCCTTTGGCCACGACTGCTGACACAAGCAAGAAAACAAAGTAAATACCTGAGACTCTGGAGGAATAACGGGCGCTTAAAACGGAGGTAGACCGGACAAGAGCCAAAAAGCCGGGTCAACATAAACGATGGGGGACGCTTGGGGATCTTGGTGACCCTGTAACCTTTCTGCTGGACAGGTAAACCGCTTTAACAAAGTAAGACAAGTGTCTGTAACAGAAGTGTTTCTTGTCAAACGGACCTGCTGTAGCGTGTTGTAGCGCCATCGCTAAACTGTCCTCCCTCGGGTCCTGGACTATGTCACTTTATCCTCGTTGTAGAAGTCCTGCAAACATTGTGTTTGCTGGTAGTCTGTTGGCATCTACAGGTCAAGCCTGCTGCCTTCACTCACAGTTCATTCATTCATCAGTAGTATTGGATCAATATCGGATATCAGCCGATATGCTCAGCCCAGGTATTGGATTGGATAAAAATGGATCTGTGTATCTCTAGTTCCTTTTTTTCCTCGTTGTCCTTTTCCAGGAGTTGAACCAGTGACCACGTACCGAGGACTCTCCACACGCCCGCTCTACAGTCTCTGTATTTTTCATTTATTGTTGTTTCAGAAATAAATTCCCCCAAAAAGAGACAAAAACTGACAGAAGCGGATCCAGCGTCCGTCATTCAGCCGTGCGGCGATAAACCCCCGAGTGTTTTGATTGTTGACTTGGAAACCGGCTGCGAGCTCAGGATTAACCAGGTCTGCGTGTCTCCTCTTTGAGCTGACCCAGCAGGACCCCGGAAAAATGGTTTGATCCTAAACCTGAACCCCTCATCGCTGCTGGTCATGACTGGTTCAGACTAACCTCTGAGCGGAGTCTCTGCGGTGTGTTTGGAGGTGAGGTAGCTCTGCTGGAAAGTGCACAGACAGGCCCAAACATATTATTATCTTCAGCTCCGGCACTCGTGTTGTTTTTCACCAGGATGCACAAAGATGGAGGATCCTCTGTCGACAGCACTCATCACTGTAAGAGCTTTAAACAACACGATTTATTTATGATACGACAAACTTATGGAGGAGAACTTTAGGATTACAGCGCCGCAAAGAGGAGAGGATTAGAGGGATGAATAATCCTGATTTTCTCTTCTACTGCTGTGGGAACAAAGAGAGAAGAAAATAATCACAATCGAGGAAAAGAAAGGGAAAGATCTCTTCAGCTCCTCAGAAAATCACTTAATGACTTTCTTTAGAATCAAGTGTGCTCGTTAGGGGAGTTCAGAACTAATGAGCATTAAAAGATCCGCAGAAAATCGCTCCCTGGACATCCCATTCACTTAACACTCTGCTCTATTATCATACATTTAAAGGCCCTGTGAGCATCATTGATGTGTTATTAGATCTCAGGGTTCGGTCATATGACACAGTCAGGGTGAGGATGTGTGCGGCGCTGGGTGTGATGCTTTTAGGTAATACTATTTTATTATTATTGTGTGTTTTGGTTTTGTTTGTGCAGATTTGTTTTCCTAAAACCAAAACAGCGAGAAAAAGGTGTAACAGAGGAATTTGTGTTTAACTACAACTGGACGGAGCAGCAGAAGGAGTTAACAGTGGAAGTTAGAGCTGGACGATTCTGGCGAATATAAGAATCACGATTATTTTGACTAAAATTGAAATCACGATTAATAAACACGATTATTTATTGATTTCAAAACTTAAGTATTAACTTTAAATATAACTTAAAAGAACAGTCAGAAATAAATTGATAAGTCAAAAAATAAAAATTGATCAGCTATGTGATTGCCGAACGATAACTTGCCAATGTTAAAACTCAGTGTGTACACAAATACATATGAGTCAGAGTTAGAGCCACGGAAATAAAAGAAAAAGCTTTTATTTAGCTGTGTCGGTGCATCACGATCAATATGTGGAAACCCTGAAGTTGGTCGTGTTGTCTTGGGGAGCAGAAATGACACAGTGACAAACTTTGAAAACTATTTCCTTTTGCTCGACGGTCGTCAAATTGAAGCCAAAATGTTTCTGGATAACTGAAGTTGTTCTTTCTTCTCAACCAAACTCTGCCTCTCTGCCACGTTTTCAATCACTCGCTCCTCATAGCATTGATCCACACGTCACACACTTGCTGCAGTTGCACGTAACAGGGGTGCATTAAAGGTGTTTTTCCAGGCGCATTAATCAATTACGATGTTTTTATGCTCATGAGAAGCCAAAATCGAAATCATCGTCCAGTTCTAGTTGCAGTCTGTCAGGGTGCAACAAACAGGTCAGCTTCTGCTCTTTTCTCTTAGAGTTTGTCAACATACTTGATCCTTTTCAACGCAAGAGCAACTTGATCAGTGGCGCGCATCAACTCCCTTCCAGTTCGTTGTTGGTAGCGTCCGTAGCTACCACCATAGCAACAAAAACGTACTATCGCTTTTGCAAGAAAGTTGAAAGAAACCAAAAAACAAGGGATCATTGAGATAAACCGAACAGATACTATGAAAACAAAGTGTTCATTTGTCGCTAGAAAAGTTATCAAAACGAAGTTAAAGCCACAAGCTACCTTTAAAAATATCACAATTTCCACCGAAAACAGAGCGGATGTCCTCCATGTTTTTTGTTAACGCAGAGAGAAACACGGCAGTCGTGAGCTGAAATCTGACCGCAGAAGAGATTGGGATTGTGTGAGCCTGCGTCGTCCCCTTAACCTTTATGATACAGCGATGTAAAATCAGACAAAACGGATTCATCTGCAAAGTCTCAGAGCACGCCCTTCTTTTCTTGTCTTTCTTCCTCTTCCTTTAAAGAAACCGCCACAATCTCCCCGGTACGGAGATAAGCTCCACGGCGCCGCGCTCTTGTGCGGTTCAGGTGTGTGCTTCGTATCTCAAGCAGTAAAACCCCGAAACACAACATACATCATCTTGTCTTGTGTGCGAGCCGCTGTGATGTGTAGCCTGGAGCTCTGCCGCTCTGCCTGTCTCTTCTGTGTGCCGCTCGCTGCAGTCGATTACCTGAACAGAATCCATTGATCATGCCTTCCTGCTGCTTGAATGACACCCTCCCACATCCTGGAGATTACAGGTGAAGGTATGTGCAGGACGCCACTCCCTGATTTTATGCTGGTTCTACGCTCGCTGGATTATTCTGAGGCCCTCAGTCTGACAGGACATGATACTTTTGGAGATGTCAGATTTTTGGGGGGTCTATTCTGACTCGGTGGATGCTGTGCTCTGAATTTTCATGAAGGTTGGAGAGCTGATTGACCGGTAAATTGAATGTTTAGCCTGGAGCTCAGCCCCGCCGTCATGAGCTGATGTAACGCCTGCAGCAGACGCCTCAGACAGAACCTCGATCTCACGCTTCTTTCTATCGCCGCTCATGAATAAGTCCCTCAGAAATGTGAAGTGCTGCTCTCTGGATGGCTGCCACCCCCCACCTCCACCCCAACAGATGATGTCGTCTATTTGGTGTCATCGGACCGTGAGCTCGGCGAGCGCTGGAGTGGTTTGAGGCGTCAGTGTGACGTGGTTGAGATGAAAATCAGCACTTGGAGGTCTGACACCGCGTTTCCGTCTGATGGAGGAGCTCAGTGAGGTGGAGGGCGGCGAGGCGCTGCTGCTCTGGTTAACAATGTCGTCGTCCCTGCATCAGTTCACTGCATGAATGATAGATTTGAACCTGAGTCACTCGACTGTGCTTCACCAATGTCAGTTTTTCAAATGCTGATAACAGGAGAGCGGGTCGGCTGATGGTCGATATACGACGCCATTATCATGTTAGAGTTTTTCTGCATTTGAAGACACAGAATTAAATATCACTCGTAAAAGAGAAACTAAAATGTTGAGCTTGAATAAAAATTAATCAAAGAGTGTCGACGTTAAAGTATTTGGTCGAGTGACGGTGATAAAAATGTGCATTTAGAAAAAGGGTGAAATCAGCCTTTGGTGAGAGCTGATGCTGATGATGATGTGGCGCCAAATATTACAAAAAGTCATTAGTAACGACTGCAACTAACAATATTTTAACAGTTGACAAGTCACTATCTATTGAAACAATTCGTCAACTAATCGGATAATTACAACTTTTTTCTCGTCTTCTTTGCAAAACTTGAAAATTATTCTTTTTTTTTTTTTGCCTTATTTCGGCTGAAGTGTTCCCAAACTTTGGAAGTTTTTAAGCGCGTACTCGTAGCTGCTGTATGGGATGCTGGCGCCGCTGCCATGTTTGAATACCCTACTGCTTGGTGGAGACGCTTTTGCTTATGTGTGACTCTAGGCAGATTGTAATAAAGTAAGAGGCCTCACCCCACTGGAAAAAAAACATCTGGCAACAAAAGCCGACAATGGATTAATTGTCAACTTTTTTCATGATCAATTTTTATCAACAACATTCACTGATCGTCACAGCACTAATCACTAATCTGTCTTCACTGGAACAAATTCATTAACATTCATTAGTTGTTCATATTTCCGGAGATTCATGTCAAACTTTGGACCTTAAAAGTCTAATCTTTGTTGGATTTCTTGTTCAGCGAATGATCACGAACTAAAAATATTTACATTTTAACACAAATAAAGTAAAAAAAAATTAATCTTTTTTGTGAACTTACAGTTTCGTTTCTTATCAGCTCGCCTGATCACTTACTGTGACTTTCTTCATAGATCCCTAAAGTTGTTTTTACGTCATAGACTGTTTAATACGTGGACGTAGAATCATAAACCACATTGGTGATGCTAAATCAACCAAACTTTCAGCCAACCTGAATCTAAAGTTTTAATTTCTGCTCTAAAAATTTCTTCTTTGGCAGAGCGTGTGCGTAGCGTCCGCTGCGTCTGTGATCAGCCTCAAGTGGACACTCAGGGAACTGCAGTTTTCATCACTCCCACGCACGTCCATTTCTTCTTTACTTCTCGTTTGTGTGGACCTGGTGGACTTCTGTCACGCTCAGTAAAACTGCCGTCATTTCTTAGTTTGACTGGGTTTGAATCACATTTTAATCCTCCTACGATCAAAGAACCACGTTGATCCTGAGAAAACAGATTCCTCTCTCAGGTCCTCACCTCTGAAGTCAGTCAGAGTGAAGCGTCTGTGTGTCTACTGTTGACCTGTGACCTCCTGGGTCTTGAAGCAGATGAACGGCGCTGTCCCGAGGATGCAGTAAACCAAGAAATGACAGCGTTTATGTTGCAGATGTAAATTCAGAGTCTTGGCTGGACATCATTTTTGTAACCCTGGCCTGGACTGGAATCGCTGAAACGTTGGCATCAGTTCCCGGGAGCATCGATCACCTCCCGTCATCAGACAAATACAGACGACGAGGGCTGAGATCGGCCGTCGTTTAGCTGAAACTTTAACTCGTCATATTGTCAAACGGCTCTTCTTTCTGCAGAGTAACAGTGTCGGCACTTTTGCGTCTTGAAAACTCACACCTTCAGCTCTGAATTTAACAAACTCTTTCAGGATTTCATCTCGTTTCCTTCAGTCCATCTCTGTGTGTGCTTCACAGAGACACTGTAGCCTCCCCGGGTGATTGAATATGTGATTTTGGAGTCTGAGGGTTTCAAAGAAAGCCTGGAGTCTGTATCGTGTCCACATGGCTCAGTAGTGCCTGTAAGCCTGATTGTTTGGGATGTTTCCATACGCTGAACCACAGGAAATTGCTTTCTAAGAGGACGCTCTCATATGATGCATTTTACAGCAGAGCTTCTTTTCTCCAAGGACACGCCGCCGGGCCTTGAAGACGGAGCCGAAAGGTGAATTAAATCTAGTCGGTGTCACAGCACGGTGTTTATAATAGTTTGTTGAGGACAGCACAGGTCACTGCTATCTGAAGGTTTTGTGCAGAAGAGCCAATTTGTGGAGAAACACTGCAGCATTTAATCAGGTGTGTAATTGTGCGGTTGTCTCTGACCGTGTGTGTCTGCCTCGTGTGTTTCTCCTCGCCTGTTTTTCCAGCTTCAGGTAAACTCGGCTTTGACAGCCGTTTCAGGTCCTGCTGTAGAGATCTCACAGAGAGCCGAAGAGTCTTTTGTACAGCTGCTGTCCGAGCTCAGAGAAAAACTGCCTTTTGAACTTCAATGCTGCTTTTTTTTCGCCGTGATGTGAAGCTTTTGTGCAGAAATTTAATTCTCCAGTGGAGTGAAAACTCTGTGAACGTGTGATCCTCCGAACGTGCTTGATTGTTGTCCTAATTAATGCGTCTGTTGCACTTTGTTCAAACGCCGGTTCTGTTCTTCTTCTCAAGTCAAACTGGAAACCAAGCTGAGGCGAACAGCGTGATTCGTTTCCAACAGGAGATTGAGCAAGAATGCAAATCATGAAATTTTGAAGTCAGCAGTTAGCCAAAGCGATAATTTACCATTTGTGCTGTCCAGCTGTCGAGTCTGCTGGTGTCCATGTTTCATCCGGCAGCTGAGTCATTATTATTTTGCGTTCAGAATTGTGTAGATAAAACTAAGACAGTGATTCGGGTCTGTCTTTGGTGCTGTGAGTGTAAAAGCGAGTTTTTGGAGCCAGGAGAAGAAACAGAAAGTCTGGAGACGATGATGAGCTGAAACAGTTTGTTAATTGCAGGATTTGTTGGTAAAATTTGCCAATAGATTTATCATTTTGTCATCATTTGGCATCTGATACCAAACACTGTCTGGCTTCAAAACCGAGGATCGGGGATTTGTTTTTCTCATGAGTTTCTAATTCTTGTCATTTGAAAGACTTTAGGATTAATACGGCTTTGCAAATTAAAAATAAGCAATATTACAAATGTCTTTTATGAGTTTGTGGGCAACAAGGTTATCAGATTTCAATACTTGGGAGCTTTTCAACACAACGTACCTTCAAACTGTACAAAATCTGGTATTTTTGTTCAGATAGAACCAAAAAAGCTGCTATAAGAACAGATAAGGAGAGAGGGAGTTGAGGGGCGGTTACTTTTTTATCTGAAATTATAACTTTCAATTGAACTCTGGAGAAAAAGTTCATAATTTAACTGTAACGAGATGCAAAAACTCAAAATAATACCATATTGAGCCCACCATACCACCTGAAGTAGTTCCCTGTATGATCCAACAGAGGGCGCTCTCATCGTAACCTGACCAATCCATGCACTCTTGACCTGCAGTAACATTATTATTCAGTAAAGAAGCACCAAGCAGACAATCAAGATCACAAAGAGTTTGATATTCATACAAAGTAGTGTTACACTATCGAATATTTTAGTAATCGAGTACTCTACAGAATATTCCATCGATTAATCGAGTAATCACATAAAAATTATTTTTCTTAATTTAACCTTTTAAGTAGATTTGATGTCTCCCTGTCACCTGCAACGGCGAATGATCCAACCTTTGTGAAGATGAGATATTTCTAAATAGTGAAAACAGGGAAAATTAGAGACTGTGATTGGGTTGGGACCACGAACGAAACCATTAACGGCACTCAGACCAGAGATGACTTAAGTTTTTTAGTAAGTAATTCACACTACTGTAACTCCTCCTTCTACAGTGGTGACGTACATGAGTTGTGTCACCTTGAAAATAATCCGTGTGAAACAGTGACGATTTGAGTTTATAAACAAGGACTCGAGGCAGAGAAAATTCCTCAATCCTTTTTTTGTAATCGAGGTGCTCACGGATCGTTTCAGCCTCAGTACGAAGTTGGGTTTTTGAAAAATGGTTGATCGACACAGAGATTAAGTAAATAAAAAGAGCTCCGGTAATCCAGTCGTAACAGTTACTGATCGTTACACCGTGGCTGGACTCTGACAAACTCATTGACACGTTCTCGCCGGGGGGCGCTAAATCTGGAGCTGAACCCGTGTTGACAATGCTAATTCTCCTCATTCACAGGTTAAAAAAGGTTGAGGTTTGTTGTTTCCATACAGTCTATTAAAAACACACACCACTTGAGTCTTCTGCAGAGGATCGAGATGACAATATCATCTTGTTTCAATTAGCGTTGACCTTTGAGCCGCTGACAGAAGGCGCCACGCTGCTGCGTAATGATTGACGCCCGGTGCATAAACGAATGAGAAAACTCAGACGATGAGTTCAGAGACAGACACTCCTCTGACTTTGATGTGACTGATCACTCAGAGTGTAAATTCTGTTCTGGATACAAATGACTCCACTCATGTTGCCTTTCATTACCAGTCAGACTACATCAAATGTTGGTCTGTGTTCACTGACTTTCTCTCCGCCAGCATAATGTGAGCCTCGGAAATCAAAAACCATAAACTAACCATTTTCTGTGCCCAGAAGTTCATTTTTCATCTAGTTGGTATCAAAACAGCGATTTATATCATTTAATTATTATCGATGTCGTATCTAAGCTCAAAGTCTGGGTACCATGATGCATTTGTTTTACCGCAGAGTTAGATCTCCATCTATAAGCAGACTTCTGTAAACTAAATTGGACATAAACGCCAACCTATCTACATTTTAATTTGTTTTATTTACACTACAGGCCAAAAGTTTGGAAGCAAGATCAGATTTGAACAAAAAAAAGATCATAGTTATATTTGCAACACAATAAACATGACTATTGTGTAAAGAGAAACTTATCAGAAGACATTTTGACTATAATTATCAGGTATTTGAGTTATTGTTGCTTAGACTTTGCTTCTTCTGCTGATTCATGGGACGTGTTTTTCTGACCGATCGATCCAATTCATCCCGCACAAGATCTATTGGAGAAAGGTCTGGAGACTGAGGGGGCCAAACCATCTTTTGAAGAACACCTTCCTCTTCTTTTTTGTCGAGGTAACCCTGACAGAGCTTGGCAGAGTGCTTAGGGTCATTGTCTCGCTGCAAAACAAACTTATGAGCCACAAGTCTGAGTCCAGATGGAGCAGCATGGTGCTGGAGGATGGAGTGGTACTGTTCCTTCTTCATGATACCCTTCACTTCAAACAAATCTCCTACTCTATCACTTGCTAAACATCCCCATACCATGGAGCTACCACCTCCATGCTGAATTGTGGGTGTAACACATGGAGCTTTCAGACGTTCACCAGTTTGTCTGCAGACATAGACTCTGCGTTTTGAACCAAACAGTTCAAACTTGTTTCTCGTCATCATAAGTCCAATTTTTGTGAACCTTTGCCCACTCATCTCTCTTTTTCTTGTTCTGTGGACAAAGTAGTATTTTTTTGCAGATACACAACCCTTCAGACCAGCCTTTCTCAAACGTCATTTCACGGTTGTCAGAGATATGGGTTTCGACCTTGTCGTGATGATTTCCTTCCTTATTTTTGGTGCTGTCTTTTGCCGATCTCTCTTACTTAATGTGTTTATCCTCTGCTTTTGTAGTAACTCTCTTTCGTCCAGGCCTTTTTCTTCCAGGTTCCTCTCGTCTTTTCAGAGTGTAGTGGACTCCTTTGTTAAACACTTTTAGGCGTTTGGAACAAAAACTTGACGTTACTCCCAACTGTTCGGCCCGTAATGGCCTTGCTTCCAAACCTTTGGCCTGTAGCGTACATGCAAGGGAGAGAGGTTTGCGTCCACTGTGATAGGCTGAGACACCTGTCAATCAAGCAAACACGTCCTAAACTTCATTTCCTCTTAAGCCTCATTATCTCCCTGATTGAAGACTCGCTCTCAGGAAGAACATCACTGGCGGTACTTTTGAGGGGGGAAATATAAAGATGTTGGCGAGGAGAAGTGATGGAGGGGTTTTCATTTGATGTCGGCTCAGTTTTCTTGGAGTCAGCATCCTGCTGCAGCAGTTTTCAACCGTCTCCGACAGCAAAATCAAACCCGTTTTAAAAGTTATTTTTCTGAACTCTGAGATCGACTCTCACCTCTGTGATTTAGGGCTGACACGAAAGGATTGGACAGTTTAATGATTTGCTGTCACGGCATCATTGGCGGTCATCAATGACGGGGGCGTGTGTTTGCTGAAGGAACAGCAGGACGCTGTAAGAGGATGGTAATGTACAGGCTGTTTTAGTGTCGGTCTTAAACCTCGTCAGTGTTCAGAGAGACGAGCTGAAGCTTTGTTCATTTACTGAGACATCTGCTCCTTTCCTCTTTGTTTTAGCGAGAGATCGGACCCGCTTCTTGTTTGAATCAGGTCCAACAGAACCGGTGATTTAAATGAGAGCTGAACCTTAGATTGCTTTTCTCTTTGAGCTCCTGCAGGGCTTTTTGTCTGCTCTTAGCTTGTGAGGTAATAACTCATTACATTTTTAAAACCTGAATTATTATATCAAGGCAACAAAGTGAGAAAACAGCAAAGAGTAAAACAGGATCTACAAATGTTTGTGTTCTTCTTAAACTTTAAAAGATAGTTTGATTTAAGGTCCACTTCTGGGTTCAGAGGCTTTAAAGTGCGTTTGCTCAAATAACCAACAGGGAGCGACACCATTGTGAGGAAAAAACAGACAAGAGTTTGGACACATATGGATCTTAAGTTGGACCGACACTAAAGTACAACCACAGAAGATATTCAGTCATTTTTTTATCCCCATGAGACCGTGAATATGAGAGTGAATGATGGCCGCTCACTCTCTACTAGAGACGCACTGAAATTAAAATTCTGTGCTGGAACCGAAAATGAGGAAACCAAGGCTGAAAACCCAAAAGAAATGAATCTGCCAATTATTAGTACCACTTAATGTATGATTATGACTGTGTGCTAACTTCACTAAAATCAAGGCACTGCAATTGTATAAATTAATATTAATTGATGCAAATGCAACGTAAACTGCTATATCATCAAACAGCTCAGGTAAACATGTCTTAGAAATGTCATCTACATGTTGGAATTCTTCATGGTTTTCACTGTTGAGCTGAAAATTTGATCAAGATTTACACCTTTAGATGGCGCCAGCAAGAGCAACAATTTTTTCTTTAAGTAGCCGAGAGCAGTAGCCGAACATGAGTTTATGTTGTGATGTTGATTTCTGTTAAAGTTATGAATAAAAGTGAGAACAGTAATTTCCAATAATTTGAATTTAAGACCTTAAAATGACTAAAATTTTCTTAAAACCTCATAAAATATCTTAAATACAATTTTGAACGGTCTTAAAAATCTATTGATGTTACTTACGAATAAAGATTTATTTGAAGTTATGTAAATTGTTCCGATTTCCCTTCATGTCTTTTGTACTTTTTTTCCATTATGGATGTAAAATGGATCTTAAATTGTTTTCATTACGGTCTTAAAAAAAGTCTTAAATTTGACTCGTTGAAACCTGCAGAAACGCCGGAGAAGAACTGAAACCATCCGCTTGTGTTTTTGGCGGCAACATCAGCCACAGACGGAGTGAGCGTGCTCAGAACTTTTATATTCAGAACAGCGATCAGGATGTTTGGATTTCATGACACACGATGTTGATCACGATCCATGGTTCTCAGATATATTAAAATACGTCCACACAGTTTTTGCTCTCGTCATCACACCATCCTGTTACGTCGATTAAAACCTGTGGGTGGTCGTCTTTTACATGCTCACTTACTCTTTACTCTTACATAAGTCGTGAATAACTTTTGCTCAGTAGGTGATCTGAATGAGAGCGAAGGAATGAAACACATGGTCGGTTTCCTCCTTTCATTGTTGGCTAATGACGGAGATCAACGCCTCTACTTAAATAGAAACCCTCTTTTCCCGCTCTTTTTTGCACAGCTGGTCGCTGCAGCTTTCAGATCTGGATCATTATCACAACAGGTGATCATCCACAAATGGATCACCTGTCATGATAATGAAACACTCAATGCCAAAGTTGTTCTATTCTTGGTCCCGCTATTGAGTTTTCCAAGGATCAGAATAACAGAAAGAAACTGTAGGAAGGAAAGACCAGGATTCAGGGTTAAATCCTCACCTATGACTGGATAGTTTCCTCATAGATCGGACTTATGTTGCGGTTAGCTATTCCAACTGCACATTTCCAGTTGAGTCTGTTTTGAGTTCATCATCATCGTCATCATTACAGTGTTTTAATATTTATAGAGATTTAAAAGCATCGGATGGTTTTGAAGACGTCCAGATGGATCAGACCCGTTAGTTAGTTGGACACAGTGAGTATAAAGCAACAAAATCAGGGAGTGAGCGAAACCTTAAAAGCTTTTCTACGACTGGAGAGAGCATTTATGAAACGCTCAGTATGTGTTTCTGCTGCCATGACAGTGGGGATGTACAGAGAGGAGGAGACAGATGGAGAGAGAGAGAGAGAGGGAGGGAGAGAGAGAGAGAGAGAGAGAGGGAGGGAGAGGCTGCAGATTGTCTGCTGCTACAGTAACAGGAAGAAGCCAAAGACCTTCCCTTTGTGGGTATATTCTGGTCCATACTCGAAATAAATGAGTCAGTTTACTTAATATTGAACAATACAAGACGAATAAATCAACAGAGAGCTGCAGAGCAGAGCTGGAGCCGTGGGGACACATCCCACTCACAGCTGCAGGCTGTTCTCACACTGTGGTCTCATTGTGGACTCTGTCTCAGAGTGTCGTCTCCAGGATATCAAAACACTCTCATGAATCACTCTGGAAACTTCGAATGCTCGACTCTGTAGCTATCACAAACATCCAACACGGAGTGGAGCTTTCTGCAGAGTTATGATTATTCTGGAGATCACAGAGTGTGAGAGTCTGCAGCACTGCACACTGTCAATTTATTGACCATTAAAACTGGGAGGAACTCCCCGAGGAAGAATCAGCCTCTCCCTGTAGAGAAGCAAATGGAAAGTGCTTTCAACTGTTTTCTCTTCAGCGTGGGGGAGGAGGCCTCGTGGGAGCTGGAGCTGGAAGGATGGAGCCGAGAGGACAGCATGATTAGATTGGGGGTCTGATAGAGGGTCAGGATCTGTGGTAGGCCAGAGACCAACACAGATAGTATCAGGGCTGGTCTGCAGAGCCGTGATAGTCGGCAGACTGTGATCTACAGAGTGACAATACTGTCAGTCGTCCCTGCAGAGGAAGGAATCAAACAGCTAATCAATAAGGATGTAAACCATCGTTCACATCCTCAGCTCTGGATCACACTCCTCACACTCCGACTCCAACTGTGAAATAGTGTTTATGGCTTTAATGCTGCCGGGACAGAGAGTATTTCACAGCACCGCCTTTATTGTTTACAGTTGTCGGTAATGACATTGCACCTTGTTTGTGCTTGTTTTGCTTTTGTGCCCACGGTGCAGCAGAGTTATACGTGAGGCCAGAAGCTTCAATCCTTCCTCTCCTCCTGTCCGGTTTTGTTGTCTTTGCTACTCGACCAAGTCTTCCCGTAAAGTTCTGACCGACCAAGTCCCACTGACATAAAGCTGCAGGACATGCACCATAAACTGTTGGCAGTATGATCTAAGTAAACAGAACACACCGTCCACCTCCCTAGACCCGAGCCGAGTTATTTAAAAACTCAGATTGCATCGAACAGGTCAGCATTTGTGCCTCTTCAGAGTTCACGGGTCCAAGAGTGCTTATGCCAGTTATACAGTCAGAGTGTGAAAAGCACCGACTCACTGCTCATGCACCAATAAGATCTATTAACACTGGAGTTATAAAGTCTAATATGTGGAAAGTACTGAGATTCACTTTAATGAATGGAAATAAAGAGATGGAGAGAAAGTCAGATTCAACATTAATATCAGCTCAGGGCTGCACAATTTTGGCCAAAAGTAAAAACCTGATTTTTTTCTTCTGAAAATTTGATTTTTGTTTTTTTCTTCAGTGATAATTTCACCAAACTTCACTTCAATAAGTTTTTCTATCATCTCTCAAAATGAAACCACTGACAATAATGTAGTTTATATGCCAGGCCAGTAAGTGGCGCTGTAACGCTGCACAGGAAATGCACAAAAGACAGAAGAAGAGAACAGAGCATGTGTATGAAGGTTGTTTTGGCGCCATTAAAGAGTTACTCTGTGTGTCACATGATCGTTTCCAGAGATGCAGATAGACATCCACACGGAGATGAAATGGTCGTCGTTTACAGATTTATAAACTCTCTGACCCGTTTTTAAAAAGTACCGTTTACAGTCACCAACATCAAAACAACATCTTAGATAGTATGATATAGGGCTGGGCGATAAACCGAAAATTTACTGATACCGAAATTTACAACAATAACTGACGACATTTTGCCTATATCGATATATTTGGTGTCAAATAAATAAATAAATCAAAGTTGGTTTTGGATGTGTGTAGGTAGGCTATGGTCTCATGTCCCTTTAAGACGCTGTCCTACGTCAGAGACGTGACTCCACCCCATCCAGTCGGTAACAAAGAGGGAAAGACAGGTGAGGAGATAGAGGACGGAGAGAAAGTTGGAGCGGCTGAAGTAGACGAAGTTAATTTATCGTTATCGAGGTGAACTGATCAATATATCATGATGTTGATTTGAGGACATATCGCCCAGCCCTAGTATGATATTAAGCTGAGTGGTTACAGCAGGAAATGGCGCAGAACCATGTGACTAACCAGTACAAACATGACAACTTTGACCTGTAAGAAGGACTGAAGGCTGGTGGTGCTGCTCTGCTGGTGTCATCCACACTCAGCTACTGTTTACTCTGACTTTCTGATCCCGTGTTGATCAATGTTTGACTCTTTTCAGAGTCACTCTAAATCGAGTCTGTCAGACAGAGTAGAAATATGAAATTAACTCGGATTTGTCTGAACATCTCTGAGTGGAGCACGAAGACGAACACAACACTAAAAAGCACAATATCCAGGTAAATGTGGACAAGCTTCAGATCCACTAAATGAGATCCCATTAGTTTGCCTTCAAACAACAAAGTAAAACTCCCGCTCTTTGTTCTCTTCCACGCAACAACCGCGGGGATACAACGTTGCTTAAGGGAAACATCTGTGTTTTAAAGCCTTCTCTCTAATTGCCATCATTTGTTCTACACTCCAGACTCTCCAAAAAAGCAAGTGAGCCACTTCCCTGCCTGAATCAGTCAGTGTGAGTTGAGAGATATTCGCTCTGAATCAAATTCTCCTTTTTTACGGCCCCAGCTTGTAAATCAATTAAATGCATCTGTGACAGGCTCCCTCCTCAAACCTCCATCAGGATAAATTTGGCTTCGCTCCTCATCCATCCTTGTGTATAATGACATGTGAAAGAAAAAGAGAGGCTGCGGTGTGCTGTGTAGGCATTTCTGTATTCACCACGTGGAATACCTCCATTTGTGGACTGAATCGTGTGTCAACATATTCCTGCCTCCAATCTTCCCTCAGGCGTTTCTCTGGATGCAAAGCTGGCTTTAGCCCCCGCTGACCCGTGTAGTTCTGCAGGAGGATGCTGTTCTCCCCGGCAGAAACAAACATGAAAACAGTCCCTTTTTTTCCTTCTTTAGCGGTAATGTAGGCCCTGTGGGTGCGCCCGCTTTCCGCTGAGCTCCGACACAATATCTCAGAGGAGCGGCAGCGGGAGATTCATTGAATCTGCGGAGAAGAATAGACGGTAAAATCCTCTTAATCCAAAGCGCAAAAAATAAAAAAACTAATTCTCTGAAAAATATACATAGCGTGTGTTAAAATGTGTCAGCATAAAACAGTATTTGTCCTCTTGGGTTTAAAAGCCCCGGAGCTGCAGCAGGTACAATAATCAACAAAAATAACCAAACTTTCCCGTGTGCAGTTTATAAAATCGCTCAAACTCACTCGTCAGGACGCGTTAACTTGATTAAAATCTGTTTAGTGGAAGTCCAGAGCAGGAAGTCCATATTCCTTCACAGGTATGACAGAGGCGATATTGTCCGTCTCATCAGAAAGGACAGCAATTCGATTGACTTTGAGCAAGGACGCTCAGAATCAAACCGGCCCCACATGGGACATGTGGATTTTCACACTTCTCCACAGCCACGTGTAATCGACATTGACAGGCGGTGAGTGACGGCGTGGGGTGGGAGTCTGAATACTCAGGTGGACAATGATTCCTCAATCATCTCTGTGGCTGGAACAGATCAGTGTTTCCTTGCTGCGTGGCGATAATACTCTCGTCGTCACACGAGTCGAGTCTTTTCAATGAGGATTGTGTCAGTTTAAAAAAACGCGTTTACATTGTTTGTTTTTCTGGAGACGGGTGACAGCTGCGTCGGCGTGATAAGGTTTTCATGAAATGTGGGTCCAGGTACAATCACTTGAAAAACAGAAGCGGCTTTTATTTACTGGAAGTGAAGGAGGGAGGGAGGGAGACACCAGGTACTGATCAAAGAGAGGAATAAATCAGGTCTGAAGGAAGACGGAGACGAACGTTCGTTTAGCTCTAGATCAGAATTATTCTGATTGATGTCTGATACAACGAAGGATGACGATCCATGATTTGACGCAACAGAAACCTCTGAAGACTCTTGAGTCTTTAAAAAACAAGAAGAAGAAAAACCTTTTTTGAGTGCATCAAAGCCGCACGTTTAATCTGCTTTAAATTAATTTGGTGACAATTCTCGCTAAATTAAACGCCAGATTTCACTTGTACTAAAGTATTTTTACACTATCACAAAAAAATTGTGACATCCTTCGTAACATCAAGACTTGGGCTGGTAATTTTATTTTGATTCAGAACGATGTCTCTGACCTTTAACCCCCAAATTCCACCGTACGTAGAATTGTACAGAACACCTGTGATTTTCACCGTCCGCCAAATCCTACCAGATGCGTTTGTGAGGCGAATTTTCAGACAGCAGGAATCAGGAGTCACAATAACCCACAAATTCACATGCAATCGATCAATAACGCGTTGTCTCTATAAAGGCAGCAACATAACTGTATAAGCAGTAGATTGCATCCTTTCAGGGGAGGAAAGCCACTTTGTCCAGACCAGTAGACCAGAAGCTTCTGTGGAGATTGGGAATTAACCATGGGTAAGTGCAATAGTTATCTTTATCTTGTTCGTCCTCACCCACATGTGCATGGTGTGAAATATAATCCGCCTGGAACACATTGTGTTTTATTTTGAAAAGAAGCCAGATGTTTTATTTTGCGTCTGTGCCCGACGCCGATGGAATTTGACACATCAACTTGAATGGAAAAGGCCTTTTTGTCGCCATAACGCATGCAGTGGAATTTGGGGGCAAGTCTGCTGTTAGCTCGTTAGCGCTAGCACTAATGGCCGCTCCAGACTCTCTCTGTCTCTCTCTCTCTCTCTCTTCATGCTCATTTTGTCCCTCTGCTTTTCAGACACACAGATACACTCTCCCTCCTCCTCCTCCTCTTGCTCCTCTCCCTGCTCTCCTCTCTCCACCTCTGGCAGTATCAGAGTTTCCACCACAGCAGCACAATAATTATTCACTCTTAATTATAATACTTTCATGATCATAAGAAGCTGTAATTGTAACTAAACTCGGATTAATCTCGCCGCTCTAATGAAGACTTGAAGTCATAAACTCGTCTTGTTTAGGTATCACACATTTCTGCTATTTCCCAACACTGGTAGTTTTTGTAATTTAATTAAATCAAAAAAAGCTCAAATAATGGGGAGAACCTCACGCTGTCTTTCCTTCAGGAGTAACTTCACCAAATATAAACATGAGTTTCAAACTAGAACAACGATAAGTTCTCATATTGATATTTTTCTCCATCCCCATTAAACTCCAGCCAAACTAAATCATCATTTTCTCCCTGATCATAATTCAGTCGCCTCCTCTTGAGGTTTTTGTTTAACTAACTTTTTTTTTTTTTTTTCTGAATCCATGAACCAATCACATCGTGATTCTGGGACAACATCCAACACAAACAGTCGACCTGTGTCCGCTTTGTTTTGTGTGTTTTCTCTGGTTGGCTGAGCTTGAACTGAATCTACACAGAAGAAGAAAACACACTCCCACCGTGGTTAGAGATTATTATTATTATTATTATTATTACGCTCATATGTGTTTGTTAGAATAAACAGCGGTTTTGTAAGCTGTGTGGAAAAAGTCAAGGACAGTTAGTTTTAACCTTCATGACTGTGTAAAGAGTGTGGAGCGCAGATGTGGTCGTTTGCTGTAATGTGAAAACTGATTTATTAAAAACAACATTTCCAGAATAAATGTTCAGCCAAAGTTTCTTCAAGCCCCTCCCTCGCCTGACCGGACTCGGCCTGACGACGTAAAAAAGTATATTCCTCTACATAATGAATGAATGAGTGAAAGGCAGACTGAACGAGAGAACAGACAGGTCCACACAGAAGTGCAGGAGACGCGTCATTTCAGAGGCATCCGGCGAGACAGGATTCAATTTCATCTGGCCTGCTCGAGCGTGTCCCTCTCGTCTGTCACTTCCGCTTTTTAGGACGCCACCGTCACATTTCCCATCACAGCTTTCCTCTGGTCTTATCACACACTGGACACAGCGACACGGTGAATCAGCAAACCTGACACTGATCATTGTCTTTATGACTGTCCAGACATCCGCACACCGCTGCCAGCTTCACGACCATGAACCTGGACGTCTATATCAGACACCGTCGGTGATCTGAGGTCAGGTTTGTGGTACCGGTACCAGACAGGCAGTTTGGACGGGCGTAATTGGAAACCCTGATACGTCAGACGTGAAAAGGATGAATTTGGGAATTGAAAAAAAAAATTCCTGAATCAACAAAAACAGTCAAAAGTAGCCGAGTAAAGTTTGGACTGATCCTCCTACTCTGTCCTGATATTATTCCACAGAATGAAAAAATAACAAGGGTGTGAAAAATGTAATACTCCATCCACTGAATACCAACGCCCCGAAAGGTTGAAGAAAAAGCACTGTACAGAGTTTTCAGAAAAACGAATCAGAGTCTTGTGTGAGTCCGGCTCTGTCTTATTGATTTTCCACACAGGCTGTCAGGAGATATTATTGTGAAATGATTAAATGAGACGTATAAGAGGATATTGAAACCTGGCTTTATCTTGAGGCCGCGGTGTCGAACCGCGCGGTGAACAGAATGTATCAAAATGAGGATTTCCATTTTCTGCCTCCAGGTGAGACCAAAGGTCTGCACAGTTTCCCCGGTTTTATATCAAACAAAGCATTGGGAAATACAAACTTTAATGTATGAGATATTCTACTTCAAACTCTGAGTTTGCTCTTGTGGAAATACTCCTACTAGAAACGTGTACAAGCTCCTACTTATTTATTCCTATTGTATGATCATTAGAGAACATTACTACATGAGGACAGATTATTAAAGACATAACGTGAGCACATCAGTGGTGCCAGGTTTTACTGGGTCATAGAGCTGAGTGTCATCTGCATAACAGTGAAAGTCTGTACCATGCCCAGTGGGAGCATGTACAGTGTGAATAAGAGGGGACCCAAGATAGACCCCTGAGGAACTCCACATGAGAGGATGAGACTTTATCAACAGAAAAAGAGAATTTTGACACTTGATTCAGCACCACATCACTGATTTCAGCAAAGTATTTCAGATAGCTGACTAATACGTTGTGGTCGACTGTATTAAAGACTGAATTAAGCTAATCAATTATTAATGACTCCACTTAGAGAGCAGCTTAGAGATAGGTTTAAGGGCTGCAACTAACAATTATATTAATAGTTGACCAGCCACTGACTATTGAAACGATTCATCGACTTATCGAATAATTACGTACTTTCTCCTCAAATGTTCGTCCATCACCAACGGGCTACTGAATCACTTCCTCAAGTGATTCGTTCGTTTCTCACTTCAGTTGAGCTGAAGTGAGAAACAGCATTGCCAGGCCAGCAGCCGGCGAACGAGGGACCACATGCACCGACGCAAGAATCAGTTGGTAAACGAATCACGCATTGAACCACACTCTCTGGAATCATTTTAGTCGGCCAAAACTACATTTTTTTTTCACTGCTAATTTGCCACCACAGCAACTTTCATACAGTAGGCCACAGCATGTAACAAGTAGTGCATTAAACCTGCAGCATCCTATCATTGCAGCGGTTTGAGAGGAAATGGTTCATGTTCAGTTTGAATTCTTCTAAACCTTCAGTGAATGAATCACTCACTGAGCCAAATTTACCGAGCAGACCTGATAAATAGCATACCAAAAGACAGTACACTTAAAACATCATGACTCATAAACAAGTTTATTTTTACAAACCTGTTTGCCAAAGTAACGCAGACAAACACTGAACTGAACTGAATCCTGAACCGTTTAGCTGTGTATCAGTTCAGGGGAGTCGGAGTCACAGACTTTCAGTGAACTGATTCTCGTCATCACTACTATGAAGTAAGATGCCTCACTCCACTGGAAAAAACATGTTTGGGACATCAGTGGACGATGGAATTCATTGTCAACCTTTTTTATTATCGATTTCTGTCGACAACATCAACTTATCGTTGTAGCCCTAATGGGTCTATGACGCATTTTTACCGCATTTATTCTCTGAAAGCGGAGGCTGCTGAATATAGCACCCATCAGTATTAACTCAAGGAAAGAACACTCCACTCCCTCATAGACAAACTAAAGAAATCTTGTTTATCTCCACAGACAAAAAGCCTGTCCTCTCTTTTTTCTTTTTTAAGGACCTTAATTAGAATTCGTCTTTCCTTTCAGAGCTCATTTGAGTACCCTTAAATCTTATTAACTGTAATGCTGCAGCTACGTAAGGTCTAAAAGCAAATGTACTGGGAACAAAAGATTTCAGACGGATTAATTAATTGGGAGAATTCTGGCGTTATAAGAATAGTTTTGGCAGTCAGGTATTTAATTAAAATCATAGGAGAGACACTTGAGGTCATCACTTTATCCATCCTGCATTTTAATTGGTGTTTTTTGAGCACATTTATAGGATTGACTTTTAACACTGTAGTTATGTAACGTTATGCAAGTGACAAATTTCCCAGTTGTTGAAAAGGCAATCTATTTTTTTCCCTCTATGTGTGAGAACCGCATTTTCAGATTTAAACCTCCTACTGTGATCGTTTTTAAAGTGAAATTTAACTGAAGGTGTTTGCTGTCAAACTTTATGATCACGCATAAAAACATTCACTTTAAATAACATCCTAAAGAGAATCTACTGTATGAGGAAGTGATGGGAAGATCAGTTCTTTTGACTGAACTGAATCTTTAGAATCCTTTCATAAAAGGATTCGTTCAAAAGATTCACTGAATCAGTCAGAGCTTCAGAGCCCTGTCCTGCCAGTGCAGTGAGTGACACAGACACATAATGATACAGTTCGTTTACTGTTTCGTTCACTGACTGATACAGGTCATTTACAGACTGTTTCATTCACTGACTGATACAGGTCGTTCAGCAACTGTTCCGTTTACTGACTGAAACAGGTCATTCACTGACTTTGTTTACTAACTGATACAGGTCATTTACAGACTGTTTCGTTTACTGACTGTTTCGTTTACTGACTGATACATGTCGTTCACTGACTTTGTTTACTGACTGATACAGGTCATTTACAGACTGTTTCGTTAACAGAATGTTTCGTTCACTGACTGTGTAGTTTACTGACTGATACATGTCGTTCACAGACTGTTTCATTTACCAACTGTTTAGTGCACTGACTGTTTTGTTCACTGACTGATTTGGTCGTTCACTGACTGACTGTTTCGTTCTCAGACTGTTTCATTTACTGACTGATACAGGTCATTTACAGACTGTTTCATTTACTGACTGTTTCGTTCACTGACTGATACAGGTCATTCACAGACTGTTTCGTTTACTGACTGTTTCGTTCACTGACTGATACAGGTCATTCACAGACTGTTTCGTTTACTGACTGTTTCGTTCACTGACTGATACAGGTCATTCACAGACTGTTTCGTTTACTGACTGTTTCGTTCACTGACTGATACAGGTCATTCACTGACTGTTTCGTTTACTGACTGTTTCGTTCACTGACTGATACAGGTCATTCACTGACTGTTTCGTTCACAGACTGTTCTGTTCACTGACTGATACATGTCGCTTCGAGTGAATCACGAGACTCTGCCCACTTGCTGGCTCGTTGGCTGTGTGTCGTTCGCCAAAGAGTCAAAGGCGGCAGTTCCACTTCTGACCGACATGCCGGGCTCGCGGCTGAGCTCAACTGGACTAAAAAAAGAACGAATCAGATCTCAGAGTGATTCAGTTCACGTCGTTCACTCAGCAGTTCCGTACTTTTGAACGAAACATTCATGAACGACACGACACGAGTGCGGGGCGAGAATTTGAATAAACCAAACGAAGCTTCTGTGTTTTAAGGAACAAGAGTGTCCCGGGTGGGAGCTGTCCACGGTGCTGAAACAGTCCTGACACTGTTATCATCGAGCAGATTTACAGCCTACTGTATATACTGTCACCTTATTTTACCTGTGCTGTTATCATCCCAGTGTCTGAGGTCAAACTGCACCTATCTGTGTTTAGTGTCAGAGCGTTGACCTCGTACGTCTGCGCTGTTGTATTAACCGCAGAGACGTTCAGCGGCCTCATATACTCCGGGCCTTTTAAGTCACACAGCAACAAAACAGCAGAAAGCTATGCATGAGTGAGGACGAGTAAAAGCTAAAACGAATCCCTGACCTTGTTTCCATGAAGGCAGAGAAAGAGGCAAACAACACAGAGTCCTTCAGCGCCAATTTAACAGACAAGAAGAAGTAAGAGAGAAAACCGAGAGGAGCAGAGGAGGACTCCCCTGACGTGCTTACTTTGAAGAAAAACAAACCACATGACAACATACATTTATGTCTGCTGTTTCAGGTCCCCGGGTAATTTGATTTCCTGGACACAAGCTCAGATGTAGAGGAAAAGTGCAGCTAATCTTCTTCGTTTTAACGTCTGAGGTCAGTGCTTTTAGACATCTGCAGGATGAAAGTGTTTCATTCTGCTCTCCGCTCCTAAATCCTCCATCAGTGGCTGTGCCTCTATCACAGGACATTACTGATGTGTAGACAGGAGATAGAGACAGTCGGAGAGAGTTGAAAAAGTGGCTCTTTGTTCCAGACGACTAAAAAGTTAAACCCACCTGAACTCAGCAAACCTGCGCTTATCGAGTCGAGACATTTAAATGTGGAAAGATTATACCGTCTGGTTGTAGCTGTTAGGTTACCGTTTATTCCACTCAAAGTGTTACAACTACAACCTGTCATCAGAACAAACTGATTTAGACTTTATTTGAATTTGTGAGATGAGATATTTTCTTCCTTTCACACGCCACAGTGAGTGGACATTCACAGTTGGTTAAATAATTAAATAAGGCAGTTTAACAACAAATCGCCGGCTAATTAAAAGATCACTCACAACATTCAGGAAAATTACAGCTGTCAAAATGTTTACTTCTGCAAACGCTCCTTCAACTCAGCGCTAATTAAACGGTGACGGACAAGGTGCAACTACTTTCCTTTAACCGTCAACATGTCAGGAATAAAATCATCCATCAACAGTTTAACATAAACACAGGCCGCAGATATTTTCATTTATAAAAAGACCCGAGGTAACCAACTTACGAATATAACTTACGAATGTTAATCCATGGTGCACGGCATGTAAGTAAACTGATACCTATGAGTCTGAGGTAGAGACATGTACGAAAAAAAAACTAATTTTAAAGGTGTGGCGGCTTTTATTTAGCCGTGGCGGTGTGTCACGATCAATTGCCTGTCGTGGAAACTCTTTGTTAATCATCCCAGCTTCATCTGAGTCTCCTGAAGTAGCAGCGCAGGCGCACTGTGTAGTCTACAATTAGCGTTTAAGATTTCTTATTAGTTTGAAATGGAGTCATGGTGGAAGGAGGCGAAGACGACAGCGCCGAAGACATCCATCAGAGGACCAAGTCGGAAGTATGGGCATGTTTTGGGTTTTGTGGGAATGTTGAGGGAATGTTTAGTTAAAGACAGTAATCCTGTCTAGATACGATGAAACCATGAAAACGAGGCATTGTTTAGTTGTAGTTAACAGCATCAAAAATACCTTTGAATACATATTTTAAAATATCGTGACAACACCGAGAACCGTGATTATTTTAGTAACTGTGAGTTAGAATTTTCATTATGTTGCATCCCTGAACAAGATCCGTCAGATCTTTTCTTACCGTACTTTTACAAGCTGCTGATTGTATTTCTTCATGGAAATATAATCAGATCGAGACGCTAAGGCAGAAGAACTACCGCGTCTGCAAAATGATTAATATGATGATTATTACTTCAAGGAAATGATAAAGAAATTATCATAAATGTTCTTCCTTGAGCTGCGGCACCCCGCTGTAGTCTGTAATGGACTGGCCTGAGGTCTCGCTTGGTAAAACTAGAGAAGCAAGCAGTCGGCAATATTCATCTCTGGAGGGGGGGGTCTAACTCGGTGTTATGATGTGTTTGACTCTACATTAAATTTCACGCTGGAATATCCCTTTAAATATCCCCTTGCTTGAAAAAAACCTCTAACTGCTACTCGGAGCAGAGAGGAGGCAAGTTTGAGGAGGGATCCACAAGGTCACACAAGAGCAGCCTTCAGTTTAGGCCTTTTAAGTGTATTTTGCAGAGAATAATCAGACAAATGTTCCTTATTTTTCTCCACAAATCTGTTTGTGTATCTTTCATGGAGGGAGCTAATGCACAAAGATATCTGACATTTGGATGACTATGTAGAACCCTGAATCTCCCTGGTTAATACTGACGCGCACTTTACAAAGACTCCTCCTCCATCAGTGTATGAATGTGTGTTAATGTGACATGTAGAGAATAAGCTCTTGAAAGTATAGCCTATATAACAGCGCAGCAGTGTTAGAGCCTGAAAAACACTTAAAGCCCTTCAAAGGTTTCAGTCCAACGCTGTATGTTTTTCATGGAAACGCTGCTGCCTGTGTTTAAATATAAATACATATTCCTATGGCATATACTGTGTCCGCCTGATTGTTAAACATCAATAATCAATGGTCTCAGTCCTCATAAACGATCACGTACTTCTGCACTGCACTGATTGTAATTGTCTGCCCACACTGCAGGAACATTACAGACTCAAATAGCAACTGAAGTCTTCTCGCCGGTAAAGGGAAGTGGTGTTGAAGGTTAGCGTTTGACCTGCAGGAGTGCCGGCTCGGAGAAAAGAAGAAAATAGTCCGGCGTCTGGAGAGCTGACAGAGACGGCAAATGGGAAGCAGGAAATAGAAGTGCTCCTTGTTTCAACTAATTTCCAGAGAGAACAAATGTTCTCAGAGTGCCGGGGCTTTCAACTGACGGCTGATATCACCTCTGCGCGGCTGAGCTAAACCCTCCATCGCTCTGTCAGCACCTATTTTACACATGAAGCCTTCAGCGTTTAAAGATTCAGAGCGGTAAAACCCATTACGGGATGATGCAACATGAAACCGAAAGCTGCATTTACAACCGTTAATGAGGACTGAGCATCTCTTTGTGTTGCACCTTATCTTTCAATACTTAAAATGTCGTTTTTTTGTGTGTTTTTTATTTGTATTATCTAACTCCTTTCAGATAATGTAAACGTGAAGGTGTCTCGGCCGGACGAGCAAGAGTGAAGGAGATGCATATCTTATATGGCCTGATTATGAGGCGTGATATGTTAAATTAAAAGTGGAACAAATCAAGTAGGAGTCTTTTTGCTGTTCCATTGAATATTAATTAAGGTAATTAACTGAGGTAAATTGCAATTTAGTCTGTAATTGGCAGTGAGATGACATTTGAAGTTCAAACAGGACTGAAATGCAGTCACCCCTAACCATATGCTAATGGAATTTCCCTAATCTTTAGCCCTGCTTTTCAATGAATTGGATTTTACTGTCCAATTAGCTCTGAGCAAACAACCTCTGAGAGAGCGGCTGAAAAACTGAGTTTAAAAGGAGCAAAAGGAGCCCTTATATAAACATATATATGTGTGTGTGTGTGTGTAATGAAACACGTCAGACGAGAGGTGCAGGTACAGGTGGGAGGAAGTCGAACAGAGGGGAAACTCAGGGAGCGCAGGGAGCAAACACACTCAGCCTGCAAACAGCAGCTGAAGGCTTTGTGCTCAAACTCCAGGGAGACGCTTTGTACTGTTCCCTGATTGAAGAAAATCATACAGTATGGATCTGCACAACTGCCAAAAACAAAACTCCTCCCCCGGTGCTCCAAACACAAGATTTGGGGGCTGCAGACGGGAGCTGATTGTCTGTTCTTTCAGATACCGAAGTGGTCACGCCGGAATACAAAGTGTTTGATGAATAAAGTGGGTCTTTTTTCGGAGTAACAAGTGAATATCAAACCGGTGTTTTTACACTTTCCTTTATGAAGCTTTAAAAAGACTTAAATTGAATGTCGATGGGTGTACCACTTACATAAAACTTACACAACTCTTTGGTTGAAACTTTTACAGTTTCACTCGTTTCTTTAACAAACTCCAGGTAAAAAATAAAAAACCTGAACATTACCTGTCGGTTTTTTAAAGGAAACAGATCAAACATCACTCGTCTGGTCCTCTCGTGGAGCTCGGATGACCTCTTTCACTCGAGTACAGCGTTGCGTTTGGAAACAAGAGCGTCATCGAGAGCGGCACTCCAACACAACATCATCCCAGCGCCGCCGCCGCTCTGCCGTGTCCGCACTAATCACATTCATAGAGGTCTGAGGGTCACACTAAGCTCAACACACAACCGCAGCCGCCACAAAGCCTCACATCACTTGACACGGACTGTTGGACACTACTGCACATGTGCGATGGGTTGTAGAGATAGAGGTCAGACTCAGACACATGAGCCCAGTGTTTTGAGGAGGAGCGCGTCGATCTGAGGAGACGAGTGTAATCGAAACCGGGTCACAGGACAGCCTCTGAGGACCCAAACCTACAGGAACTTCCTAAAGAGGATATTTGTGATCATACGTAACAGAGCAGAGCGGTTTTCCCCCGTGTGTGTCCTCTCTCTGTGAGACTCAACCCTTCAGTCTCGACCAGAACCCGCCATAAACACCGTCGCACCATCTTCACGTCGTCTCGTCTGTCTCTTGGTCTTTCACCACCACAAATACTGGTGTCTAAACTTCTACAGCTGATTGGTGGAAAGTTTCTCATCTTCTTTCAAACACTCCCCTCCTTCTCTACTTCCTCTTCATGGTACGATGACCCGTGAGAGCTCGGCATGGAGAGGTGGTTTGGGGATGCCGGAGCGAACTGTTGAGCCTCCTTCAGATGTGGTGGGCCTCACTTGAGGAAACACCAGGATGAGGAAGTGACCACTTGACCAGCCTGTTGATGTTCTGGATCTCATCGCCTCCTGGCTGAGACCTGAGGGACACCGAAGGCCTGATGGTAGAGGAGGTCATAACTATATTATCATGTGGGGTTTGCTTTGACAGAGCCTGGATCATTATAAGTAGGGCTGCATGATAGATCGATTTTAAATGGTAATCGGATTATTTGATTATGACGATTGTTACAACCCAGAAGGGAAAGAACGTAACATAAAACCCAGATTTAGTTGTTGTAAAAAAGGTTGTTTAATTGCAAAATAGTTTGAGGCGAAAAACAGAGGTATATTGGGTACTGCTCAACGAAACAAACAAATGCAACAAAAGGCGACTTTAAACTAGAGTGAAGAAACCAAAACCACAAATTAACTCAACTAGCAGTTTAAACAATCGAAGTGTGAGCAGCATCCTAACTCTTTACAAGACAATAAAAGAAATACACAATGTCACCTCCACAGCAGTTAACACACACAGATCTCCCTAACAAAGTGTCTACAGAACGAACACGAGTGTCTGCCCCTGAGCACTCCAATCGGCAGCCTCTTCAACAGTTAACTCCCCTCCGATTGGTCCTGCCGACCAGGCTGATCATCCAATCCGCAGCTGTTCCTGTAGAGTCACATCCACTCGCAGACACGGACACGGACACAACTAAACATGGTAAAAGGTAACACAGGTATCTGCCCCGAGCCGCAGTCGTAACAAGGATGTTAAAAAATTTTAATCGTCAAATCATTTTTTCCTCTCTATCATGTCTCACGCCTCCAGGCCACCGTAGGCTCCACAGTTCCCTCACACACCAGTGTGAACAAACATGGTGTTTGCAAAAGAAGGCGATAATTTCGTGGTTAAATAGGACAAGAGTTAGTCAGTCGTGTGGAATTGGTACGTGCTCTGTACTCTTCTTCAGTGTTACAGCGCCACTCACTGGCTTGACGTATGCACTACATCATTCTCAGCGGTTTCATTGTGAGAGATGAACGAAAAAGTTCTTATTATTAAAGTGAAGTTTGGTGAAGTTGTCACTGAATAAGAAATAGAAATCAAAAATCAAGTTTTCAGAGAAAAAAAAAAATCAGGATTTTATTTTTGGCCGAAATCGTGCAGCCCTAATCTGAAGGTGGGAGTCCAGGTTGGTAGGATGTGACACAGCTCTCGGTTATCAATCCAGAGTAGAACAAAATAAACTGATTTTCCTCATGAAGCCTGAGCCAGAAAATAAAAAACCTGATGTTTTCCTCTGCCTCTGTTCCTCGTCTCTTCTGGAGAAGCTTCACTGAACATTTAGGTCAACTCTTCACCTACGTCATGATTTATTCGCTGAGTGTTTTCCCATCACACTTTGTTACATTTCACATTTTGTGCCGTCGTTTCTCCTCGTTCAAATGTAAAAGGTTTCTTTTTTCAGGTCTCTGAATAAACTGAAAAGTGGTTGGAGACACTTAGGAGCTTGTTTATTCAAAGAGAAACTTTAACATTAAAAGTCATCGTATTGAAAATGTCGAGTACTGCTCATACGTCAAATCTAAAGGAACTCTGGCCTAACCCTCGATCTGAATGTATTTACAAACGCACAGTTTGAGACACTTAAAGAAAGCTCGCATGTCTGAGCGAATGTTAGATCAGCATGTCTGCATTCAACCGTGATGATTCAGCCCATACAGGACAATAACCGTCTGAAGTGGAGTCATTAATCACCGGTACGCTGCGGCGCAATAACAAAGACACTCAAGTCAGGATGTGAGAATCAAACAGAGAGGAACATACATCTAAATTTAACGTTTCTCAGATTAAAGCAGACAACAGCTCAGAGATGGAGGAAGTGAACGGAGTCAGAAAAGGTCGCTCAGATCTCTGATACTATCAAACCCTCACATGTTCCTGATTATACATTCAGGACGAAGCCGGATCTGTGAGGTGGCTCTGAGGGCCACAGAAGAAATCACCCTGCAGTCCTTGATTATTCATTAAACCCATGTAAAGTAGTCTTAAGAGAAGCACACCTTTCACGGGAAAGTACTTGGACTGCAGCAGGAGAGACACACGGGCGTGAAGAGCAGGTCAGACCAGGGTTCAAACATATCCTCCTTTAGACTCATAACATTCAGCAGGCAATCACAGACACACTTCTCAGGGCGATGCGAACTCGCATCCTTAAACCGCCAAGTCTTCGGTATTGAACTTCTATTCACAAGATCTTTGAATGTTTTCTTGTTCTTCAAAGTGTTTTTGGTTCAAAGGAAAATGACCCAAAAACACTGCGCCTCATACCACGGGTTATCTCGCTGTTTTATTTTATTTAATCTTGAGTTTTTAACTTTTGAGAGTGTTAGTTCACTGCAGAGGTTTTCTAAGAGTTTGGAAGTCAAGGGCCAAACAAGCATCATTAGTCCCAGAGCACAGATCTGAAAGACCAAAGTTCAGTTTTATGACTGATGATGAAAAAGGCACAAACACACAGCGCCCTGCGAAATAAACATGATTTCATCATATTAGAGCCATGAAACTTCACAATCACAAACTAAAAAACAAGCACAGCTGTCAAATATAAGAAGCTTTTACAAAAAAATATCACCTGGAAAATAAGATGAGAGGAAATTCAGCTCATACCGACGATAAAAAGAGTAAAACCCCAAAGCGTTCAGTTCCCAGCCTCTCAAAACAAACATTCAGTTCTTTTCTCTGTTTTAGATGAATATTTATTATCCTCCAGCTGTGTTAGAAACTCAACTCTGATTGGTCAAAACCTCCAAAGAAGAGAGAAAAAGAGTCCGGCACATTTCTCAGTGTCAGCCTGTTGACACTGTGGCAAAAACACTCATCTCTGTTTTAGGTCTTCAGCGTACGGAGATGAGGAGCAGACTTGAGAGCAGCAGGAAGAGGTAAAGGTGTATTTAACATCGAAGATACAAAACAGACAGAGAGAAAAATAAATTTATTTTAACCCTGAGGCTCTCCGAGGTACATTTTTTGATCTTTCAGTTTTTCTGCAGTTATTTTGGAAAGGAGGGCCTGAGGGGTAACTAATGGAAAAAACAAGTCTGAGAAAAAACACACACAAAAAACCTAAGATGAAATTAGAAATAAAGAAAAAATAAAAGAAAGGAGAAGTTTAAAAAAAAGAAAGTAGCTAAATATGATAAAAGATTAACCTAAAAGAAAGCCTGGAAGATGTAAGGAAGAAAGAAAGACTGACAGAAAGAAAGAAAGAAAGAAAGAAAGAAAGAAAGAAAGAAAGAAAGAAAGAAAGAAAGAAAGAAAGAAAGAAAGAAAGAAAGAAAGAAAGAAAGAAAAGGAGAAAAAGAAAAAAGAAAAATAAGGATAAAGAAAACATTAATGGAATTACAAAGAGGATATGAAAGTAAAAGATAAGAAAAAAAAGGAAAAAACAAAGAAAGAAAATGAGAATTTAAAAAAAACTAAAAATGTAGGATGAATAATAAATTAAAGAGAGAATAAATTAAGACCAAACAAACAAGAAAAATAAGGAAAAAGAAAAAAATATAAGGAAAGGACGCAAAAAAATTTGAAAAAAAGAGAGAAAGAAAGAAGGGAAACAGAAAAAAGGAAAGGAGAAAAATAAAAGGAAAAAAGGAAACAATGTAAATATAATTAAAAAGAGGATAAGAAAGAAAAATAAAAGACAGAAAGAAAAAAAACAAAGAAGGACGATGAGGACTTAAATTTAAAAAAAATGTAAGAAGAGTAAATTAAAAAAGAAAGAAGTTAAAACCCAAAAACAAGAAAATAAGGAAAAACATTTTAAGACAGGATACAATAAAAGAAAAAAAAGAGAAAGAAAAAAGAAGGACGAAGGAAAATTAGAAAAAAAAAGAAAAAGCTAAATAGAATTAAAGGATATGAAAGAAAAATACAAGAAAGAAAGACGGAAAACAAACAAAGAAGATGAGAAATTTAAAAGAAATTTGAAATTGTAAGAAGAAAAATAAAGTAGAAATAAAGAGAGCAGTCAAACTAAAAGAAGTGAAATATAATTCACATTATTTTAATCCATTAAATAATAAAATGCTTCTTATTAAACCAGCTGTTCTTTGAGTTTGCTGAAGTTACTCTCTGAAAGTCCACTCTCACTCCTACAGTTTTTCCTCGTTCTAAAGTTTCCCAAACTGCGCCTTGTTCAACAGCTTTTTTCACCCTTTCACACTGATGCTTTCTCCCTTTTTCATGCTCACCTCTATTACATACATTAGCCTTTTTTGTCAATCACTTAAAAATGAAAAGAAGTCAGCAGGCAGGTCGTTTTTATTTCTCCACAGAAAGCTAAAAGTAGCGGCTGATGTTAGTTATTTTGTCCTCTCCAGGTTGGGTCCTCTGAGAAGAATCAGCATTTCATGAGCTGTAGTTACTGCTATCAATCTTTTTAGTCGGCCTCTTACTGCTGTTGCTTTTGACCTCCAGGTTTCTGGAGAACTTGGAGAAAAAAGGCGCGCTGGAACCGTGTTTGGAGAGCACTCTGAGCTGAAAACGTCTCGGCGCTTGGTGTCCGTTTCTACCGTTTTGATTTTAAATGGTCAATATGGTTTTATAAGACGCTCTGTTTTTCACACACTTGGCCCACTTTTAACCGTGGGAGCACTCAGTGAGGTAAAATCACGGCCACTTACGATTGATTAATCAATAAAGACAATAACGATCAGCCGCACCAGACCGCACACTTCACCTCGGGGAAAATGAACCTGATGCAGGACGTCTTGGTTTAAAGCTACAAGGCTGCACCTGCAGTCAGGCTGGTCCACACACTCACACACACACACACACACACACACACACACACAGACACACACACACACACACACACACAGACACGCAGCAGCTTCGCAGCACAATAAGCCGCTGGGATCCTCTGAGTGCTTCTACAGTCTGTCTGCGAGATGAATGATGGGGATTATTCATGGTCCCTTGGAGACAGTCTGAACTGATGACTATTAAGGTGGGATTCATTGACCTCCTCTTGACTGGCAGTGACACCTGAGGGCGCCTCGTGTGGGCCGGGGTCAAATTGGATCAGTGTGAGGTCAGCGCTGACACAGAGACCCGGACAGCTCCTCCGAGTAATTAGGTGAGGGAGGAAGCGGGGCTGCCTCAGAAGGTTAGCCTCTGCAGCTGAATGGAAGTGGATCTTTACTTTGACCATCACTCTCTCTTACAGGGACAATAAGTGAGATTTTCTGCGCTCTGTATCACCAAACGGCCTTCATATATCTGCGGGGAGTTGATAAGAGTTGGAGATAAATAGCAAAGACTCCATGATTTCTTCACAGGGTGCTGACCTCTGTTCTTTTGAAATCCTGCTCTCTGAACCCATCCGTCTGTTTGGCAGGAAAAACATCCTGCCCACGGGTATTTCAGGATGCTCCGAGCCCTCCTCATGCCCCCGAAAACCACTTTTACAACCTCAGCTGCTCCAGACGGCGCTGACTCGTCTGCACTGTTAAATTCCCCCAAAAAGCCAGATGTAAATGTCTTCATGTGGTGAATTAGACTGGAGAAAGTTTGATTATTTATCCTGTTAGTATTTAAGCCTTTTAAAGCTGGTCCAGATATTCACACGGCTCAAGGTGCTCCAGTTTTGGCTCATGTTCAGGGTTTTTATAAAACTGTGTTTGGTATCATTTTAAAGGAGACCCTCTTGGCTTTCATTTGAGCCCAACTGTAAATCATACAAACAAAAACAGACGTAACTTTGGCTCCTCAAGCAGTGCGGCAACATACATTATTCCACAATTTTTGCCTAAATCTCTTATTTCTCTTTTACAGGGACATCAGGAACAAATTACACAGACACTAGATTACTCAAAAGACTCTAAGCTTTCAGGAAATGTATAACATGCCTGTACTACAATATCATCAGACACTACTCTGAGTAGGGCTGGGCGATAAACCAAAAATTTACGACAATAACCGATGTCATTTTCTTCATGTCGGTATATTTGGTTTCAAAATAATAAATGGATGTGTGTAGGTAGTGAGCAGCTTGTGGAGTAGTTATTAATTAAATTATATTAAAAAATAAACATTACAACGAAAGCTCCTGCTCTTGGCTTCTTAAAATTAAACAACGCTACTTCTTCTAGTTGTGTTTCTACCGCTCAACTCTTCTTCTCTTTGAACGTTTGAGTTGTTTTTGCCCCGACTCACAACGCCATCTAAAGGTGAAACATGCAGCAACACACTGAATCAAACACTCAAAACTCATGTTGCAATTTCATGAATTAATATCTAATATTAATATAAATTTTATATTAATTTATGCTTTTGCAATGCCTTGATTTTAGGGAGGTTAGTAAACAATCAGACATAAATGCAATGGTACTGATAATTGGCATAATCATTTCTTTCAGTTTTCGGTGTTTCGGTTTTTCGGCCTTGGTTTCCTCATTTTTGGTTTTCAGTTTCATCCAAGAATTATCATTACTGTGCATCATTTCCCTAATATAATTAGCATTGACCCACTCTGTCTTGACTATCTACCTTCTAGTCCTGTAATGACACAAGATTAGATTACCCTTCATTATTATCACAAAGAAATCTGCATTGTTATGGCTAAATTATGAGATAACTATCAATCTCCAGAATCACTAAGATGCTCGATTCCTCGATCATCACATCTTCTCTTATTTATCGGAGCCGAGCTGTGTTCACCTCTGAGAGTCATCACCAAGCATCCAAGAGGAGGAAACTTGTCCTGATAGGACTGACGGAGGCATTAGTATGCTGTGCCCTCGGAGCAGATAATAATCTGCTGTCTGTTGTCCCACTCACCGCGCTGTTGCAGGCGGGAAATAAGCTGCACGACGGCGTCCAATAGTCCGCTGAGCCTTAATGCCAAGCTCTGATATGCTTAAGGGAGCTCATCCAAAATTCCACCAGCTCAGCGATGCCAAGTGTTCAGGGTTATCCTGAGATGCAGCCGCCTGATATTTCTGAAATCTGACCTGCGTGGGCTCACCTGAGCAGAGGCAGGTAGGTTTTTACTGAGAGTCGTGTTTTAATTATGTTCGCAGGAGGGAATTTTGATTTCGTCAGGGGCATTATACGGGCTTTTAGTGAAGGAGTGACTTTTTAACTCCTGAGAAATGATATAATTAGCAAAGCTTTTAATTAAGGTGACACGTTCAGAGAGATGATGCATAGATTGTACTTTTTTGCCGTCGCTGCGCAGCGAGGGCAGAGATGAAGTTTTTCCTCTTAAGCACAAACACAAGGACGTTACTGGAGCAAACTTTTTATTCCTGCATTTATGAACGACGTGCCCTTCTGCCGCACAGACACAAACTCGCTGATGCTCTGAAACTTCTCCTCTCTTTTTACACTCGTATCTTCTCCTGGTATTTTATGGACCCTCAGAGCTGAATCCATCTTTTTAACAGCCGTAGGAGCGAATCAGCATCCCTGAGCGGGTACGTGATCTCTGTCTTGCTCAAGGACACTTCAGCAGAGCAGACGTTTGCTGTCCCAAGTGACAAAATGTTAACACTGTGTGTCTGAAGGGTGATGGGTTTGTGTCCCTGTGTACCCTGACAGTCCCCATAATCCGTCCTAATACAGACGTCTCGTTCTGGTGAGATATTCAAAGAGGTTTCCAAAGAGACAACAAAGCCATGATAAATAACAGCTGCGTTTTCAGTTCATTACATGGCAATTTTACCCACACGTAATCACATCAGCTCAGTTCAGCGGAGTCATAACCGGTAATACTGTCCCCCGTGTGGCTCCAACACATCTCTTTTATTGTTTCATTGAGCTCAATTTAGCTGAAGCAGCTAAAAACGAACCTGCTGAGATCATCGTCGGGGATCATCAGTCCGAAACAAAAAAACACCAGAGAGGCGTTTAAGGCTTCATAAATCACACGTTAGGAAAAACAGTTCTGACAATTATTGACAATTACTGAGTAAACGACAGTAATGATCTCTGAAACGACGTTAACAGACAGTTCACTCAATTGATTTAATGACATGTACTCTCTGGACTACAGCCGGATATAAAGATCTGATGTAAGGGTGGGCGATATGCAAAAAACTTCATATCAATTATTTTTTGTTTTGCAAAATCACAATCATGATTTTTTCCAGATATTTTTTGGGGGGTGGAGTGAAAAATAGAAATAATAAACAAAATATCCAGATTTTAACATCCAACAGCCGAACATTGATCTTAACTGGATCATCTCATTATCAAATAAATTTGACCCTAAAACAAGACTTCACAAACAAATGTCAATGTTTAAAAAAATGAAAGGTACTCTTATGAATAATAATAATAAAAATCACTCAAAAGTAATGTACACAACACAACAGATATAAAGCAGAAATTTTTATAACTTTTTCCTTTCTTTTTTATTTTTGGTCACAACTAAACATCTCAAAAATCTCCCTGTCCTGTGCTTTGACAGATCAGAATTTCTTTTTAATTCTTCCCAATCTAAGAACGTCAGATCGCTCACCCCTAGTTTAACAACTTCCAATGGTAACTTTTTAAATATGTAAACTATCCAACCATAGATGATCTGTTTGTTCTGTTTTAAGACTAACCATTGTAGACTTGAAAACTCTGACAGAATCTTGTTCAACTTGAGTTAAAGCAGCTCGACTTAATCTATTCATGACAATTTATGGGGAGACAATGTAAAAACAGTGCGACACAGGAAGAAACACTTCAGCTTGTCGTCTGAATGTGTGACTCCTGTCAGCTGCACGGAGCTTCAAGGTGTGTCAGCGAATAGTTTAGCCTTTAAGCTGACAGCTTCACCTTTTTGGTTTACTCCGTGAAGCTTTGGCAAGAACCACACAAGCCTTAAAAACCAACTACACACCTCCTGCTCAGCACCAATTTTCCAGCCACATAAATTCAGGGACGAGTTGATGGATATTTGAAGCATTCAGGAGCAGATGTTTTCCACAGGATTGTAGGGCTGCACAATTAACTGAGTTTAAATCGTTATCAGATTATTTGATTATGATGACTACAGCGCCACTTACTGGCTTGGCATATGCACTACATCATTTTCAGTGTTTTCATTTTAAGAGATGATAGAAAAACTTATTAAAGTGAAGTTTGGTGAAGTCGTCACTGAATAAAAAATCTAAAATCAAGCTGTAAGAGAAAAAAATCTGGATTTTATTTTTGGCCAAAATCGTGCAGCTCTACAGGATTGGTATTAGACCCTCGACTTTCATGTAGGGTCCACGGATGGGGGGTAATTTTGCATAAAGAGGGACGCAGTTGACTGGACTACCACACTGCAGCTGTAAGGAAGAGGCTGTCGGCCCCTCTTGACTCCATATCCCAAATCAAACAAAAGTCAGCGTGCTCAATATGGCGACTGCCATTCAAAGGCATCAAACCCCACCCCCTCTCAGCCTGACTGCAAACTGTGCCATTAGATAAGGCTCAATTATGTTTGTTGTAAATAGATTATTTATTTAACAGCCATGTTAATACTCAGACAGAACTGTGATTAGAAACAGAAGAGGAGAGAAACACCTTAACTTTCAGCCTGCAGAGAAACGGTGAGAGGGATCTATATGATTACATCTATTCTCAGTGTGAACATCAACATCTTGTCTCAGAAAAGAAATTCAATCAAATTGTGTGACAATTAGCAGCAGCCAGACTTTGCTGTTGTATTTACCAAGTACTTGAATTATCAGGAAATCTGTGTCGACTTTGAAAAATGTATGAAATTTAATTTCCGTTTGGTATTAAGTTTGATGAATTTATTCATGAGAGAAAAACACCTTCATTCTCCACCCAGTTTATATATTTTTATTGTGTGCTCTCGTCCCCCTGTCTCAGATTTTCTCAGGCATACTTAAGGCGGACTTTGGTGTGCAGCTGTGAGACGGACGATGACCATGAAGTTGACCACGATGAAGAGCCCTCACAACAGTCTTCACTGAAAATACTCGTTTCAATCAAGGCCGAAAAGGATCCGTTTGTCCTCCGTTCTTTCAAAACAATCAGGAGTCGTTGAGATTTCTAATCTTTATATTTTTCACCCCTGAAAATTTCAGCCTTGAAAGCGTTTCTATGATTGACCTTTGAAGGTTTTACCGACTCTGAGTGGAGAGCTTGATTTTCACCATGGAAGCTCATAAAAACTCTATCAGCTGTCCTCGCCAGATGAGATTATATTACCAGTGTAGGTACCAGATGTGTTCAGGCTGCCAGATCGCCTCAGGGCCCGGCGCCTATTGATGATGTCAAGCTATATGATTGGCTGGAAGTTGGTTTGAATGATGTAGAAGATTGTGATTGGTCCAGACATTACAGAAGCGGTTTTCGCCAGATTAGGTTTCATGCGATTGTAGTTCTTCGGAAAAAATATGGATGAATCTTATGAAGCAATCTATCGCTACTTATTAGGGGTGTCCCGATGCAACTTTTTTACTTTCGATATGATATCGATATTGTAGCCTCCTACTCCTTGCTGCTTTTTTGGTACCTTAGTACACACTGTTGTTGTGATCACGTGGGCTCGACATGCTGGATCCGGATACTGCTAGCTAGAGGTGCCGGAGTGGAGTCTGGATGGACTGCTTGTATCAGAGTGCCGATATCAGAGATTTTAGATGCAGGCTGATATAATCCGATATTTCTTTTTGGCCGATATCCGATATCAGCCAACAGCCATCCATCCAGCCATCACTTACGACAGCCGGACTACCGCCTCTTTTAGGTCACCGAAGGAAATGTGGAATAAAAGCAAAACTATATTGATATATAGTGGAGATCCTGCGTAGATTTTTTTCCATTTTTCTTTAAAAAAGTTAACATCTACAATTAAAGCCATCTAAAATTACAGTGCAGTACAGTAAGTATTATCTGTATTATACATTTTATATATACACTTTACTTTATAGTTATAATATCTGTATTATATAGTATTTTCATTTAAATAAAGAAAACCACGAAGGGCTTTTAACCGAGCACATTTTACTTATTAAATGGAGCGCAATAAAGTTTGTCCGAGTGGACTTGCCATAGTGTGACGTCTTCAACGGGCACTGAGCCTAGGGCTGCCCAGATACAATATCGATATTAGATACTGGCCGGATATCAGCCAATAAACAAATATCAGATTATATCAGCCTGCATTTAAAATGTACTTAGGTACTAAATTGTAACAAAGTACAGAGGAGTAGGAGTGGTGTCGGCTGTGTGGCAGTATTTTTCGTTAAAGTCTGAAAAAGATGTTGCAGCTGAGTGCAAAACTTGTGATGCGTAAGTTTGCGCCACTATCGGAATCGGCCAAGACTAAAGGCTACAATATCAGTATCATATCAGAAGTTAAAAAAAAGTTCTATCGGGACACCCCTGACTGGACCCCGAGCCGATCTAGCAGCCCGAACACATCTGGCACCTAACCACTTCTCTACTGTTTATTTCTATTGTTAAAACTGAACCAGAGTGATTAAAGTCCAAAAAAAGCGTTTTTTACACTATTATTAATGGTAAAAACAAAGCAGAGTCTTCTTAAACAAGTCCAGGATAAATCAGCTTGAAGCCCTCAGGACATACGTCTGTTTGACTAAGTTGAGAGTCGACATCTTTTTATTGCGTCACCTCCAGCCAGAGGCAGCCGGCTGGTAAATATGCCACTTAAATTCATTAGACGTGGGCTCATAAAGAGAGTAATTATTTGGAGTCCTGTGCCTCCATCCGGTTAGCGTAAGAGTCAATTAGGGTGAACAACTGAATGTTAACTGGCTCATTAGATGGCTGGAAACAAAGCAAATGTCACATTTCCATAGGAGGCCTGCCGCCGCTCCTCAGCACAGGGGAGAGAGTTAGACAGCGACGACTTTCAAGACAGTCTGAGGATTTAATAACTTGTGATAGACCGAGCAATTTGCACCAACATCAACAACTGAAACTTTGTTAGCTAATCATGAACCCGAGGAAACAGTTTGGGTTTTTTTATTTGTCCTGTAAAGAAAAAAAAACGGGAGCAGGTGATTGAAGCCTCAGACATTCATTTCCTTCTTTCTACAGAGTTTGTACTTCTCTGTCAAATCAAATCAAATCACTCTCCCAACGAAGAACTGTCCTAATAAAGATAAGGACGTCTTTACCCTCACAACAAAGACTCAATTTGGGGATAACAAAATGAATTTCTGAGAGACGTGCGGCGTTCACGGGCGACGAAGCTGCTCGTCATTATGAGCCGTCCTGATGAGGGGAGACAAAACCGCTCTTCTTTTGTCCACGAACTGACAAAGATGGACAAAGTTAGCGAAAGAGTTTACAAACTTTAGAGTTCAGTTCAGTCCTCCTCAGGTTAGAGTCCAAATCTCTGTCACACAGTCCGTTTGGTGGATCCAAATCCTGGTCCAGTAAAACCCTTCCACCTGCAGGAGAGGGTTTACTCTTTAACTCTGAGTCTGACCTGACATCCAGCTCTGAGGTCGGATCGAGCCGTTTTTTCACGGTCGGAGATGTAGATGTGATTTTTGTTTTTCCCGATCGTGATGTTTATCAGCGCCGCCATGCTGTGTTTGTTTATTCCGAACAAGCTGCTGTTTACAAAACACTTAATTTCGTCTCCACAAAAGGAAACACATGGAGAGGAGGAAAGAAGCAGGCTGCCAGAATAAATCATTGATTTCTATCAGGATGTAACCCGTATTTTCACTATTACAACAAAATGCTGTTTCTGAATTAAAACTGCTTCCACAGCTGTTATTGATTATTCGCTTCATCTTTAAAATGCAAAAAGAAAACACAGTAACAGGCCTCGCTTTCTCCTGTTTGGTCCAACAAACAGTCAGAGAACCCCAAAATATAAAACCCAGGGAACACAGATAAAGTCGAAGTCAGTCTCATACTGTAGGGCTGCGCTCAAAAACAGATACGACAAGATATCATCAATATTCACTGTGTCATGACCTTTGTTCTGGTGTTTGGTGTTCACCTGGTTTTGGTATTCTGAGTGTCTTTTCTTTGTGTTTTTTTTTTACTGGTGTTTCTGTTCCTCATTATAAGTAAGTTTTTGTTGCTTTTTATTTTGTTATTTTTTCATTAAATCGCCTTTTATTCTGAAATCGGGTCCTTTTTCTGTTTTTCAACCTTGTCAACGTGACAGCGTTGATGCACATGTTATAGAATCAGTACAGCTGTAATAGATGAGCACAGAGCAAAACACAGCCAACGGATGGAAGTAGGAGTGAAATGAACTGAACATTTTCCAAACATATAAGGTCAGTTCCAGAATGAACACAGAATAAGGGGACGATTAAAAAGGTCGGAAATAACCGAATACTCACAGGAATGTGTACTGTGTCAATACTTCGACAAAACTCTTCTGACTGCGCCTGTTTTAAGTAGAGGGATCCTGCCTTTGCTCTTACTTACTACAGTTCCTCACAGTTGTGTATCATGAAACATCATACCAGAGGTCGGTGCGATTCATTGATGTGTCGATGCATCGCGATGCTTCACTTGATGATTCGGCATCGATTAAGTAACGTCGATGCTTTACCGGAACTAAAAAACACATAACTGGAACCTTAACGTGTGCGCTGCCAGGACTGTTTAGTGAGTGGGACCACAACAAACAGAGCGCGTTAGCTTCTTCATAAAATGGCAGCAGCTTCAGCAGCCTCCGAAGAGCGTCCGATTCTGTCACCACCAGGTTTGACTGCAACCGTGTGGAAGTACTTTGGATTTTATGAGAGAGCAAACAAGATGACTGATGAGACCTACGAGATTTTCAAAAATAAAGAACCTCAGCGACACCACAAACATGAGGAAGCGCCTCGTACGCTTTCATCCTGAAACAGAGAAGGCTCCTCCGGTCGTTCTGCCACACAGAGGACCATCCTGGAGACTGTCTCCAAACTTCAACGTAGGTCAAAGTGCAAATGTTTACATAACAGTCATACAGTCATAAAATAAAATATTTTGTGTCTTTGAAAAATAAAAAATAAAAAGTCAAAATCAATCTTGTCTGGAAAAAAGCTTTAAAAATGGCAATAATCAAAGAATCGTGGCACCAACAATAAAATAAAATCGACACCTTATAATCAAAGAATCGAAGCTCCCACAATCGAATAGAATCCAATAGTAAGGTCCCCTTGTTGGAACGGCCCTACATCATACTGTGATAGCTATCATTTCAGGAGACTGTTGGAAATCTGGCGCCCTACGTACAAGAAGCTGACACGGTTCTGATCCGAATGATTCTGCAGAATTATAAAACGGACAAACACAGACAACAGGAGCGACAGCGGTGCTGAATCCGACTCCTCACCTCTTGTCTGGATGAATTCTGCCTTGTAACTCCTGTTGATATTAATCTACAGCGAGGAGAGATACCGCTCGACAAATGACCCCACATCACTCAGTCATGCATACAGCCGCACAGACGGACGGATGATACGGAGTCTGACGGATACAACAAGCTGAGTTTTGGGAACGTAATAAAACTTTAGACAACAGAGGGAGACTCGACAATCTGGACCAGAGAGACGCCTGCAGCTCCAGATCTGAAACGAGGGCAGACACCAACGAAGAAGTGACAAACCTAGAAAATCCAAACAGAAAGGACGCTGGGATATAACAATGCAAATAAATAACCTCCAAATATCAACACAAACAAACTCAGTCAAATACAGCTGGTTTCCTTTTCCTGGTCACAAATAACAGACGGCTGCGGAGAGTAAGAGGCGAGCGCAGGAGAAATATTATTCAATTTTTATTCTCATCCATCAGAGTAAATCCCCATGACTCTACTGAAAGTGTTTTCCTATTGGCAAATGTGGCAGCGCTTCGGTAATAAATCATGAGCAAAAGCTGTGGCCTGCAACTCAGCTGACATGATTCCCAACAATTGGATTTCTGGGGCCGTGCATATGTTATCCTGGCACCGGCGGCCAGGAGGAACAGCAGTTCAGCACCTTAAAGATGCCAGCCGGGGCCAACGCGGCGGAGCGGGGGGGAGCAGAGAGCGCGAAAAAAACTCCTTCAGCAGAAATAAATTTAACAGTTTCTTCTATTTCTGTCCCGAGTTCAACGAGAAGTCACCGTGAACTCAGGTTTTAAAGAAACCATCATTTTAATTTGGCTGCACAAGTACAACAATAAATTCCTGCTTCATTCAAAGTTTCCGTTAATAAAGAACGGATATCTTCACCCACAGGCGAAATGTAAAGCTATGCAAATTCAAGCATGCAGAGAGGGAGCCTGTTCTGCATATTCTCTTTATTTCTAAATGCAGCAAATAAAACTTGAAGCACCACAATCAAACCAGCGAGCAGGGTTAAACGTTTGCAGCTGTGCCCTCTGCCTGCACTGTTTCTATCTCTGGACAGAACAGAGTGAGAAGTGTTCAGAGAGGGGGGAATATTCAGATTAGTCACCAGGAACTGGGTTTGTGTTCCTGCAAACATGTGAGGAGTGGCAAACAGCTGGAAACGAGGAGCCGGTGAGAGGGGCGAAAGAAGGGAGTGGGAGTGGAGGTGGGTGTGAACAACAGCGACTGTAAGAGTTATGAAGAGACAACAAATGATCCGCGGGGTAAGATGAGAGCGCCGGTCCTCGTCATAGACTGCAATCCACCAACATAACAGCTCTTAAAAGAGCGCTCTGCCTGTAATTTGGTCTGCTCCTTAATTTTGTTGGTTTGTTGTTTTTCAGGCGCTGTGATTGGAGGATGACGCCCAGGAGTGTTTTTTTAAGGATGCAAACAGCGGGGGAGTTTTATATTTATGTTTGTGGGAGATTTTCACAGACGAAAACCCAGAAATATTCATCTGAAATTACCCAGTTTAAGGGTGACGATACATCCGGGAAGTTGTCCTGTGTGATAAGTACTCAGAGGAAGCAAAAGATAAGTGAGAATGACAATATAATGAACCTGCTAATAACTGCATTCAGCCAAGCACACTAAAACCATTTTCAACTGTTAAAAATAAGTCTGTGACAAAGATACAACAAATGGACAGTCTATGCAAGATAGTAACACTCAGTTAAACTAATTTTCACATTATATTTAGTATGTTGTAAACTACTATTCATTCAAAAAAAAAGAAAAACAACTGTTGGACAGTTAGTACTCATCAGCACGCAGTTATAATGTGCTAGTTTGTTAACCTCAGTAGTTTTATTCAGTGACAACTTTACCAAACTTCACTTTAAAAATAAGTTTTTCTATCGTCTCTCAAAACCAAACCACTGAAAACAATGTAGTTCATATGCCAGGCCAGTAATCGGCGCTGTAATGCTGCACAGGAAGTGCACAAAATGAAGAAGAAGAGTACAGAGCATGTGTATAAAGGTTGTTTTGGCGCCATAAAAGAGTTACTCTGTGTGTCACATGATCGTTTCCAGAGATGAAATGGTCGTTGTTTACAGATTTATTCACTCTCTGACCCGTTTTCAAAAAGTACCGTTTACAGTCACCTGAAACGCAGATACAACAAAAAACTTTAGCGTATACTCCTGAATTTGTTTCTGTGGCGACGGGTTGATACCGCCTTCAGACAGACTTTGCAGCGGGGAGTGGTTTACTCTTCATCTGAAACTGTGAGGACGAAAATCAAGGTAAAAACAACACGACCGCAGCAAGTTTGGCCTACTCTACTGCTTATAATTGACAACGTTAGCAACGTTTCTGCTAACTTTAGCTCCACAAAGCTAATGCTCCCAACGTCGCGTTAGCTGCCTCTTGCTCATATATTTTGTGCGTGTCATGCAGCGCACAGAGAAGTGATTTCACAGTTTTTTTGCCATTTTTAATAACGTCAAAAGCAATGCGCTAATATCGTGATAATATCGTGATAATATCGTGAATCGTGATATTTTTGGCCACCAATATATGATATCAATTTTTTCATATCGGCACATGCCTAATAGAGAGGAAAACTGATTTGACAATTTTAATTTTTCAATTTTTCATAATAAAAAAAAATCTGATTATGATTTAAAATCAATTAATTGTGCAGCCCTATTGTCAATCATGTCTTAAATGAGAATATGAGATACAAGAACAAAATGTGGTGTTCGTTCTCCGTCTTCAGGAGTGTTTATTTTTTTCACCAGTGTTGGAGAGAACAGCTTGTGTTATATAAGAGAAGTATAAGGGTCCATTTCAGTCTCTGCTATTAATAGTCAAAGTATTTCTCCTGTCATAGCAGCCTTGTGGTCTTGGGCACAGGTCGATGTTTCTAAGCTACCACTCTGTCTCATTAAAGAAAGGTTTTTTTTCTCTTTGTGTTCTCCGATTTTCTTTTTTTTTCCTTTTCGCTCTGAGTCTGATGGGCCTCATTACAGTTACATGTGAGGAAAAATGAAGATAACCAGCTCTGACATTGTTAAATATTGCCTCGAAGCAAATATTTGAGGTCATTTAGAATTAAAAAAAAAAAAAAACTAATGATGTTCTGTCTGCAGGCCTCATATCTGGTTCTTGAGGTGTCAGTGAAATAATTAAGAGATATCAAACACTCAGAAAAAAGGACGTTTTAAGTGACGGCTCTATTTTGATATTTGCTCAGGAGTGTTTGTTAAGACTGTGACAGAATTTTGGCAGCTTGTCTCCTAATTTGACGAAATTGATTATTTTATTCAATGAATTATCCAGGAAAATATGTTTGACTTACTAATATGTCAATCAATAAATCAAACCTGTCTTTATCGATAATTAGAGCATTTATTTCACCACTTATAGCAGCAGCTTCACTATTCTGCTCATTAAATATGACTATGATTATAACAAGTGATAGAAATATAATATAGTCATGATTTAGAAGAGTAGATGACCAAATAGTGTGACAGGAAAGCTCGTTTGAGGTAGAATGAAAATACTTATCAAGATCTGGCGGTAAGATTTGAGAATGAACTCGCCAACCTTCGCCAACCTCTCGCCTCACTGAAACAACGAAAACGACTGACTAAAGATGGCGTCATCCTATAAAATCACCTGCGTCTGTAGAGAAATAACTTTAGCTTTACAAGAGTGAGGACCTGCTTCTATGATTAAAAGACTTTACCTAAATAACTGAAATTTAAATATGAGAATATTTATTCAGTACAGATTAATAAAAAAGTATGGAGTCAAAATGAGGCCAGGAAGTATTTTAAACTTAAGTGAGGTATTGTTAACAAAAAATAATAATTGTGAACTTTAGTGAAGAGTTGTAAAAGAATAGATATATTGATCACTGAATTAAAAAAAAAAAGTATTTTTTTCATTGACAGAACTTTTTTTTCCCCATTTACAAAACATTCTGGCCTCTCTTTGATATGGGGGCGGGGTTTGACGGGCGAGTTGTGCACAAAATTTTGAGGGTTTTTGTGGTCGGGTCGAGTGTTTTTTACGCGCTTCTGACTCAGTTAGTCCACGCTACACAAACTCAAAACTCCCATACAAGACTCGTTGTCTTTGTTCTTGTTTAAGTAGACTGCCTCTCACAAGACCGTTTTCCAAAGCACCCGGGACAAAGGAATCGTTCAGGGAATCATTCAAATGAAAAGTAAACGATGTCGATGGATTGAACCATTTGGAACCGGTTCTTGATTCCCATCCCTAATAATACCTCTCTTGCATATGCAATGCTTCATGGCCTCATTTTGACTCCATACAAATGTTCTTCTACATAATACTGAATGCAGCTAAATTCCACATAATACACCTTCAGGGTTCCAATGCAAGTATGGAAAAGTATGGAAGTAGTTTGATCAACTTCCAGGTCTTAAAAAGTATGGTAAATGAGAAATAAAGTATGTAAAATTATCCATGTTTCCAGACTATTACCACAGTTCTAAAATACAGTTTTCTTAAAATAGGAAAGTCGGGATTTCCAAAAATTTTTCTGAAAAGTAGAGTATGGAAAAGTATGGAAATTACAACTGTGTAGGACTCTTGCCTTTAACATGCCAAACCTCTGATGAACCAATGCATACACTCTCTCATTACTGACCCTGCTCAAACAAAACTGTGACATCTGTCAAACTACAAGTCTTGACAGAGATTGTTTTATCAAGAAAACCGGGGGTCTGGGATCAGTCCTGACCCTTCAAAAAGTGGATCCCTGCCTCCTCCAGAAGAACCTCTCGACTCGAGTGCAGAAAAAGCAGCAGAGGAGACACTAAGTATCCTTTAAAGCAATTGGGTGACCTTTTCAGAGAAGGAGAGCCTTGTCAATCATCGATAGTAAAACACAGCTCAGAGTTTGAGCCGCTCCTCTCAGGTCAACACGAGAAAATTACTCAAGAAAAGGCGATTCTGTCCATCCCGAGTGCTGCTACGTTGGTCAATAAACTGACCATCATGGATACAGCCGCTCCACTCAGAGATCTTTGTTCTGTAAATGTCAGCACATGTTTGACAGAAAAACAGAAAGTGTTTTATTATTTCCTACATTTCCATTTCTCTCCTTCACGGTTTTCTGGAGGCAGCTGTTCTTAAAAACCTGAACTATAATAACCAATATTTGACTGTTAGAACGATCACAGCGGTGGCAGCTATCAGTGTGGAACTTCAGCACCAAGGACAGCTCCCCGAATATCTCACTATTCCACTTTAACAGACAGACGGTCGATTTAAGATAAGAAAACGCTCCTCTGACAAAAAGGTGGATATGAGGAGAGAGATATGTGATTAAAATAACCTTTAAAATCCCTTCAGTCGTAATAAAATCATCTTTAATATCAGCCGTGAACAACAGCATGCTGGAGTTCTGGCACAGCGTGTACTTAATTTTTAATTTCCTCTCCAGGTTTATCGCTCATTTCCCATGATGCTTGTCAGCGCTCGCACCATTATTTGTGACCCTCAGCTGTCAATGAACCGAGCTCCACTTCTGCTGCGGTTGTTACGCAACCACACCTGAGACTTCATGCGAGTTCAGTTTGAGGATTTTCAAACACACACGAATCTGTGCTGCTCAGATACTTTTGGATGTTTTTATATTTTCATGTGTTTCAACTCGTCAGAGGACATTTTTATGGAAATTATAGTACAACAAATTGTTCAAGTACCCCCAAAACGGCTCAATAATCTATGAACTTGAAGTTAACAGCTGTGACCGCTGGGCTTTAGCATCGTAGGGAATAAAAGTTTCACCCAAACAGAGACAAGAAGTCCGGGTTGTCAGGGTGAAATCTGAATTATCTTAGAAATACTGAGAAAGAGAAATAACCCTGTAATTCACACAGATTGTAAAATAACAAATGTCACCTGAAGGGAAGCTTTTGAGTGTAGCGGTGCACAAAAATCAGGGAGCAGAAGTCGTGGTCGGGTCTCTGTTCTTGTACTCTATCCAAAGGCTCTTTTTTCTTTCATCAGGAACTCACTGAACTTTTCTTTTACGCTGTTTAAAGTACAGAAGAAGTGATTTAACCTGCTTACAGTTCTTTAGTGACATGAAAATGAGTTATACAAACAAAACTCAAACGTGGTTTAATGCTGCAAACCACTTCCAGATTGTCTTAAAGTTTGTTTCTTTAAATAATCTTTTTTTTTTTCAGCTTTTCTTTAAAAAAGTCACTAACAGCTTTTTTGGCTGCCATCCGAGCTCTAAATAAACTTTAAAACACAACTTTTTATGATTTCTCCCTCAGGTGGACACTCAGGGAACTGCAGTTTTTAGCACTTTGCTTCATTTGTCAAGACCGGGGAGTAGCCTGTTAGTATTTCACAGAATAAACACTTTAAAGCTGCGATATTTTCATACTCTACAAATTTAGCTTCTTGAGTTTTTGGGATTAGTGAATTTGAACCTCAAACACCCACTCGACTGTATTAGACTGATCCACCGCTGTTGACACGAGGTATTTCTAAGCAGGACATCTATTTCAGCTCAGCTTATCCCCCGTCTGCCAAAACGAAGGCATCAGCTCGGTTAAATATATATGTTTTGTTCTGAAGGTTGTGGCACAGCCATTGTAATTAGTGAGACAATGGGAGTTATTTGTGGAGCGGCTTAACGCTGGCAGGTTGTTCCGCTTTCTCCCACCCCGACTGTTATTTGCCGAGATGCTGACTCCTCTCTGAACTTGAATTTAGCACAAAACAAAGAAAAAAGGTCAAAAACATCTGACGTCTGACTGTCGAACGTTGCAGCTTTAAAGCTTAACCGGCTGTTCGGAGGTTGCTGCTGTAAACGGAGCGATCTGTAAATGAGTGATCCCTCTTTTAAGTGATGCCGAGAGGGACGTCAGTCAGGCGCTTTCTTCCGTCTTCAGAGAGTTTCTGATTCGAGGAGATATCATCAGGATACCGCTCTGCGATAGGTTTTATTATTCGCCTCAGAAAGCGTCACAAAGCTGCTTCACAAACTTGAGTTGAAGTTGAAATCAGGAGGGCTGTGCTGTTTTATTACTTTTCTACCCATAATGCATCTCTGAGGACAGAACAGGAGCGACGGCAGCATGTTTGTACCGATGACTTTGTATGGTGTTTACAACAACAGCGTCCCGTACATCAAAACTCACATCCAGGAGGGGCTTTGCTGAAGTCTGGCGCTAAATAATAGAATTGACAAGCCTCTAAACACACAGACGGTGTAGCATTAAGAATGTAGAAGCTGAATTCTGCGAATAATCTTTTCACAAAAAGACGTTTTTGTTTTCTGAAATGTTCGTCCTACTTCTGGATATCCCTCCTGAAGATTTCTGATCAGAGAAGAAGCGCCTGATGATGTTCACGCCGTCAGACGTCTCAGAAATACGACCTGTGACGGCTGAAAAACCTCAGGATTGATTTTCAAAATATGACGGATTTTTGACGGATGATTTTCCAGCCGATATGAGAGAAAACTAACCGCACTGAGAGCTGATTTGACGTAATGATACATGAGGTTTTAAGCTATTTAAGAGCCGATGATGGTTGTCGCAGTAGATTATAAATATAGATTATAAATGAGGTGTCATGGTGCCTTTGCCATCAGGGCCTCGAGATCTCGGAGAAACCCGCCTGCAGCCAGATAAATGTCATAACCCGTTTCCTTCTGTCGACTCGTATCAACAGATGACCTCACTTTACAGTTTTCCATCTGAATCCAGGAGTCTGGTTCGTTCCTCCAACGACTCCTCTGAGAAAAGGAAGTACAGCATTTAACTCCGTAAAGATTAATGCTATTATTCGCCGGAGTCAGAACAAACTGCCTCATTAGTACCGTCAACCACAGAGGGAAATGGGGACCGGAGCGGGTCCCTGAGGCACGCCCAAAACACTGCCCACAGCGCCCACATGAAAAGCTCGAACACAATGAGGCTGGAAACAAAAAGGCGAAGCGGCGAACAGAATGTCAAACACGGTCCTGATGGTAAACCCCGTCCTGCTTCCTCCACTAATACATTACCTTTCTAATTAATTCAGTAACGGCAAAGAAAATATGATTTTCGTGTTGATTTACCATTACGGGGGCCAACTTCCTCTGCATTTAAATTAGTATTCAGTGTGATGAACTACTTTAATGGGCACATTATAGAAACTGAAGCCAAATAAACAAGGAGGAAAACCCTCAGGGTAATATAAAATTCCAACATTTCCTGCACCATAAGCCGGCTGTTTTCTCCGTGTTGACTTTGCACTCTAAACTGGAAGTGCAGTCGGAGGGAGCGCACACATACTATTCAGGGCGTGTGACAAAGGCCTACAGACGGAGCCTGTAAAGTAGCGAGCAGCAGCAGCAGCAGCAGCTCCTCACAGGCTGAAGAAACAAATAGAATTATTTATAGGAGTAAAATATTTATTCCGGATGTGTCTGTGGCCTTGTTGCTAAAGTATAACACAGGTGAAGAAGCTCCAGAGAGGACTAAAACATTCAAAGATGGATCTCTTTCTTTTGTACTTACAGTATGATGATTTTTTAAAAAGGTTGAAGCTCCATTAAAATGTAAGTAATTAAACAAAAGTGATTATGTTAGCGGAAAAAAGCGACCGAAGATAAGCTCTTCTCCTGAAATTAGAAATATATCAGAGGTATTGAGTAAAATAGGACACGGAGAACACCTCCACCTCGAGATCTGATGTAGGCAACTTAATAACAATATTAATGGACTACACTGTGTGCGGCGAAATGCAAATGAGCATTGACCTTGTTGTTCAAATGGGGCTGTGCAGCAAGAATACCGAGTAAACACTCATCTCTCAGGCAGCGGAGGAGATTTAACAAGGGGTTCATGGAAGCAGCTGAAGAACCAGACAAATTTCAGTCATTAGTATGTGCGCAGTAATCTAGGAGCTGGGTTTTTTTTTGGAGGAACGTGACTGTGAGAGTGTGCACTTCATTTAAAACACGCTCTCTAAAAATTCACTGGACCGAGGACGGCGAATAATCCAGAGCGCTGACCTCAGAGTCAAAGGAGAGCCTGCTGTTCAGTTTAACAACAGCTGAACACTTTAGATTTCCTTTCAAGGATTTCCATTTCAATCTCCTCTATTTAAAATCAGCAATAATGCTAAACATCATATTTAAATCTCCTCTGAATCATGATGTAAGTGTTAAAATGCCACCGCAGCTGATATGAGGACTCAAACACACCCCTCTCATGGACAAAAATCATATCTTTAACCTACTGTAATCTATTATTTATTTAATCTTAACTGTTTTTATGTTTTTTTTTATTATCTAAGTGAACAAAAATCTGAGCAAAAACTAGGACAGATGCTAAAAGTGTCTGTTTTTATCAGCATTGAGCTTTTTGATGATGTGCTTAATGAGTCTAAGACTACGTTTACAAAAAAAAAACTGTGTTTTCAGAAAAGTTTTTGTTTACACCAACCCGTGTTTATATGCTGTCAAGAGCATGCCAAACCTGTAGGTGGCAGTATAGCAAGAAGCTCAAGCCCACATTAGCCAATCAGAATCCCGTATAGCGACAACAACAACGTCACTTCTTTCTTTCTTTCTTGCGCACAATCTGCCATCAGCTACCCAAACATGCAAATGGAGTTTTCCAAAATCTTTTTAAAAAGCATCGTTTTCAGGAGCGAATTCTGTGTTTGCGTCCAAACGGAGGGTGCAAAAGATGGTTGATGTCTCCGTTTTTAAAATTAACCAGGGCCAAAGTGTTTTATGACAATAAAGAGACAAGCGGACATGACTCTGACCTCTCTCTCTCTGTTTTTATGCTCCTTTTCTGACATGATCTGCTCTGAATTTTTGTGCACACTATAATATAATACATGAGCAATGACTCCACATGCTGTGAATAACAGGAGGAGACCTAAACAAGACGCAGTTATCTGAGTTTTCACATGAGAGTTGTATTATAGTAATTTAATATAGGTGAGCACATACAAAAGAAGTCATAACAGAGTATATTTTACTCTTATGTTGTATCTTTATCACAGTCCACTCTCTGCTTGTTGAGCCTCCGAATGATAACGTGAGAAAATCTGATTTCTGGTGCTCACGTGTTAAAAGACGAAAAAATGTTTTAAAATGGAAAAAAAAAAACAGTAAAATTAATAAAGAAGAGCTGAAAATCTGTGGTTGGTAATAATTTTGATAATTTTTTCATCGTGGAGGTTTTAGAAAATAAAACTGCGGCCCACTTGAGGCCAAGGTGAGGCCATAGAGGGAGCAATAAACTGTCGAAATAGTGACAGTTTCTGATCCTAAGAGCCGTCTAGCATTCCAGTCAGCCGGCTCACACAGATCAGAGTTATTATTTGAAGACAGAGAATTGTAGGGTGGATATTTGACATCTAAGTTCTGACATTTTCACTGTCAGCAAACACCCACAAAGCTCAGCGCGGCTCAGACTGAGGAGTGGTGATCAGAAGCTTCACCTGCAGCCAGATTAAACAGAGCTGCATGATAAATATTAATATTAGACCACACTTCGGAGTGAATCAGTGCTGACCCTAACAGAAAAGACGTATAAATGTACAGCTGCAGATTAAAGCTTACAGTTACACACAAAGTCAGCGACTCTGAGCAGATTTAAGAGCAGGAGTCTGAGTCTCTTCCTGAAAGGCAGAGAACTTACTCAGAAACTGGTGCTCGATTTGTTTGCAATCTCTGCAATAAAATAAAGCATCACACTCACAAAAGCACGGTAACGGCATACAATCACCCGAGCAGCATTTACACATATCGAACTGAAGCGAACATGAGCCTGAACATTCACAGCCTCCTTAACTGTACTCCGTCTCTGCAGGCTGCGCCATCGTCCTCTGCTGTTTGTCCCCGTCTTTTATTGAGATCCTCCAGAGTTTTTATTTCATCTCTGGGTTTCACGACATCGCAGTAAAAGCTTAGAAACACTCCGAGCAGTGTTGTTAAAATCTGTGCAGAGACAACCTTAGCTGCCATCGAAAAGATGTGAAATCCTTTTACAACGGGTAAATCTTCCATAAAAATAAAACGTCTCCTTCTGAGGATAATTTTTCCTAATCTGTCATTAACTTTTACCTGCCTGTAAATCACCTCTTTGACTCACCTGCTTAACGCGCCACAAGATTTCACTTTTGCATTAGACTGTCAGGAATATTTATGAGGTAGTTGACCGTTTCCCCTTTAACCTCTCTTATCGAATTAAGCTCACATACTGTTTGCATGTCAGTGTTTCAGCTTCTTAGATCTCTGCTGGATCGCCGGTGATCCCACGTGTCACCATAAATATAGTTTACAGTTTCTCAGGAACTATACCGTGTATCTCTGTGGGATAAAAAGTGTTCAAAAGTTTACCCTTTTGGCGATCTATCGAGGGTTTACAGACATTTCTACACCTGCCACAAGGTTTACAAACCAGCCACAAATAAAGGTGTTTGATCAGAGACGATTGATGGTAAATCTGCAGTGATAAACCGCTGAAAACATGATTCTTTATCAGATTGTTGTGATTAAAAAAAGACCGCTATCGCTAAATTCCTCTAATGTCTTCAAGCTGTTTTGATGACGTCTTTTTCTGTCAAACTTTCGACCAATTATATGGTCTCCTATTCTTCTTCCATCGTTCCCTTGACGGTAGTGTCCAGTAAGAGAAAACCAAAGATCAACAAGAGACAAGAAAGTTCCCTGCTTGTCTGCAAAATAAGAAATAATGGTCCTCAATGCTTGGAAACAAGCAAAGAAGAGATTCTGAGCAGTAGTTTTGACCGATTACCGATAAGTCTCAAACAGGCTAAAATTTGACTATTTAAATGGCTCGCCGATAAATCGGTCGGGCCCTAATAAACAACTGTAAATAGTAAAAAACGCCTGGAAGAATGAGTGTAAATACGTAAATAGTTTCTGTTGTGTGTTTGTTCCAATCCCAATATTTCTTCTCCTGATAGCCAAGACTTGAGAGAATGATGTGCAGGTGAGAAAAGGCTTGGTCACTGTAGATTTATGTGTTTTTTGAGCAAAGTACTGTTGGTCTCAATTTCAGTTTTTGTTTTTTGGTTGACTGAATCTACTGTCACATTCATTTTACATCATTTTAGCTCCATGAACTGACAGATGAGGTTGTCCTGAAAAGAAAGATGTGTTTATATTTTATAGACAGATGTAGATTTTTACATGAAACCCAGGCGGACCAAAAATAGCAAAATCTATCTTGGAGTTGTGAGGGTTAAATAAACTGCTCCTCATGATATGAATAAAGTTGTTTTGTTTGGACTGTATCTGCAGGTTTGCATGGATTTAAGCAGCTGTTAACTTCAGAGCACTTTGTTAATGATATCAGGAATAAAGAAAGTCGAGCTGCCAAATAAACTCGGTGTTTTGACATGAAATGTAGCAGGTAAATATGTGACTCAACGCCTCCCTCTGTGTGAGAGCCAGCTTGACTTTTTCATCAAGCAGAAATCTAAGGAATAAAAAACATACCGGTGTGTGAGCAACGGCAACAGACAACAAAGATGTTCACATGTGGATGAGCAACCCACAACAGCACAGATGTTTACAGTCAGCTGTGAAATAAAAAAACACACCAACATGACAAAAGCAGCAGAAAAACAGCAGGGAGAAATGCTGCAAACCCGACCCAGACAACAACATCAAACTGCAGCCTGCCCACACACATTCAGCACAACACAAACAAGCAGACAACATGGAGGAAAAGAGCTGCACAAAACCAGAAAAACAACACAAACAAGCAGACAACATGGAGGAAAAGAGCTGCACAAAACCAGAAAAAAACAACACAAACCAGCAGACAACATGGAGGAAAAGAGCTGCACAAAACCGGAAAAAAACAACACAAACAAGCAGACAACATGGAGGTAAAGAGCTACACAACTCCAGAAAAACAACAAAACAAGTAGACAACATGGAGGTAAAGAACTACACAACTTTAGAAAAATAACACAAACAAGCAGACAACATGGAGGTAAAGAGCTACACAACTTTAGAAAAATAACACAAACAAGCAGACAACATGGAGGTAAAGAACTACACAACTTTAGAAAAATAACACAAACAAGCAGACAACATGGAGGTAAAGAGCTGCACAACTCCAAATAAACAACACAAAGAAGCAGACAACATGGAGGTAAAGAGCTGCACAAAACCAGAAAAAAACAACACAAACAAGCAGAGGTGTGCAGCAACAGGAAAGAGGCTAACAGGTGTTAGCAAGAGGAGGGAGCATGCTAGCAGCTAGCAAACAAACTTTCAAACAGGGCCTTCAAACAGAGAAAAACACACAAAACAGACTCTTACCTGACTGATGTGAAGGCAGTCACGACATTTCCACGAGGAGACAAGAACCAGACCGTTTAGAGGAGGTTAAAGGACCAGGACAGGTGGAGGTTTCCAGGACTGGAGTGGAAGGTGGATGGCAGCACACGAAGCTTCACGAACTCACCGACATTCGCGCCAAATATTTCCCTCACTGCCAGCATCGTTAATTATCGTTAATTACCCTCCAAACGGCGCCATACTGTCCTTTCTCCCGTCATGCCGGCTCAGGTTTCCAGATTCCAATCAGAGCGCGTGATTTCCGGGTATAAAATAGACAAGTATGGAGGGTCAAAGTGGTCACATGATGCACGAAAATTTGATTCTCTTGCTGTTTGCCACGAATCCTAAAAATTAATGCTCCATTGATTTGTGTAGAAACGTAGTAAAAATGGTAGAAACTTACAGAAAAAAGTATAAAAGTTAAAAATTGTTAAAATGTGAATAAATGTGTTTTTTTCTAAACTCATGTAATTGATAACGCCCAATCACCCAATGGGAGGGGCTAGAGGGGGTTTAAAAGATGGCTGCCTGGGCCTGTCTTTGAGTCTGGAGTCTGTTTAATGGAAGGTAAGTATCGAACTGACTTTTGGAGTTTTGTATTGCTGCTGTGTTTCTGATTTATTTATTTATTGTATTTTTCTCTTGAGTAAGAATCTTCAGTTATAGAGGAACTCCTGGATTGTTGGTATTTTCTTTATTACCTTGTTCATTTTGTAAATGGTATTTGACCATTTTTTTGCACTTTTGTAAATGTTTTTGTGCTGCATCCTGGAAGACCGGCTGTAAATAAATATCACCATCACTTTATTTCTCCCGCTACACCTGTGTTTTTTTAAACTATATTTTGATGGTTTAAGTGAGAACCCTGCAACAGGGAGCTTTGTGCACATTTAGCAAAATACTCTGGGGGAGGAGGTACATATGAAAAAGACACTTAATCCCTTTTTTAAGAAAAAATTATGTCGGTAAGTGGCGAAGCTGTTGTGATTTCAGTATCATGGCTAAACGACATGGACAGCTCGATCCGAGGGATAATGTAAAATAATAATTATCTTTGTGCTTTAGCGACAAAAAAATGGGTACGCCGTTGGTTTCCCAGTTTGAGCACTGTCATCAGAACTAAATATCTGTCCCAAACAATAAACTTATCGGGCATTTTTGGGTTAACTGAGTTTAGTAATCACTTGAGAAGTTGGAATGTTTCCCTTTTAAAGCATAAAGTCTAAAATCAAACTTTACCTAGCAACAAGAGGAGTCGCCTCCTGCTGGCTGTTACAAGAATTACAACTCCGGGGCAGACTGGTTTTGACCCAGGGACTATTTCTACTATTATTAGTAGTATTTTTATTTTAGATAAAGGTGCAAGCTTTGATTTGGTATATGAATTAGTTAATAAATGAATAAATGGAAATAGATAAATAAGTAGATGATTGAATGACACTGAGTGACTGATGCAGATTATAATCTAGTATTTATGCTAATCTTAGCCGGTAACACCCTTTAGATTAATGGAAACGTTGTGTTGTGCTTTAGTTTTCACAACACACAACACAAAAGGGATATCTACCATAAACCGCGACAGAATGTATGTTTAAAACCTGTCAGTAACTGCTAGAGTTTTGATGTTTAGGATTAAAATATATATATATCAGTATCTAGGGAAGACTCTGTGATGTTTACCTTGTGAGGGTTAATGCTGACTGATCTCTTTCTCTTCATAAACACTGAATATCCTCCTTGAGGTCATATTATAAGAAGAAATTAAAGATTATCTTTGTCGACGTTTATGGCGCCGTTCAGTTTGTCCCTCCTTATTTGGACTTCTCTCCAGATTCATAAATAATCACCGATGGCTAAATTCTGAGCACATCACAAGAGAACAGCTCTCATTGACAGAACAGTTTGTCAGTCTGGAGGACATTGCAATCAAATAACCTTAGCCTTGACTGAAAATAATGAGCAGGCTCTCCTTTTGTAGGACAGCACCATGTGTGAGCCATTAAGTACGCCTTCTGGTGTCTTTATCCAGCCAGGTTTGACAATTTGTTAAGATGACCTTTTTTTCTCTATTGACGCGGCCCATTATTTTGCTGTTTTCAGTACATTATGCTGCCTTGTGGTCACTGAAATCATTAACGGGAAATGTAATGGCAGCTCTGGATTGCACATTTTTCACAGCGACAATGACTCTGCAGCTCCATTTGTATAAATAATGAAGAATCCCCAGAGGCCCCTTCAGACTCTGTAATTTCTGGCCTGATGTGTTGATGTGGACTTCTGTTATGTCCGTTTGGAAATAACATTTTCAAGATCCTGCTTTCACAATTAGCAGGTTAACAAGTCACAGTATCTTGAGTAATAAGTTTTTTTTTCTGCAGAGCTGAAGAATTTTGGCATCTCTGCTCTTTTTTATTTCCGCTCCTGTCTGCTTCCAATAAGGAATAAAAATGCAGTGCATATTTTCACGCTGCATAAATCCTAGTGCCAAATGTGCCCCATAAAAATCTGTGTCATAAAAATAAAGTCAAGTCATCTTATATTCATATTGCCTTTATTTTGCCCGTGCATACATATGCGGCGCACACGGTGTGATAAATAAAAGGCTTTCTTCTCCCATATATCATCCTTTTCCGAGCGTGTCACTCTGATGTTGCTGCATTTGTGGAAAACGGGAGGGGAGGGCGAGTGTGTTCGGTGGGAAGCAGAAACCCAGAGGAGAGCCGTGTATGAATGACTCCTCCTGTCATGAATGGGGGAGACGTGACCCCCCTCTTGGCGCTGTGTTACCTTCCAAGGCGGCCCCCCCCTCCCCGCTCCAGCTGTGTGCTCCCCGAGTTCGTCTGCATCCTGTCTCCTTAGGCTCTAAACCATCATTAACAGGCAGAGTAGCCCTTCTCTCTCTCTGTATGGTTTCACATAAACATGAGCCTCCTATGCCGGGCCTGGCATTCTTCAAATGTCAGAAGAATTGTCCCAGGGCTTTCCGGACTGGTAAATTAAGCCAGACGTGCAAAACTGAACCTCTAATGAAGTACATTAACCTGGAGGACTGAGCATCCATTCACCGCGCGCTGTTGTTTGCTCACAAGCTTCCACAGGGAGAAGAGAATAAGAGGAGAAACACTCGACAAGCATGTTATTTAAGGAGTCTGCAATGAGTCTCTGTCCGGGACTCACTGAGACTTTCCAACATCTTTTTTCACCGGTGGAAAAGATGAAACGTGTTGTCCAACATCTCTGATACCTCTGACACACACACAGAAAAAAAAACACAACTCTATCTGGACCTCATTTGTCAGGCTGACACAGACGATGTGCCCACAGTCGTGTGTCAAAATGAGGTATAGTGTGTCCAGCGTTTCTGAAAAGGCTTTAAAAATGCATTTATCCAGGCGGACATGTGAGATGATTCAGTGTTGTCGACTCACACAGCGGCATATTAGCTCGGACGAACACTGACATCTGTCGAATCTGGATCAGGCAAAGCAGAGGTATCGCATCTGTTTGTGTAGGAGTGTTTATTGAAAGTGCATTATGTGACATTTTCTCTGTCTGATGCACAGAATGGCTGCAATACATCAGCAAAGGTTTCTGCTGTAATGTTCAAGAGATGCTGATCAATGCCGATGACTCAACTCAATTATACTACCAAGTGCTGACATTTCTGCCTCTCTGCTTTTCTCCTCATCTCAGTCCATTTACAGCTACTTGAAGATGAAGAGATGAAGAGATGCTAAAAGCAAATGAAGAGCTGCTGCTGCTGCTGCTGCACCGCCTCCCTGCACCAAAAAGTAAATCACAAAAGACCCTCAAAGGTACAGAGATACAACATTTCCAGAGTTTGGGTGATTGTTTAGATTCTTTGTAATGTTTTGAGTAAAAAGTGCAGAGTATATTCGTCTTAAAGGATCTTTACTCTTGAAAATAGGGTAATATCTCAGGAAAGGTACAGTATCCTCCTGCATGGTGAAGCTCTGCCTTCACACACACATACATCAGCAGAATATAAGATGAATTTTCCTGCGTTTTCATGTCTCAGAGTGGACAGAGGTGAGAGGTTTGAGTCAGGCGGAGGTCAGTGAGCAGCTGAGAGGGATTTCAGCACCCAGGCTGTTCACCGTTAAAGAAACATCTGCTGTCCTCCATTTATGTGTTCATGAGGTACAACCTTGGGAGGCTGAGTAAAATGTTGATTTAAAGGCCGTCTAAACCCTAAATGAAGTTTAAGTTATGCAAAGACCACAAAAAAACTTAAAATATATCTGATCAATAGAAATTTGGTAACAGCTGCAGGGTGAAAAAAGGGGGCAAGGTAGAAACAAGGTCGATTCTATTCTATTCTATTCTATTCTATACTAAGAGTTTGAGTCTATTCTATTCTGTTCAATTCTAGTATTTTCGATTTCATTCTCTTGTATACTTTTCTATTGTATTGTAATAGTTTGATTCTATTCTATTGTTTTCTAATTGTTTGATTCTAGTCTTTTCTATTCTGTTCTATTCTATTCTCTATTATTCTATTCTAGTATTTTGATTCTATTCTATTCTAATTCTATTCTATTACATTCTTTTCTATTCTATTATATTCCATTCTGGTACTTTGATTCTATTTCAATTCTATTCTTTTGTATTCTATCCTTTTTATTCCATTCTATTCTGTTTATTTCTATTCTTTGCTATTTCGATAGGTTGATTCTATTCTATTCTATTCTATTCAAGTACTTTGATTTCATTCTATTCTATTCTATTCTCATAGTCTGATTCTATTCTATTCCTTTCTATTCTATTCTAATAGTTTGATTATACTCTATTCTATTCTGGTATTTTGATTTTATTCTATTCTGTTCTTCTGTATTATTTTCTATTCTAGTATTCTGATTTGATTCTATTATATTCTTTTCTATTCTAATCCATTCTATTTCTAATTTATTCTGCTCTATTCCTATCTATTCTAGTACTTTGATTTTATTCTATTTTTTTCTATTCTTTTCTATTTTGTTCTATTCTCATCTTTCTGAGCGAGGCTGAGTCCCTCAAAAGTGAAGATTTGAAGATGTTTACCTCTTAGTGAGAAACCACATGAACAAATTAAAGATCTGGTTTTCTGCAGTTCATAATAATTTCACCTAAAAAATTCAGAGAATTTTTGTAGAAATCTCTGAACAAAAGAGAAAAGACCAAAAACCAGTCCTGGACAGTCCTGATCTTTGAGCCCTCGGGCCAAACTGAACTCAA